GATGAAAAAAATAGGTAAGCTGTAATAAGAACTTTAGCTTATTTTATGAATATTTTAACAGCTTTTTGTTTTAAATTTCAAAAGTTCTTATTTAAAAGATTGGTTTTAAGTTTCAGTTTTAAGAAATCAAAATCTTATATATGATTTATTCTTCTCAGTGCACTAGCATCTCAATGCAATTCCATGGCCAAGTTGGAAAACAATTTCGACTCTCCCCTTGCTATTGCCATCTCTGTTGCGTTCACAGGCTCTCCCTCTCGCTCGTTCGCCTGAGGCAATGACTTTTACACATCGCAGCACATGGCCATCTCTCGTACCTTTACCGCCCCTTCACCGACCCCGTCATCCCTCCCTCCCATCTGCCACCCAGCGCATCTGAGCGCGCTCAATTGTATCGCTTCAACTTCAGCTTCAGTCGACGTTGTCCGCGTGTAAAACTTAAAGACTTACTCACACAATTGAGTCAGCAAGTACACTGGAAACTACGACTTCTAACTTCTATTAAGTTGAGAGATTTACTAAGAAAGGAATTGAGGTTATCCTAATATTAAGTAGAAAATGTCCAAGAAATGAAAGATCATCAAACAGATTTCTAAATTATTACTCAAGGAATCATATGTTATATGTTATTGAAAAGGTAAATACACAATTTATATTACTCAGTCTCAATTAATATTATCAAGAGGACGTTAAAACGTGCATTTCCGAACTTGACATACTTATTATTAAACCTCTGACTCATTTTAAGCAAAGTTATAAAATATATTTACTAACAGTCTAAAAATGATTAAAAACAATGCAAAGTGTAAATTCAATTCTAAGTTTTTCCAAATGATATTCAAAGAAGTTTAACATTTTTTGTTTGTGTACTTTTGGAGCCAAGAAACTTGCGTTACCGGATTTCGGATGCTGTTAGCCCCCTCTGTTTTTCTCTCTCTCTCTCTCTCTATCACCATCTCAGTTTCAATCGCAAGCTATCCCGCTTGCACCTGCAGGCAATCCCATAGACGAACATTGAAAACTTTGGCTTTAGTTTTTAGTTTTAGATGTTTTTTTAGCTTCGCACCTCTCTTCCTCTGCCGGCAAAACTCCTATTGATTTCGCTTCGACCAACAAATTCATAGCTTTGGAATGTATTTGGTGTTTCCAGTGTTTTATTTTTTGTGTTACCCCCCCCTTTCACCCCTTTCCTTGTCATTTTATTTTGTATTTTGTTTGTGTGTTAGCCGCCGATGCTGCAAACTGGAAATTCTTCAGGGTCCGTTGGAGTTGACCCAAAAATAAAAGCGGTTTCGAGGAGACTGGAGAGTGCAACTGATTGCCGCGTTATCAGTGGTAGTGGTGGAATGGAGGGGAGACTACTACAATATATTCTGGGTTGCGTATACGCCCCTTGGAATGTGGCACAGTGCAATCAAAACTGTAATTCAATTGGCTGCGGATTCAGTGTGCAATGTGTGTGGTGCTCGAAATGGGTCAGCATCTGATTGATTTAGTATCCGCCACAATAATATTGCTTTTGTGCTTTAATTTCAGTTTACTTTCAACCAGTAATTGGATTTGTCTTGAGAGCTACTTAAGGGTGATATATACTACATATATTATACATATATAAATCTAATATATATTAAACATTCCTATAATTCACTTGATCTAATAGTTTTATATCTATTTTGCAATATTTATTGATTTTCAGTTTATTTTTAATTTCATTTGACAGGCATCTAGGTATCTACTAGATTTATTATTCACATGGAAAAACAACAATGGAAATTAAATTATAAATTAAAAACTGGAAATATTTCAGTTGTGTCTTAAATAGGTCAGCAATTGATTGATTTCATTATTCAAACAGCAATTGAAATTTAATGCATAAATTAAGCAGAACTTTAAATGGGTGTCAAAAGGAAATTAACATTATAAGTTAGTAGAAAATAGAAGGCATCTTTGTTAATAGAATTTACTTAGAATTTTGCCAGAGGCAAGTGGCTGAGATGTCTTAAATCTAAAAAGTTTATTAGTCCAAGAACAGTTATTCATTCCAGTTCTCTCAATAATAATTCTTATCTCAAGATCTTAAGATCAGTCGTAATGCTGACATTTTAATGAGTGCATAATGAATGTAACTTCTGGTATGTGGGTCCCATAAAACTGAATATTTTTTCGCCACTTTATGTATATTTTGTTATTATTGTTGTTTTTGTTGTTTTTTGACAGTTGATTTCCACTTTCGACAAAACTTGTTTCGTTTTGAGGTTAGTTTTCTTTGCTGTCTGTTTGGCTGCTGTTGTTGTTTCTTGTTTAGCCGCTTTTTATGGCAACAACAACACGTGGCTCACAACGCAGGCCAAACTGTAAGCAGCTTTTATTTCTATAGTCTGTCTTTGTTGCACTCACAGCACTTTCCCATAGATGTGTCTCGCTCTTACTTTGTCTATTTTGCAGTAATTTCCAGTTGGCTGAATTCGGTGGGAGGTAAAAAAAAAAAAACAGAAAAAAAACGTTGAGGAGGCTGCAAAAAGAGAGAGAGCACGAGAGGAAGAGATAAAGCCAGAGTGATGGACGGGGGGGAAAGAGAGAGAGGACAAGCGGGTCTTATAACTCCCACCATTTTCATTTCCAAATGCTTTTTGTTGGCCACTTTGATGGTCCATGGGGGATTTCGTATCTGTATCTACATGTGTCGGCCCTCCAACTATATATTTGCCCTCACTTTTTGCACTCTCACGCCCACAAAAAGCTAAAACAACAACAAAATATAGAAAAAAAATCACAGCAAAAAAAAAGGCGAGTATAATAAGAGCAAACACCGTACTCATCGCCGTGTTAATGGGTTAAACTGAAGTTTTGCCCATAATAATGAAGCGACAAAAAACTTTCCGTGAATCGAAACGGAATTATTTAGCCGGTGCTTGCAGGCACAGTCAAACATCCAGAACACCAACTTACTTAAGTCTTAGATTTCTGCACAGTATTACATCGAGAAAATGGCATTACGTGCTAATGGCATTCATGGAACTGAATTAGAAATGCTTTCAATTTATTCTCAGAACGATTAAGAATTTGTTTTCTTAAGTTATTACTTAGTTAAGATTTAAAGTGAACATAAATTGGTTTAAGAATTCGCATAAAACATTGATTTAAATTTAATATTTTGCATGGATTTTCTATGCTTTAGATATGACTCATATCCCTATATAAATATTCGCCTTGAGGTATTTTTAAATTGGCAAATCCGTAACGAAAACCTGAAAACTCACAAGTCAATAAGCACACAGCAAGATGAAGTGACAAAATTGATTTATTAAACTCCTCAGTTAAATAGAAATATTCCAAAAAGCTGGCTATTTCAAAGTAAACATAGGTTTCTATTACAACTAAACCATACAAATTGTTGGCATGTCAAAAACAAAAAGTTTAAAAATCTTTACTCACATTCCATTTTTGTGTTGCACCAACAAAAATGGGTAGCATTTGTCTGATTGACTTCAAACTTTAAGGGGAAAATTTTTACAAAAAGAAAATGATTTTAAATACAACTTTAAATGGAATCATAATAAGAATCTTTCACTCTAAAAAGATCGAAAGAAAATCTTGTTCCCCAACCTAAACTTCATTTTTTTTCTGTGTAGCCCGAGTCATGCAGGTTCGACTGTAGTAACCGTGGGTACATACTGCTATATATTTCTGTGGCCAGGTACGCCAAACTAAACACTAACAATGTTGATTCATGACTCTGCCATAGATAGTTTCCCCAGTTTGACAACCACTGGCTACTCACCCTGCTGCTTTTGCTGTTGCTCTTACTGCTGCTACGCTGCTCTTTCTGGTGCGGCTGCTGCGGCTTTTGCTAATGTTGCTGCTGCTATTACTGCTGCACCACAATAAAACAACAAATCAAATTTCTGTTACACCAAAAAAAATTCACGATTGCGAACCACGTACCAAAAAAAAAACGAGTCGCCAACGCGTGCGCGCACTTCAAAACAAAAGGCGGAAAACCGACGAAAAAAATATATAACGAACACGAACGCAAACCGCCGGTGTGAACGAGACGGAAATAGTTGGGCGGTACGGTACTAACGGTCAAAGCGTCGACACTGCGGCGTTGACGCTACGGAAACGTCGACGGTCGCCTTACAACTGAAGCGGCTTCATTGCTAAGCGGCCGGAGAGGCCCCACAAATCCCAAGACCTTAGAGCGAACGAGAGAGAGAGAAAGAGCAGTATCACAATGAGCAAGAGAGAGAGCCGAAAGAGCGCTAGATTGGGGAACTGATAGACTCCAGGTACTGAAACTGTGAAGACTGCTGGAGAGCGACAGAGCCAGAGAGCCGGATAGAGAAGAATGGAGAGCGCCAGAAGCTGCACTGCTGCTCGCAAAGCCAATTGCATATACATAAGTGCCAAACACGTTACGCTATCTCAGTTACCTGGTACCTGGTACGTTATAATACCAACTACAATCTTTAAAAACATATAGTGGCTTATTCGATTTCACGTTAAAGAAATCTACGTATCCAGAGGTTGATTATATTTTTTTCAAATTTACAAACATAAAATATATGCCTATAAACGCTTAAATATATTAGCGGTAGTAAGTTCGTATATACCCAATTTAAGGGGTATGCAAATACAAATGCTAAAAAGGAGGAGAGAGATACAGAGATAAGTAAAGAGAGCGCGATCGAGTTAGGCAGCTATTAAATGAAATGCGAGAGCAGAGTTCCCAATCAGACAGTTAACTTCAACTTGTTGTTTTAACTTGCCTGCACTGGCTCTAAAACTGGGCAGGTGATCGTGCGATTAGCGATTGTGGAGCCACTGTGATTAGGTTAACGGTTATTGTCAAACTTTTGAAAACTATTTTGAAAGCATTTCACTTGAGAGGAAATTTTATTTATTTTCTATAAAAATATATGTTTTTTTCTATCAATGATTTTTCTAAACTCCTTACAAATAAATAAATAATATTATAATATTTAAAGTTTTAAACTCACCCAGTCGTGAATCATTCTTCTTTCGCACACGCAGACAGATGGTGCAGGATTTGATGCACTGCATTCGGGAATTGTGCAGATCGAAAAGAAAAAACAAATAACAATTAGAGAGGTTGTAATTAGGGCGGGCCATATTTAAAAATTAATTAAGAAATTAGTATCCGTACGTCGTGTATGTGGCGAATAACCTCTGTGCGCGATATATTCTCCAGAGTCAGGCCATTGACCTCGAGTATCTCATCGCCCACTTCCAGATTATCGCGATCGGGCGGTGAGCCGTATAGTTTAATTTTACCCTCCACATTTTCGACGAGTATGATGACATAGCCCGATAGTTCAACAACTTGTTGCTGCAACGATAAAGGATGTATAGTTTTTATATTAATGCAGTTTAGTTAGCAGTGCAACATTACGTATGATTAATAAAATGTAATAGGGTTTATTATTAGGTTTAGGTTAGGTTAGGTTTCAATACAGATCGACTAGAAATTTTTTTACAGGTTTAACAAGGTATGCCATTACATATTTGGACCATTATTGGCTTAGCTATGAACAAAATACTGTCATTTTAGGGAATATTGAGGAGAACCCTAAATTTTGCATTTGAGATTATGGATACCATTATTTTTTTTAATATGGCTAAATATTGGAAATTTAATAACGCTTACAACGAGGTATAACATTCCTAATTCGGACTAAAATTGGCTATGTTATTAACAAAATACTGCCATTTTGGGAAGAAAAATGGAAGAAAACAAATTTTCGCATTTTCGATAATTAATCATCAAATTTTGTTAAACATTTTTAGCTGTGAATGCAGTTTTGTTGGAAATTTAATAACGACTACAATGAGATATGACATTCCAGATTCCAGAATCGGCGTAAACTAAATTTCGCATTTTCGATAAGCCAAACATCATCAAATTTTGTTAAAAATGTCAAAAAATCAAGATTTTTAGCTGGGTATGCAGTTTTAATGGAAATTTAATAACGATTACAACAAGCTATGACATTCCACATTTGGACAATTTTTGGGCTTGCTCTCCTTAAAATTCCCCCATCAAACATTGATGAAGGTGATTTAAAATGTTTACCACTGGGCGTATACTTAATATTGAATTATTTACATGCCTTGCCTAATTCTTAGCTTTAATACTACTTTCTAATTAATTTGCTCAACGATTAAATTTCCTAACTCTTGTACAAAAAATTTCACGTTATAAATTTTAAATACTGCCATCCCTTTTCTTGGCCACACGGCGTATGCTTAATGCCAAACGATTCCCTTCGCTTACGAAATATTTACAAAGTCTTTCCTAAATGTCTCGCATAAAGTCATTTTCATAAATGCTGCCTAAATAGCAAGAACAACTTATTTATGCTGCGGGATGTGGGTGGTTCTACTACTAAAATAAAAAAAAAAAAAAAAAATCAAATTAATTACACAAAAGGATGAAGGACAAAGGCAATACACATTCACACACAGCCAGCCTGGAATGGCAAACAATCCAACTTCAGTTCAAATACCCACACTTCTCGGCGAGTGTGCGAGTGTACGAGAGTTGGAAGTTTTGGCCATTATTGCTTGGGCTGGCTCGTTATGTTAATTACAGCAAATTATGCTCATGCGGCAATTGCGGGGGACTCCTCTTTCGACATTCTACAAGCTTTCACATCCCAGTTTCTAACTCCCAGCTTCTAGCTCCTAACAAATTCAAGGCAAAACCCACATATCCTTGATATCCAACCCACCACCCACCATCGCACACGCCCTCAAGCGTGTAATCAGTAGGCAGCAGGCCAGTTGGTGGGTGGTTTTAGGCGTCTTTCCAGTTTCGACAGCATTAGTTTGACAGTCACCCTGGATATAAAGACCATTCAAAAGCCATTAATCCGTTCAAGCAAAGTTTGGCAAGCGCTGAATGGCAGTCTTTACCGTCTCCAATTAATGAATGAATTTTAAAATTGATTAAATACTGCAAGAATTTTAAAAATATAACCAAAACTTAAAGAAAAATATATAATATATCCTATGAAAACCTATTCAAATATTGAAAATATTACTTACAACGTGAAAACATGGCAATCTAAGTGTCATTTAGTTCCGCACAAGCCACATTCCTAATAAATTTTTAAAAAATCCCTTAGCGCCGCCTCTCACCTTTGGCGAAAATAAAAAGGCAAAAATAAATCCTCGGAATAATTCATTGGCTGTCCAATTTAATTCGGCCAACTCGGGCCAAATGCATCCACAACAATTTAAATATACTTGAAGTTCATTTTACACAAAAAAAAAACGAAATGTAAGCGACACAAAGAGTGCAACAACAATGGCAACAACAACGATGCAAGCCACAAAATGCAAACCGAGAATTGGCAAAAGGCACTTGAGAAACATTTAAGCCTGGACCCCTAACCATAAAATAAAAATAAAAAGCAAAAATACATAACCAGCACGACAAACAGGCAGTTCAGATAAGTAGAAATATACAAAAAAAAATATACTTATATATATTTCTATATAAAGAACGCTGGGATCTGCAAAAGAGTGCCTAATTACAAAACAAAAGTGAAAAAGCGAATGAAAAAAGAAATAATTCGACTTTATTGGGTCACAAAAGTGAATAAACAGGCGTTGGTGTGGGTGTGGCAACGTGGCAGAAACAAGCATTGTTGCAAGCGCAGCACACTAAAAACAAAAATGTGTTTTTTTTGACAAAAATTTTAACTCTATTAAAATTAAACATACAGCTTAAATTCCGGCTATTTGGACCATTATTGACTTAGTTATGGGCAGATAACTGACTTTTTGAAGGAGGAAATCAAATTACAAAAATTTTGCTTTTTCATAAGGGGTAACAACACATATTTTTGCAAAAAATGGGAAAAAAAACCTGTCCAGGTTTGAATCTTAAGAATTCTCACCCATTAAAAAGATAAGTTTAATATTTTTAACGAATTTAAGCCGATATATAGCTTCTTGTGACGAAAGGCAGCTTATTTTCCAGGATTATGAGAGACCAGAATAGTATCAGTAAGTACCCAAAACATTCAAGGGAAAAAGCTTTTACATTTCTTCTAACATTAAAAATTGTTCTTGTCCATAAAAAATCAGTTAATAATCAAAAAAATAGTCAGAATTCTCAACTATAACACTTATATGACAGAATAGCCAAGGCTTTAGTTTTAAGCTAAAAATAATCAAAGGAAAAGGGCTCTTACATTGCCCAAAACTCTTAAAGGCTTAAGCACTTTTTAAGATTTTTGTGAAGGAAAATATTATTTTAACGTATTTTTTAAATGCCAATTTAATTTTGAATATAAGCAGCCAATTTGACTATTAACAGCAATTTTTTAAAAATTATATAATTTAAACTTAAGCCGTTAACCCATTGTTAACAGCAATTTTTTTGAAAAATTAAAATTTTTGAATGTAAACGGAAAATTCAGAAATTATTAAATTTTTAACAGAAATTTTTAAATTTTAACATAAACTTTTAAATTTGAACAGAAAATTTTGAATTTTACAGAAAGTTAACTAAAAGTTAAGTTTCGAATGTTAACCGCCTATTAACGGCTATGTTAGGTAAATTCAAATAAATTTTTTCCACTCCGGGCTCCTAATAATTCCCAACTGTTTCTAGCAGAAATGTTGTGACTATGGCGCTGTTGGCAGGTGAAAAATCAGTCAAGTCACTTTTGTGTGTGTGTGTTTGTGTTAGTTCAGTGCTTCCAAGTGCCTCTAAGTGGTCCAGTGGTACTCACCATCACATTGGTGGTACATGGACATGGCCTCCATGGAGGATGCAGTGCATCATGGATTTTTTTCGGAAATCCATTTTTGTGACTTCTGATGACGTCAATTCTGGATATAAATGACGATGCGAAAAATGGACTTCGCCAAGCAGGAAATCAAGGTAGGTGGCGAACTTTTTTATTCTATTGCATAAGCCAAGGGGTTTGTTTACCCTAAAGCCGGCAGTGCTTGCGATGGCTTCTTACATTGCCAGAGCAGCTTAGATCGGTTATATATATTAAGTTGAGGCCTTTAGCTTGTAATATATGTTATGTATAAGCCGAGGAGTTTCGAGGTGCTTCCGGATTATTTGGAAATTCAGCGGAACGTCTACACTTGACCCAGCCGCGATCCATTGGCTTCCAAGTGGCCTAGTGGTATCCGCTCATCATGGATATTTTTTTGGAAATCCATTTCTTGGGCTTCTGATGACGTTTGATGCTGGATATAAAGGACGATGCTTTCTATATCATCAATGGACTTTGGCAGGCCGGAAAGCAAGGAACGAGTAAGAAGCAAACTTTTTTATTTATTTTTACTGCGTAAGCCGAGGGGCATATTTGGCCGGCCATGGCATGGCGATCATTTAAGAACAAGTTAAATTAAGCTTGCCCTCCTGGGATCACTGCCAGATCCAGTCCCCGGAGATCAGGTACCGCTCTGCTTTTGACTGCTGCCACTGGGAACTTTTGGTGACTTATGTGATCATTCCCAGTCTATCAGCTTTGCAGACCTGGTACTCCGCTACTTTTGGTTATCGCTGTATTGGACTACAGCCACCGCAGATTTATGGACTACACACTCGGAGATACGGAAGAGATTATAAGTCTTAGATCTGTATACTCTGCATTTCTGCAATATCTGCACCAATATTTCTTTTGCTTAGAGAAAATTACAGATTATTTTTTGGCGAATAATCAGGATAAGGAATTTTGATAAGTATGCTAATTTTCATCATTATTCTTAATAGTTTAAGATAATTACTGCTCTAAGACAAGAGACTGACAAGCTAATACTTAATTTATTTTGTTTTTAAAAATCAACTTCAATGTTTTTTGAACAGTGCAGCAGCGCAACAACGGGCGACAGGCAAAACACTCAACTGGAAGTGAACTCGAGTTGAGCTGGCAAACGGCCAAAAAGGACACACAAAGGCGGAATGTCCTGGGCCAGGTGCTAAAAGGGCCAAAAGCAGCCGCACACAAAGCGGCGAATAAACAGGAAGACAACTCGACGTTGCAGCTGGTGGGCCAGCAAAATGGCAAAATGGCGATGGCAAATGGCAGGAATAACCACCAACAATTTCCAACTGTGTTTGCTCCTATGGGCTATCCAGGTCCTCCCCCTGCTCCAATCCTCCTCATATTTCACGCCTCTTTCGTGTTCGCGTTACTCCTCTGGTTTTTAAATAAACATATATATTTTCAGCGGATTAACGTGGCAAAAAGTCAGGCCAATTGATGAACTGCCAACCGTTCGCCAGAACGCGACGGCAAAAACCCAAAGTGCAAAAAAAGCTTGGGCAAAAAAAAATGGTGTCGATGGAAATGTGCTGGAAAAAAGCTGGAGGAGCGGAGACAAAAAAAAAACACAGAAGTAAAGGAAAAGCAAACCTAAGCTGCATAATTATTGGCGCTTCAACGCCGGATGCAGGAGCCATCACACACACACACATCCACGAACGCACATACTCGCTGCACAGACAGCCATCTAAACACACCGACGGACAGAAATGTAGGACCAATTAATAGGTGAATAGATTTAACTTTTAACAAGTGGTTTTCCACATTAAATTATTTAAATCACTTTAAAAAAAATGCCAAAAATGTGCCGAATAGTATTTTTGTTTAGAAATATATTAATTTTAAATTGCAAACTTATCTTTTTACGGTAGTAATTTTTAACCTCTTTCGCTTTATGTTTTCACTTTAAAGTTCATCCTTAAAAATCACAAATATTCGATAAACGTTTAGAAATGCCTAAAGATTTATATATATATTCAGAATTAGCACCATTACTATTATCATCTTAACTTTTGTTTACTATATGTTGAGGGTTGAATGAAGTTGAAAGCTGCTGGCTGTGGAGACTGACGAGGGCAACTGGCGACACAGACAAACTGGGGCACTTGAGCAGCAACATCAGCCAGCTGTGGCAGTAACGTCGCTACACCCCACCGAAACCATCCTCTACATACTAGCCAGCCCCCATTTCCACACTCCTCGCCCGCACTTTGTCGCACTCGAATGAAAAATGACAGCAATTACGCTTAAATTATGCGTTTGTTTTCATATGAGCGTCCTTGTCAGTTGTTCTTGTTGTTGTACTTGAAGCTCATTTCACACATAGACACATGGCAAGTACAACGAGACACATACACACACACACATATATATATATATATATATATATATATATACCTAAAGTCTAGGCGACAAGTTTTTCCCTTTCCTCCCATCTTTCATTCTATCGTTCATTGTCTTTGCTTTCGTTTTTCATTTTTTTTTTTTTTTTTTGCTCTGTGAAATGCTCTGAAAACTGCACCGAAATCCAGTCGAGCGTGATTCGATGGCAAAATTTATATACACATACATATATATAGAAATATATATATGAATGAGTTACAAACTTTCGGAAAGAGAAGACTGAAACTGATTTCCCGATAGCATACCTTTCTGGGTTGATTGCACTACAGGAATGTCTTACAAGTGAAGACAAGGCCATGTTAGAACAACATAGAAAACTTTACTTTACTGGTCCTCAAATGGATTTGTTGGCTTCTTTAGTAAGTTTTTCCAACATTAATATAAGTTAACCGTTTTTAGATAGAAAGTTTTTTTGTGACATAAGAAAAAGTGGAGAGGAAATAAATAAGTCAACAACTTTTTGATGACTTAAATGATTTTAACCTAACGTAAACTATTTAAACTTTCCGAATAACGTTTATCCCCCAAAACACAAACACATTCTCACACATAAAGAGCATTTAGGATTCCCTGTGATCTTGGTTAATTCTCCATTTCGCTCCGCTTCTTTGCGCTTGACTGCTAATGACAAAGCCAAGAACAAAACCAGAAACGGGAAAAAAAAACAAAATGTGCGAAAGAAATGCTGCGAAAAAAAGTGGAAAGAAAACAGAGACAACAGAGAAGGATGCGGCACAAAAGGAAAGAAAGGAGCTAAGTGATGGTGAGGTAGGATGGTGGAAGGGGGTGAAGAAGGCAGAAAGGCGAGAACAAGAACAAAGCACTTGACTTGTCATTTTTGACATATAAATGGCGAAACAAATCTTTGGATATTGTTTTAAATGATGCACACATACCTACACACACACACACATACACAGCCAGCAAGTAAAACACACACACACACACTCAAACACACGCACGCTTACACATAGCTAATAAGTGGTGAAAAAGAGGGCTATATTTGTGAAGAAGGATGCGAAGGATGCGGCTTGAATGGATGTTCCGTATTTCGTATGCCAAGGGGTTTCGTTCTCCCAATGGGGTTATGGTTATGCAACAAAGTAACACAAATGATACGCACAATTGTGGCTATTGTTAATGTTATTATTGTTGTTGCTATTGTTCTGTGTTGTTTTTGTTGCTCGTCGCCTTGTTAAAGCTGTGTATATTTTCGAGCATATGTCTTATGATGGAGGGGTCCTTTTGGGTTTCCTTTTTTTGTTTTGCTGGTGGGGGTGGAGAGGGGGCGACGACGGCGTTTTGCAGGGTATAGAGTGGTCCAGCACATGCGCAATTGCAGGCACCGCAATCAGACACTCACCAACACACACGCATGTGCGTTTCTTTATTCCCAAACCTCCTACTACCCAGCTTGCTTTTTTTCGTTCTTTTTTGCGGCTCTGAATTAAAGGCAATACAAGAACAACAACTAGAAAGGACACACACACACACACTCTTGCACGCACGCACACGCCACTTAATGAAGCAAAATGTTTCATACTTTTCATTCTTCTGCATCATTTCACAACCGCCCACCTCTTCCAACCCTACACTACCCCCCCTGAACTAATACGAGAATACCATTGCCAATGGCCATCATATATAAAAAGTTATTTGAAAATTTCATGGCAATTCAACATGGGAAAAAAAGTTTCTTTGACAGCCGCAGAAAGTAGCTAGCAGCAAGAATATGGTTGAAGGCAGCAGCGCAAACATGATGGACCACGCGGCGTATGCGTTATGCAGAAATTCCTTCCTCCATATCAATGTCATGTAAATATACATACATCTCTGCCCTTTTAGCCAGCATTTAAAACTTTTAGCAATATTTCAAAGAAAAAGTTAAGATTTGGCGGAAATGTGAAATGTAAATATCACAGTAAAGGTCTTATAAAAATCAAATTTAAGTAAATAAAAAGTGTAATAAAATGTCTATTTATAGGTTAATGTCATTAAAATAAGTTTTTATGAGAGCACCTTTTCATGCTTATTTTTTTTGCTTACTTGCGCTCTAGAACCTGAAAAGCGAAGAATTTCCGGGGAATAACAATTCACAGAACATGTAAATTAAAAGCAGAAATAACAAAATAGAAAAAGGGAAAATAATATCTTTGATTATTTTTAATTTAAATAAAAATCCTGATCATTCCCTGAATGATTCCCTTAAATCAATCACTTCCCTCCCTCCCATTAGCCATTACCCTTGCACTTAGAAAACGGCAACAGGAAATAAAATTCTTTTTGACAAAAAATCCTTGCCTACTTTTTTGGGCCGCCCAAAGTACCAACTGAACACTGCGAAAATATGTGTGCTAGAGAAAAGGGAGCGGAGAGAGGAAAAGGACACCAGGCATACTCGCCTGATGGACCATGACAGTAATGAAACACGGAGATTTCCAACTATATTCCGTTTTTTCCTTCACCAAAAACAACAGCCCACGTTTGCAGCACAACGCACGCACACAGGCAGACATGAGAAGGACCTCCTCTCAAGAGCAAATAGTAACTTCAAAATGTGTCAGAAAGAAATCGAAACTAACAATTACTCATAGTAGCAGCTGCACAGAAATTAAAAAGGGGTCTTAGAAATTTTGTTTATTTATTTGAAAAATGCTAAAACGAAAAAAAAAATAGATAAAAAGAATTATAAATAAACAATCATGATGAAAATCAAGGCTTTCTTTTGGCCATTTTTAACCATGATAGATTCGAATATAAAGACATAAAAATCAACGATGTTGTTTTTTACCGGTTTCAGCTTAAACTTGCAACTTGGACCTTAAAGTCCTTTAAACCATGCAATAAAAGCGGGGACCTCCCTCTTACGGATTCTGATACATCTTTTCATACCTTTAAATGCATTTTTAAATGTTTTCCTTTGTATATTTTCATTTAAAAATATGGTCTAGTCATCATAGTTTTACTATGATTTTAAAATCCGAGTTCTTGAGTTTTCGTTGTTCCGTTCTTCCACCTACACCTGTGAAACTGCGTGTTTTTTTTTCCTGTTGAGTGCGTATTTCTGTATCTGTGTGCTTGGGTGGCTGTAAGTGTCTGTTTGTGTATATGTGTGTAATAGCCCAAAACGGCAATGTTTAATTAAAAACGATAAAGGACACAACGCCGGCAATGGGCAATGCAAATAAGAGAGTGAATGAAAAGGGCGCAATGAGAAGGCGGGGTGTCTTGTCAAAAGGGGGATTACAAGAGGAGTGAGTGGGGGCCTTGCATTCATCAGACGTCGCTCGATTGACAAGCAGCGGATGCAGCAGTGTACCCCAGTTACCTTTCAACGCCCCGTTCCATCGCCCCATTTTCTTAGCCACCCACGCACACGCCAAACAAATTGAAAGCGGAAATGTGCAGCCCCCTCGCCCCTCACCCATCCCCGTTCCAGCCGACGCCGCCCATGTGGCCATGGAGGAAGCAAGCTGACAAATAAAATTTCACTCCAACTGAAAGCCATTTTTGTCCATTTGGGAATTCGAAATATGAAACGTACGAATCATGGCAGAGATCGAACTGGGTAACGCTGGGGAACTGGGATCCCTTTGAGGGTTATGATGACAGGCGGATGGGGCCAATATTTATAATTGCAGTCAATAAACATTGCATAATTGTAATGGCCATCAATTCGGGCCGGGGTAAAAACCAATTAAATTTGATCTCGGTCCTGGTCCTGGTCCTTGCCACAAATAATATATAAAAAAATATATAAAACAACACAAGGCATGATGCAAATTGATGGGTAAAGGAAAAGTGTATCACACAATATTGTTGCGCAACATTATATTATATCGAATGGACATTTAACAATGAAACCTTTTTGTGTGCAACATGATAACAGGAAATATTAAGTGCTTTCTTGTGTTAATAATAATAGGAAGTGTCCTGCATTTAAAAGAGATAATTATTCGAATATTTTGATTATTTTTTCTGTTTTTAACCTAGTTTAAATCTAGTCTCTATCTAAGTAAAGATTTTTGACGTAGTTCCTATATAATATTTTATTTGATTTATTTAAGTTCACTCACCTTGCCCTGGGACGAGGAGATCGTTGAGGCCGACGGCGTGCCCGACGATTGTGCGCTTAAATTGGAGCGGCTGCTGTTCGCTTGCATCGCGCAAGGCAGAGGCGCCACTTCAACGGGGGCTCCACTTTCCCCTTATCCAAATCCTTTTCCTGTTCCGGTTCCCCTTCCCGTACTTGTTCTTGTTGTTGTTCCTCTATCACAACTCCAAGTCCAACTCCAACTGGCATCAAAGACACAGCCGCTGCAACTGTTGGCTACTCCTGGCAACGGCAGGCGGACAAGGACTTGGATTCTGATTTGGACTTGGATTTGGAATCGGAATTGGAAGTGGAGACGGAGACGGAACCCAAAACGAGGTCGCACCGATGCTCATTGCTCCAGCAGTCCAATTGGGCTCAGATCGAAAGCATATCGTCTTTGGATTACAGGTAATTATATATAATGGCTTATTGGTGATTTCTATATTTTTACGATCTTATTTTTTTAGTTCCGTGGCAAGAATTGGTGTTCTGGAAGAAATCAATATACAAGTGGTCAAATGAAATATTTGCTTTTGAGGAGTATGGAGAAAAAGTAACAAGAAAAAAGAGATCTACCAGCAGCGCAGTCGCTAGTTAAATCTGTAATGAACAAAAATAGGGCTAGGTCATCCACATCGTGAAACCACCACACACACATACATACATACATATATGCCAAAGAAAGAATAACCAAATACACAGTGAAATATGTAATAGTAGGTTTGATAGTAGGTTTCCTTTGAGTAAACTTCCATGAGCTTGCCCTTTTATGGAAATATTGACCTTTTTAAAGTACCCTTCAAAAAAATATAACTTTATCTTAATTTAACATGAAATTAATCGATGCTTCAAAGCCTCTAAAAGTATACTATAAAAATAGTGCAATGCGTTTTCGCATTAATTCGAGAGTTTCTCGATTACATATATTTTTATTTACGATTAAAGGCGCCAAAAATAGTAAAAAATTAAAGCGCACATTTGCGCGGTGTAAAGTACAATGAATGTTTTGCATGGACAAGGACAACAGTAAAGCAGAATATCCTTTGGATGGCCAAAAAGGATGCTGCAGTCACGCCCAGTCGAAAAAGGGGCGACAGCATTTCCATGCCAAGGGCAGCTTCAAGCAGCCCACCATTACCACCCCAAAAAACCACCCACACAGCCCCCCGGTTTTTGCCACTTTCGCAGCGTTTTTTGGATCCCAAAGCCCAAGCACATTTTGCGGCGCAGACATAACCTCAACTTCTTGCGCGCTGCTTACCACGCTGCCGACGTCGCAGTTGGCGTCGCGGTTACCAGTGGCAGAGGCAGCCATTTTAGAGGCCAGGCAACAGCTTTACATGGATTTATGTCTATATATATATAAATATATCTATATATCTGCATATGTATATGTGTTTGTCTTTCTATACGGATGTATGTATGTGTGTTTGTGTAAAGGCAGCCATCCGATTTTCCACCGATTTTTCTTTTGGCAAAAGCGAAAATAGTGTCAAGGAAACTATTGAGAGACGGTAAAGAAATTAAATAATAGATTAAGTAAGCTGTCAGTCAGCGAGATTTAAGTCTTCCTTATTTTAGGCTTTCATTTTAAACTTGTAAAGAATTAATAACCATCAGAAGATACTGTCGGTTTGGTTAAAATATCAATAGTCTTTTGGTAAGATTTATAATATACGAATCTTGAGGGTTTCTTAACTTTATCCCACCTAATAATCAAATAAAATGTAAAAATAACATTGAAAACCATGACTTACGTTAGTGTTCCTCAGTTGAATCTGCAGCTTAGATGATTTCGCTTTGTTTGGTTAGTGATTATATTAATTTAATTACTTAATCTACTTTTGGCTTTTTGTTGTGCGTTTCGTTTGCCTTAACTTTAACTATATAATTTGTAGAATTTTGTATGAATTCTTGTGCGCTTAGGACGCTATTTGCATCATCGGCTGTTTTACATTTTTGCCTTGGCTTTTTGCATTTTTCCTTCAATTTTTTTCTTTTTTTTTTGTAATTTAGCCAGGGATTAAAGAACGGCAAAAAAAAAGTTACAAAAAAAAACAACAAGAAAATAGCGAAACACACACTCACACGCGCGCGAAATCACACCCACACGCGCGCACACACACAGGCACAGGCACACACTGACAAACGCGCACGCGGCTGAGAAAAAAAATATTGAGAAATTTTTGGGACAGCGGCAAAAATATTTGTGCGTAAGATATTGTTTTTGTTTTTGATTTGGTTTTTTTTTCTAGATTATTTGCAGGCTGTTGAAAAGGGCGTTATGTTTTTTTTTTTATTTTTGTATTAAACGGTTTTAAAGTTAAGAGTTCGGGTTATTTTTCGGTTTCTATTGTGTGTGATTAGTTCCGTTTGCCGTATTTTTAGCCCGTTCCGGAGAATTTTTTACGTGCAGTCCGCCCGTGCGCTGCGCACGCCCGCGTCTACCGCCGATTTGGAATTGCCACGACGTTGCGTTGAAATGTTGCGCGTAACTGAGTGGCACAGCCTCTGCTTTTGATTCTGCCACTGCCACTGGCTGTTCCTCTGCGACAGCCACAGCCGCTGCCGAGGATGCTCTCTTTACCTCTCCACTCCACGGCTCTCCTCTGCTCTCCGGACAAAGCGAAGCCCAGCGGTACTGGATCCCTGGACCGTAGTGTCCTGCGCCGCTCTGTTCCAGGCTCCGGATCCGGCTCCGGCAAAGGCTACGACTACGACTACGGCTGCAGATATAGCGTTATATCAGCCGTCAGCCCGGTTTGGTTCGGCTCAGCTGCCAACGAAGGCACGCGATGCTGATGCCGAGGCACAGTGGAAAGGACATCTAAATATTTTTGATTTGACTTCGATTTCAAAAAATAAAAATAATGAATTTGTATTATACATATGTTTTTGAAAACTATCAGAAAATTATGCAATGCCATTTATTTTTAAAATATTTAACATGATCCCTTCAATTAAATTTGCATATGTGTACACAAAAAACCTTTATAAAACCTTTATTTCAACGGAAAATGTATTTTTGTAAGAATTTGTTATTTTTGTAAATGTTTGGTTACTGCTAATTGTGACATTTAAGTTTTGACTTAAGCCTTTTAAGATTCCCACTGTTTTTAGCTAATCTACAGAGATTCTACCTTTGCAGATTTTATTAATTACATTAAACATTTAACTCTTTAAAATAAAAAAAATATATCTATTTCCGATTGAAATTTATGAAATTTAAATTGGATTTCTTTAAAATACAATTCACTGTGCGATGCCGACGCTGGACCAAAAGGATGAGCGGCAGAGCAGAGCAGCAGCCGAAAGGACACGAGCGCACAGCCGAAAGGACTCCCCCAACATTTGTGGCATGACAAGGGTGGCTGATGGCTGATTTACAAAACACATGGCTTGGAATAGGCCACCCACCACCCAAAAACACCCACACAAGGGCGCGTGTTGGGCGCCCGACGAGATTCCCAGTCGCCGAAGAGAGCCTGATGAGGTGCATGGGGCTATAATGGGGTGCGGGGTTGGATACACAGGATACACAGCGTTTCGTTCCGCAATGCAACAGCAACATACTTATCCTGTTCGCCGAAATAGCAAAGCAGCAGAAGCAAAAGCTGCGGCAGCAGCTGTAACAACCCATTCCCTTTACAAAAAACATGCGCAGCACGCAATCGCTGAAAATCTAACCCGAAAACATATGACAGTGACATTCCATTTAAAACGTGATTTTTAATAATTATTTTACAACAATAATTGAATTGTAATGAAAAATTAAAGACATTTGTACACGTATAAAGCACGTTTTAAGGGTATATATTTTATATACAAAAGATATTATTATTATAACGGCCAAGACGCTTAATTTTTTAATCTTCAATAATAAAAATTAGTTTCATCAAAGTATTTCTGTATATTTTCACTTAAAACGTAACTTCATTTTAAATAACAGTGCACGGTTTGAATTTAAATTCAATAAATTCACGTTTTTCAGAATCTATCGATTCTTTGGTATATTTAAGCCATACCGATAATCATCAGTCGCTGAACTTATCGAAATAAAAATACTAACAGCCAAAACACCAAAAATACCTAATCCTACCCTTAACCAACACTATTTTGGAGGTATTTTTTAGTACAAATCTAAAGCGAACTAGTCCAATGTGTAATTCCAATTAAATGCCTTCTAAATGATAAGTTTACCTCTAAAATAAATAAAAATTAATGTTAGTGCATAAGTGAGAGTTGTCAAAATTGATTAGCAATTTAAATGATAACCATAGCCTGGAACCAAAACCGAAAGTGAATCAAAAAACAAACCAGTTCCTTTGGCTGGGTCCAAAGACCAGTTCAATTAAACTAGTTCACGTTTAAAGAGGCAACTCTAGTTATTTTTTAATACCTATATGTTTTAAAAACATATGTGGAGTCGGGCAGATAATACGGATTTAACCGATTGCTTAGGATCAGGTATATAGAAAGATAACATTCGACGTTCACGGCGACAGTGACGCCGATAGCGACTGCGACTGCGACAGTACGACAATGGTGTGCCGTGCGTGTGTGTGTGTTTTGTATCGTGTTGTCTGATTGTGTGCTGTTGTTGTTATTGTTGCTGCTGTTGTTGTGCGTGTGGTCGCCAGACGGGCAGCGGGACAAAACGGCAGTGGAGCTGGCAGGACAGCTGGACACTCGAATATCCCTACCAGTAAGTTGGACACCACCCTTTGCAACAAACATTACTAAACCCATTTGCTGTTTCTTCTTCTTCCTCTTTGCGTTTTTATCTCCCTTTCACACACAGCAAAACAATAGCAAAAACATAAAAAAAACGGAGAAATAAACAAAGAGGAGCGGGGCTTCCATGTCGCCGAGTGTGGGCCTTTGATGCCCTCGAAAGACTCCCGAGAACTGGACTCCAAGGATCCCGATCACCATCACCACCTTCGCCACTGCCACCATCATGCTGCCCATCAATGAGGAGCAGCAGCTGCAACAGCAGCAGCAGTTGGATCAACTGCATCATCAGCAGATACCAGAGATCCCAATAACAGATCTAGAGCAAGTGGAGCCCCAGATCGGCGATGGCAGCCTATGGACTGCTTTGTATGACTACGAGGCGCAGGGTGAGGATGAATTGACATTGCGGCGCGGCGAAATTGTTGTGGTTCTCTCCACGGACAGCGAAGTATCCGGCGATGTTGACTGGTGGACTGGCAAAATTGGAGATAAGGTAATCCAATTATAAATTCACCTCAAAGAGCTTGCAAACTAAGCAATAATCTTTTTTAGGTTGGCGTCTTCCCCAAGGACTTTGTCACTTATGAAGACCCACTCCAGCTGAATGTTTCTTCAGCGATTGGTGACATCCAACCGCATGAAATTGAGTACAATGAATTAGACATAAAGGAAGTCATCGGTTCTGGCGGCTTTTGCAAAGTTCACCGTGGTTATTATGATGGCGAAGAGGTGGCCATCAAGATAGCCCATCAAACGGGCGATGATGATATGCAGCGAATGCGAGATAATGTGCTGCAGGAAGCCAAACTCTTTTGGGCCCTTAAGCACGAGAATATAGCTGCCTTGCGTGGAGTATGTCTGAATACCAAGCTCTGTTTGGTGATGGAATATGCCAGAGGTGGCAGCCTTAATCGCATACTTGCTGGCAAAATACCCCCCGATGTCCTGGTCAACTGGGCCATTCAAATAGCCAGGGGAATGAACTATTTACATAATGAGGCGCCCATGTCCATCATACACCGTGATCTCAAGTCCTCCAATGTGCTGATCTACGAGGCCATTGAAGGCAACCATCTGCAGCAAAAGACGCTAAAGATTACGGATTTTGGACTGGCCAGGGAGATGTACAACACGCAGAGAATGAGCGCGGCTGGCACGTACGCCTGGATGCCACCAGAGGTCATTAGCTCTAGCACCTACTCCAAGTAAGATATATTTTATAGAAGGACCCCCGAAGAACGTCTTTAATACAACTCTTTTTCTCTAGATCGTCTGATGTTTGGAGCTATGGTGTATTGCTCTGGGAACTTATAACAGGCGAGACGCCCTACAAGGGCTTCGACCCCTTGTCCGTTGCCTATGGCGTGGCTGTCAACACGCTAACCTTGCCTATACCAAAAACCTGCCCAGAGACCTGGGGAGCTCTAATGAAAAGTGAGTAACTTATACCATACATTTAAATTTCGATTTCATTATATATAATCCATAACCCATAGGTTGCTGGCAAATAAATCCACATGACCGACCTGGTTTCAAGGAGATACTTAAGCAGTTGGAGACCATCGCTTGCTCCAAATTCACACTGACGCCTCAGGAATCTTTCCATTATATGCAGGAATGTTGGAAGAAGGAGATTGCTCAAGTGCTCCATGATTTGCGCGAAAAAGAAAAGGTAACAACAGGCTGGAGAATCCCTAGCAAACTGGAAAAATCAAGTCTTATTCCTGTTAGAGTTGCTCTAGATTATTCTTTGTTGGCCTTACGCCGCTCTTCAGTTATTAGAACCCATTCTCGCCCCGTATCCCCACTTGGTCGTTGATGAAATTCTAATAATTTGGTATATACTTTCTCTCCAAAACAAAACAAAATTCCCCTGTTAACCAAATAAACATCCAACGACGTAAAGCGTTTCCAAACCATCGAAGAGGTAAGCGCGTCCAACAGGTTTCTCTCTGCCCGCCATTTGAGTTTAAGTTGCGTTGCGTTTTGTTGTGTTACTTTACTTTTACCTTTTACCTAAGTTATACCATTTTTTCTTTGGCTAATTCGTGTCCACGATTGGCTGGATAACTTACCATAATAGCCTCCCACTCAAGCCAAATGTTGCATGGTTTTCTAGTTCCTAGTTAATGCTGTTTTATAGCACTTTTCCCCTTATGTATACCAATCTTAACCCACACTGACCCATTATGTTCCACCCTGTTATCCTTATAATCCTAACAGGAGTTGCGCAACAAAGAGGAGCAGCTGCTCAGGGTACAGAATGAGCAGCGCGAGAAGGCGACCCTTTTGAGAATCAAAGAACAAATTCTGCGTGAGCGCGAAATGGTGTTGTTTGAAAGAGAAATGGTCATGCTGCAGCCGGTGCCATCGAAACGAAAACCCAAAAAGGGGAAAAAGGTAAATTATTATGGAATTTTAAGAATATAATTTATTAAATGTATATATCGTCAAACTCTAATTCAGAACAAACCGCTGCAAATATCACTTCCCACGGGCTTCCGCCACACAATTACGGCCGTGCGCGACAAGGCAGAACAACCGGGATCACCTTCCTTCTCGGGATTGCGGATTGTGGCACGTAAGTACCCACATTCATTATACAAGCTAGGGGTTTAGGTGTACCAGAGACTTGATTAGTTTAGGGTTATTAGATCATATGATTAAATGACTATATGATTTATGAATCATCTAGTTCTTACTATTCAAAGGGAAAACCAGTCTGTCTGGTACAGTAAGATTCAAGTCTTTCAAGTAAATAACATGTTCGCTTACTCACTGGATAAAACCATTATTATGTAGTAAAATACCAACTGGAATTTGTTATAAGTCTCTGAAACGCACTTTACCTATAATTAGCTGTAATCAGTGCATCATGCAGGTCTTAGAGATAAGATAATATGTCTGAGATTAGTCGGAGGAGAAGACGTCATACACCCGGAAAGTACGATATTTATCAGTAGCCGAAATACCATTATTTTTTTTAGAATATTTTTATTATCTTTATATATGATTTCCTTTTTTATACGTTTGATTGATTTGTTTTTTTTGTATATTTTTTTTCCTTATATTTTCTACTTATGTTTCGTATTATTTTGACGGGTTAATTCAGTGACCGATGGGCATAAGGGCAAGACGTGGGGCCCGTCAACGATGCACCAGCGGGAACGATCCCTACTGCCATCGCAGCTGGGCGGCGGTCAGCCAGAATGGCCTGCCCAAACCTCCACCCACTCCTCGTTTAGCAAGAGTGCACCCAATTTGGACAAGAAGCAACAGCAGCAGAATCAGCAACAGGTGGCCTCGCTGACGCCGCCGCCGGGTTTGGGAACTTTGGGTGGAAGTGGAAGTGGAGGTGGAGGCGTTGGTGGGACGCCGACCACGCCCCTGGTGTATACAGGTATACCCTATTTACTAACGCGCCCCAACAACAACAACATTGGCAATTGTAAAGCCATCACCACAACCATCACAACCACCACCAACAACAACAGCATCTCCGCCAACAACAACAATCAGCTAAACAATAATAGTACTAGTAATAGCAATAACAATAACAGTCAAACTAACCCGATCTCCCAAACGAACACCGTAATCGTCCTCCAAAATGGCAGGAGTAACTCCAATAGCAGCACCAGCCAATCCCCAACTAAGGTATACCATCGCGCCAGAAGTCAGGAGTACGGATTAGATCATCCGCATACATATCAGCAACCATCGCTATATTTGGTCACAGATGATGGTTCCGAAACGGACACGGTGGCCAGTCCAACAGGTTGCTTTCACTTCCTGAAGTCTGGGAACTCCTCATCGGCCTCAAATCAGACCAGTGGTGCCGTGTATCTACAGCGGCTTGGCGGCAGTCTTGGTAATAGTCCAGCTGTGGGAAGAAAGAAGCATTCCCTGGATAGTAGTGGCCATCATCCGCCTCCAATTAGCAGCAATAGTTTGGCACTGCCCACCCAATTACCGATGCGATCGGATGATAACAATACGTATGACCATGCCTTCTATCGTGATGTGTTCAAAAAAGTATCCATGGCCAGCAGCGAAAGAGTGAACTCGAAGTCGAGCGGGGATCTGACTTCATACAACTCCAGCACACCGCTGCCGGCCAGGGACTGCGATGATGCAGAGGAGGCCTTCGAGGGTGGACGCTTCCAGCGTAATTTCTCTGGATCGCAGTTTCCACGACACTGTTTTTTCACCAGACAAGAAGGTGACGTCGACAGGGATGTGGTGGATGTGGATGTAGAATCACAAGACTCGGAAGTCGAAGATGAAGGTCAAGTGCCCACCAATCAGATGCGACAGAACTCCACTACCTCGCGCAAGAGCTCAGTGACCTTTCAGAGTGTCAGTTTCGAGGAGCCTGAATCTGTAAACACACCACCGACAACTGCCAGATCTGATCTATATACATCCAGTGCTTCCATTAGCTTCGCCACTTACCGATCCGCCTCGCCCTCACTGTCCTCGACCTCCACTTCTGCTTCTGCATCCGCATCGATAGCATCGTCCGGTGGCGAAATGATCCAGAATGAAGTCGTGAACGGCTATCACATGCAGGAGAACTTAATGCTGACCGCACGTAGGATGCGCGATGTCCAGCCACATCCCGATGTCATTAAGATGAAGGAACATCTGCAAGCGGAGCAGCAGCGTCAGCATAGTAAGAACCAAAAGAAGCATCGACCCAAGCACATCACCAAATCCATGTCCACCGAGCCTCCAGTCGATGAACAGTATCACCAGCATGATAATCCTCATCACTCGGCTGGATCGAGTAAATTCCGTTCTCTTCTTAATCTCTTCACGCGCTCACGGAAGAAGTATAGCAAATTGTCTGAGAACAATCTTGTGGGTGGCTCCGAGTTCAGTGCCATTGATCCCTATCAAACTGATTTGGCCATGAGTGGTAGTAGTCGATCCCTAAAGCGCAAGGGCAAGAAGCCACAGACGCAATCATGCGAGCAGCTGGAGCGATGCTGAAAAGCCATGGTAGGAGAAAGGTCAATACATAAAAGGGAAAATAAACCAATTAAAAGCTGGGCTGCTGTTGGAGTTGGCCGCCAGATGATAACCGCATAATTAGCTCATTGTTTTATATTAAAACTCTAGCCTAAGTCAGACGAAAAGATTTCTAAAAAAAAAAAAAACAATTATAAAAGCACTAGACGACGAAAGGACTTCCTCTAAGGAGTAGCCATAGCTAAAGTGTCAAAACTAGAAGGGCCTAAAGTTCCCAAAATCCCGTCTAATGTAATCACACTCCCTTTTCCGAGAAAGGCATTTCAAAATAACCGAATTGTTCCTAACGAATGCAATATGCAAAATCTACAAACAACATTTCTTAATTAGTCCAGTGATTTTATTTGTTTTGCCTCGATGGCACCTATAAAAATTACGGATTTTTAGAGACAAAAAGGACAGAGATTTTGCTTATGCGTAGACATCCAAAAGAAGAAAAACTTGTGCATGGGCCAATGGCAAAAATAATGAACTAAAACCATATACATAAATGTGTAACAATTGGATTAACATTAAGTAAAACATATTGCTATATTTATACTGAGATGCGTTCTCGCGTCCTTACATTACATTACACACACATCTTAGTTGAACTAAGTTCTAGTTGTTTAGGAACTCTCCTTTTTTTGTGTCTTTCGTGAAGTCTTCACTTTTCCCTTATTTTATTCTAAGAGATATACATAATATATATATTTTTCCAAATTTCCATCACTTTCCGCATGTCGTTTGAAGTTAACTAATCTTCAGACGATTTGTGAAACTCATTTTAATTTTTAAATTTTATATTTGATTCCTTTTTGTATTTTGAGCACAGTTTTATATACAATTTTTTACGCAATCGGGTTTTCCAATTCATTTATTTATGATTTCTTTTAACAACAAAAAACGACACGAGTAATACGCCCAAAAAACCTGTGATCAAAAATAGTTGATGAAAAAAAAGGAAATGATCATTTTTTTTTTGTATTATTTTAATGAAAATTTTCGATTGTATATTTATATTCATTTTACTTTTACTGCTCGATTCGATTTCAATGTACTTTGTATATTATTGTATTTTCCAATTTTGGGCAAAGCCAACCCAATAAAAAAACAAATAAACAAAATATAAAAAAAAATACCTAGATACAGAAATCCTACAATAAAGCCAACTAAAGAGAACTTTCCGACCAGCTTTTGATTGTTTCCCAATTTCAAAGTACAGAGATAAGTCTAATAACCATTTAATATTATATACTTCGGTTTTTTTCAATTTAAAAATCAGTTTCCACAAATACATCAAAAGTAATTAAATTGGTCAATCAAAAAATGGCTATTGCCTTGAGTTTTCTCTGTGCTTAAGATTATTCCACATTTTGGACAGTGAGTTAAACCATAGGACGGACGAACAGAGTATCCTGGTATGCGGTGGTTAAACTTTGGTATTGCCTGCGGTTACTATCCAACTACTTGTACCCTCCATCCGAATACCCGATTACCGACCAAATCCTAGCTAGCCTATCGATCCCCAAAATCAGTGCCATAAATTCCGTAACTCAAACATGTCTCATATCCGCCTCGGAATGCTGCCAACTGTTCAGGATACCAGGGCAATAGCAAGATGGATGACTGGCGCCCGGGGGCCACCAATATGCCGATAATGTCCCCATCGCCGTATCTCCTCAGCCGTTTTACCAGCAATGTTCCCCTACCGACACTCTACGCCGGCGATTCCGCCCGTAAGCCAAAGCTGTCTGTGATCGAGTTACTGCTGTACAACATGGCTTCACTGTTGGCCGGAGTTGCGGCCGGATATGATGTTCGGATGTCAAACGTGTCACCAGTTCATCCCACTTTACTGAGTGAAGTACCTGCCTTAAAAGCGGCACCAAAAGCACCGATTTCTAGTCCGGAGGAGGTGGAGCCACATGAGGAGCAGATCCTGGAATTGGAGGGGGATGCGCCACTTAAACAACAGGAAGACGAACAGAAGGAACTCCGAGAGAGCACTCCTCGGAAGATGGCCACACAAGCGAGGTAGATATTAAAAACGAAACCTAGTTAAAAATTAAAAGTGTTTATCATTTTTCTAGCCAAAGATTTGGTAGCATTGAAGCTCCAGTCAGCAAATCCCAGCCCACATCCCTGGCCCGTCGAATTGGAGGCAGTCAGCCGTATTACACACCCGTTCAGCGGACCCCACAGCACCAGTTGCACCATCATCAGCAGCAACCACAGCCAGTTCCATCTGCCATTGTAACCACAGTAGCTGCCTCTCAACCATCAGCCGGAGTAAGCGCACTTTACACTGGAACCCAACCACCGACGCCATCGCCACGTCGTAAACTGAGCAACAGCAGCTTTGGTAACACTAATCCTCAAGCGGATGGATTCGAGGAGTTTCGTGTGGGTGGTGGCATTGGTCCACCACCACTTTATGCGCCAGCGGATTACCTGAGAAACGGACCTAGTTACTCCAATGATGGTGGGAACTACCGTAATGGTTACTTTGGTAAGTTGACGAGGTATTAAAGGTATTTTCGTAATCTATTTGATGTTTCGGTAGGTTCCAATTACTTTCCATATCGGCCGGAGTTGAATTACAGCTATGAGCGTGACTGCAAGTCGTATCCGGATTATTCCTACGACTATAACCATCGGTTACCCGATTACTACGACTATCAGTACGAGGTTCCAGTGGTGCCAGTTCCCGTTCCCGTGACTGTTCCCTGTCCTGTCAACCAGACCCGAACACCACCACCCCGGGTTCCCCAAATGGGTGTAAGTGCGGCCGGACACCGACGCACACCCTCGACGGTTTCGAATAATTCAAATGTTCTGCTGGAGCACGAAGAACTACTTTGCTATGACTACAATAATCTCAATTTGAATTCTGAGTATGAGAGGGAACGGGAACGCGAACGGGAGCAAGTGCCTCCACCCACGAAACAGGAATTATACGCAGGATCGCCAAAGCTGCTGAATCGTCTGATCCATAGTCCCTTGCCGATGATCAAGAATAAATATGCCACGGCTGCGGTAACGCGACCAGCGAGTTTGCCCTTCGAGCAACATGCTCTTTCGCTAGGCTACCAGCCAGCGAACGTGGGATCTTTGAAGACAACGCTACCACCACCCCTATCTGGCCAATCAAAACTGCGCAGCTCGCTGAAGAAGTACAATGGTGGGAATGGAGGCAACGGTTCCACATCCTCACAGCAAGGCACACCCACTAATCCCACACCACCGGACTCGCTAACCAGCGATGATAGCTCCTATTTGAGTGCCAAAGAGGGTTCCATTGGCTCCCAGCACAGTCGGGTACGTTTCAGTCCGGAGGCCTACTTAGATGCCAATCCGCTGCCCACATTGAACCGAAGGATGACGGCTCCGTCAATGCAATTGCCAAATCAACAGCAACAGCAACAACAGCAGAGACGACAGCGACAGGCCTCCAGTGGCAGCACTCCATCGCCATCGGCTTCATCCTCCTAGCAGACGCGATTGGCGCTGACCCTGCAGTTAGCGCGGAGTCCAGGAGCGGACATCGGAACCGGAGGTGGAGCAATAGGTGGTTTGTCGCTACATCAGCAGCGCGTTCCCTATCGCTGGTACTCGGGAGCCCGGCGATCACGATCGGCTCACTATGAGTACCGTCTGTGAAAGAGTGGGACAGGCTAACATATACGCAAGCGAAAAAGAAAGGGATGGAGATAAAAGCTGAAAGCGATCGGAGGAGCGGAAGAAGCTACAAGCTGGGAACAATCAGTAAAGCAAAAAAATCTAAAAGGTACCAGGAAATATTTATGAAGCAGTTACAAAAATTCTAAATCTAATCAGAATCAGAAAAAATCTATAAAAGAGAGCAATAAATCTATGGATAGGAAAAGGTAGGAAAAATCCAGTACTGCTAAATTTAAATAATCATCTAAAAAAAACAATTACGAAAAAAAGCTGCAGAAAAACTTACAAAAGCCACCAGCTTAATATCAAAGGTAAAAAAAAACCCCAGAGAAATCAAATGGTTTTCAGGAAGAATTAGGACATATATCAAAGGGAGAGGAGAATGTAAATCAGCTAGTTAACGAGCGAATAGCAGAGGATTTATAAATCTAGATCATTTTTACCTCACCTCAAAACGAGCGAATGCAATTCCAGATATTATAGGATCGTGCAGAACTTTGAAATCAAAGCGCAGCGTATACCCACTGTCTGTATATAAAAGTAGTTAACAAGTTGTTCACATGCAAGTAAATTCATATATATATATACAAAACTCGATGTTAATATTAGCCAACAGATAGACAGGAAAACATATAGAAGGTGTTGTTCCTGAAACAGCTGGAGATAGTTCTGTTCTAATCGAATAACTTTTGTAAAGATACTAAGATGGTATAATCATTTTTGAAACTCAACTCCTTGAGGTCTTCGAATCTCCAGAGGTTTCAGAAAGATCCTCTAATACACCCATAGATACATATACTTGTGAAACCCCCGACTTGTGCGATTTGCCTTAAAAGTAGAGTGAAGACTTCACTAGTTTTGCCTGATGCCGGATTCCAAAATAAAAAACACTCATCGTAAAGAATCCCAATCCCTCGTATAAGAATACCAATACAACTGATGAACAAATAGTTTGATATATAGCTAATATACGCCCATTTATGTATTATATTTACATATATATATATATGATATATGATAGACGAAGGTCTCCACTTGCGTTCTCCAATTCATATTAAGTGCAGCCAGCTAGCAAGCCATCAACAACAATAATAATTAGTAATACTTTGTAATTCCGAGAACACCACATCCCAATATAAACACACGCCAGCCGTAAGCTCCATATTTAAGTCTGAAAAAAAGTTTATATATTCATATATAGACACTTAGATTATAGACCGACATAGACGCGTTAACCCAAAAAAAAAAAAACACTAGCTCTGAATTGAATAACAGTATAACTCGATCGATTTACAACTACTTATAATGGATATATACGAGTTATATAAACACATATAACGAAGCATATTGCTGCTGTTTTTCCCAAATATTGAATAGCTATGATAATGATATAATGTCAATGAATTTGACTACCTTTACATATATGCCACGTACATAGATACTGCTACTAAAATGCTTATTATGTAACCGATTATGTAATCATATTTATTTTAGAAGTGTTTTCGAAGTTTCTCGAGATCGCACGGGTATTTCCTTTAGTGTTTTTGAATGTGACTTAGAAAATATATTAATTTTGTTAAAATCTTTGTTTTTAAATATTTATTGTATATTTTTCATATTCAAATAACGTTTAAAGAACCACCCTCGAGAGAACACCTTAAATAATACTTTTAAAATCTCCAGAAATTTATAAAACACTTCGGATAATGTGTACTCAGATCGCAGCATGCACAAATAGCTTTCCTTGATCTTTCGAGGAGCTCAATTACCAATTTAGTTACTCGACTTGTTTGCCACTCGAACAAACACGAACTCTTTTTAGCCATTAGCCATATTTGTATTGGGCGGGCTGGCAGTGAGACCACCAGCTCATGCATATATGCATTACCAATTAATAACTATAATTTAGACAAATTGTTGTTTATGCTCACACAAAGCCGAAGTTAACCAAAAATAGGAACCGATTAAATCCGATTGACCAGAAACAAAAACCAAGCAATATAGCCACGCATCTGCCCAATAGTTAACCTTAACATTTGCGTACTAGCTTAATTGCAATTGCCTGCATTATTTATTAATTAGAAAAGGGTTCGAGTTTTTAAGTTTATATTCTATTTGCTGCTTAATTACCTTGAAATAGCGAGCGGACAAAACAAATAAAATGGGGGGGTTAAATGTTTGATTGTAGGGAGGAAAGCGGACTCACAAATATGCAATAACAAAATGCTGCTTGTGACTTATGTTATGTACAAATTAGCAATTAACAATTGACGATTCATTTAAATCATTCAGAGACCAAAATGCGAAAATTAAAACTATTTTTTATAGAAAAAAAAAAGTTGAAACTTTTCTTTTAATTGGAGAGGAAGCTATAAAAGGGCACCCTCGAATATTCTCTGGCCTCAAAAGTTTTCGAACAATGAAGGTGAGCGGTCAAAAGGATAAGAAGGTGAAGTTAATTGATGAGGAGCTGCCCGAGTCCCGTAGGGCTTTTAGGAATCTTTTCAACTGCTTCTATGCCCTGGGCATGCAGGCCCCCGATGGTAGTCGTCCAACGAAAAGCATCACTTGGAGGCGAATCTATCGTTACTTCTCGGTGGTCATGTACGTGTGGCAGTTGCTGCTAGTTCCCACCTGCTTTGTGATTAGCTATCGGTATATGGGCGGAATGGAGATCACCCAGGTGTTGACCTCCGCCCAGGTAGCCATCGATGCTGTCATCCTGCCAGCCAAAATAGTTGCTTTAGCCTGGAATTTGCCACTTCTGCGGAGAGCAGAGCATCACCTGGCCGCCTTGGACGCCAGATGTAGAGAGCAAGTGGAATTCCAATTGATCTTGGATGCAATAAAATTCTGTAACCGTCTAGTGTGGTTCTACCAGATCTCATATGCCATCTACTCCTCCTCGACCTTTGTGTGCGCATTTCTCCTTGGTCAACCACCATATGCTCTCTATTTGCCCGGTCTGGATTGGCAGCGTTCCCAGCTGCAGTTTTGCATCCAGGCCTGGATCGAGTTCCTCATCATGAACTGGACGTGTCTCCATCAAGCCAGTGATGATGTCTATGCAGTGATCTATCTGTATATGGTTAGGATCCAGGTGCAATTGCTGGCCAAAAGGGTACAGAATTTGGGCAGGAATACAAAGGGTGAAATGGAGATTTATCCGGATGAAAGAAAGCAGGAGGAGCACTGTGCGGAGCTGCAAAGATGCATTGTGGATCACCAGACGATGTTGCAGCTGCTCGGTTGCATCAGTCCCGTCATCTCGAGAACCATATTTGTCCAGTTCTTGATCACCGCCGCCATAATGGGTACCACAATGATAAATATCTTTATATTTGCAAATACGAACACCAAGATTGCATCTATTATTTACTTGATGGCTGTGACCCTGCAGACTGCTCCGTGTTGCTACCAGGCCACCTCACTGATGTTGGACAATGAGAAGTTGGCATTGGCCATCTTCCAGTGCCAGTGGTTGGGCCAGAGTGCCCGATTCCGTAAGATGCTTCTCTACTATCTCCATCGAGCCCAGCAACCCATCACACTGACGGCCATGAAATTATTTCCAATCAATCTGGCCACCTACTTTAGTGTAAGTACACGGATTCTATATATATATATAATAATTTTTATTGTTTATGGAAAAAATATCCAAAGATAATATTTTCCATATTTTTTTTAGATAGCAAAGTTCTCGTTTTCGCTCTACACGCTTATCAAGGGGATGAATCTTGGCGAGCGATTTACCAGGACAAATTGAAGACCATTAGCTTTTGAGTGCACTGAAAAAGATACGTGATTAAATTAAATATAATTTAATATAGTTTATTCTGCAGTGAAAATCTGATTAGTTGCACTGATTTTACAGCTCAAATTATCTAATTCATTTATTAGGCACAGCTTTTAGCTTTTACCACATTACTAGACCAAAAATACATTAAAACACAAAATAAATTAAAACAAAATGTGCCAATAAATATGAACGCTGCTATTCTGTAGTGTAACGCTCCCTGAGATCTAAAAGATTTTAAATTACAAGTGAAATCGATAATGATCGCTAATCGGGCAGAACAGAAGCTTGCTAACCACTGGATCATAATGCCGCACCTTCAATTCCCGTCTCCCAATCCTTGACCACTTTTTTATGTCCCAAGGCGAAGCACCTGTCAGAAGAGGAGCTACCTCCTTCCCATCTCCATCTCCATACAAGCTTCGCCCCTCCAACTCCACTTGGCCACCGTTTTGTGGCCCAATTCGAAGTGGTACCACACTTTGAAGTGCTTTACCGTTCGCCTGATTACACAGGTACAAATAATTGTTTTATTTTTAAAAGAATATATTAATATTAGGGTACAAAATCCTGAGCAGCTTATAAATTTGTATATTTTTACGATCACTATTGTTTCAAATGGAACTTGCTATCAAAAAGATACTAAAGTGCCTCAAAAATTGTAACCTAATTACATTTTTTTTCTGTGCAGCCAGTTGCCAAAGTGGAAAAGTGGAATGGAAAGGCTGGCTTTCCCAGTCTGGTTCTCGAATTCTGGCCAAGTTGCAGATATTTTGAACTGGCCAAATGTTCTTCTGCTCTCGTGCGGACAGGTTCTGTTTATTTTTCGGTCCGTCGCGGAGTTTTCCCGACCTGCGGATCGGATACGCCACCCATCCGAAAAGTGTGATTATCATTATAGATTTTTTTTTATTTTTTTGTTCTGTGATTGTGATTTTGTTGATGGTCCTGTTAAATGTTTATAAAACTATTCCACTTAAAGACCATCGGAATGAAGGTAAGTGTGGACGACCTGAATTACAAATATTCTGTATTTTTTTGGCCCAAGTGCGACATGGCAAGGAGGCAAACGACAGACATTTGCATCCATGTCCAGCAGATCCAGTTTGTGGTTGCTCTTGGACTTGGCCTTCGCCTATTTTCACTTTGTGGGCCAACAGGTTTTCATTTTGGCATGTGCCACATTCGCTGAAAGTAAGCCACTAAATAAATCTAAATGAGAACGCAAGGAGTGCACTCGAAAACTTTTTGAAATCTAGAAAATGTTTTTGAATTCATTGATTAAGGGTAACATTTATTGAATGTTTTTGAGGATAACCTATTTTAGGTTTAGAACGGCTGGTTCAAAATCAGTTGGGGTTGGGATAATATATAATATTACACCTATAAGGGATGTTAATATATGTTATAAAAAAGTAATTTCACTCAAGTAAATGACACTTGAGTTAAGCTATCAAAAAGCAGGCCATTTGCCATTCGTCATATGCCAATCTAAAATCATGGAATTTAGTGTAGCTTTTGAATGTAAAATCTACAGATGAATTACTCCTAACTAAATCAGCCAAGTTGCTACCTTCAGGCACTTGAACAAAATTTCACTTCCTCCGCTTGGAGATTGAATCCTTAGATCCTTAGATCGTTGGTCATCATCATCAACATCATTGGCATAACGATGATGCACCAGCGTTTCCGGACGAGGGTCCAATCACCATTACGCAATCGACGTCGCCGCTTAAGGAGCGGATTAGAGCCGTCTTCCGGAAGTCCCGAGGATGACAAAATGTGCTGGATTTGTCTTTCAGGTGATGAGGATCAGCATCGCCGAGATTGGCTGTTCCCTTGCCGATGCCGTGGTACCAATAAATGGGTTCACGAATCGTGTCTGAATCGTTGGATCGATGAGAAACAATTAATGGCACCTGATGTTCCGGTGACATGCAACCAATGCCGTACGGAGTATATCATAGTGATGCCGCCGATGTGCCGCTTTGATGCACTATTGGAGCGACTGGATAAGTGCTATGAACGTTTGTGCCCCAGTGTCCTTATGGGAATCCTGGCTGCCACTGTCTACTTCTCGGCCGTAACCTACGGAGCATTGACTTTGCTGGAACTCGCCGGCTATGAGACGGGCATGAAGCTGCTCCAAGAGGATTCCACTTTGCTAATGATCCTGCTACCATCTGTGCCAACCGTCTTGATCCTAAGCAGGATGATCCATTGGGATGATGCACTTATTCGCTGGCTGCGACGTCACAATCGCGTGAGTATTCCCGCCGATCAGTTGGATCCTTTGGGCGAACCACTCCCAGGTGCTCCCCTGGATGATGAATACTTTGATCAATTGGAACGCGAGCATCCGCCCTCTGATAGCCCATTGGGAAGTGGCTTTGGCTCGGAGAGCCTGGGACGCGTCTCCACCAGCTTTTGTGTCGCCCTCAGTCTTCCCACAGCTTCTGTGGTTCTGGGAAAGTGTTTGTTTGGTGGCGTCTATAAGGAAAACAAACTGATGGGCATCATCATGGGCGGAATGACCTTTTTGGCGATCAAGGGATTGGCCAGTGTTTATTTGAGACAATCGCAATATCAACAGAGACGCCATCGTTTTGTAAGGGACTATGCTCCGGAAAGTGTAACATAACCCGCCCGTCATTGATATCGTGATGCCAATCCAGTCCAGAGAACCTAAAGTTCTCTGGATTTCACCTAGTTTTTGATTATTTATTTTTTACAATTAAAATAAATCCATTGATAGGATCAGTAGAAAAATTAACAATATAATCATACCTGTAACTTGATAAAGTGTTAACGTAAATTTAAATCGATCCCATGTACATATAACTAGATGGAATTATATTTGAACCAGTATTAAGGCAACTAAATTTAAGCAAATATTTGTTTGATAATGGTATTGAAACCCGAAACATTTAGTAACTCCAGTTTGCTGAAGTCAGCGCTTCCAATACTTTAAAAGTACGACCCCATCTGGCTTAGATTAAGGGGACGAAATATCCCCATATACTTCCATAGGGATCTACGGAGCTGCTAAAGTCCGCTTAAGAGCTCCCAAGCGGTTGCCCAGATACCTTGTCCATCCCGAAATTCTGTCACGGGATCTTTGCACTAGCGATGGACCAGTGCTCTCCACCTCGATGCGGTTTCCTGGCCAGGCAAACCTTATTTTAGAGGCTACCGACTCGTCGAAGAGAAGCAGATAGCAGGGTCTCAAGCCCACTGATTCTTGAACAAAGTATTCCAAAAAGTGATTCTTTGGTGAACGTGCAATTGATTCATCTAACTCCGAGGGCAGTTCACAAATTACCAATGCCCTTTGCGGTGAAGAGAGTATAGAGTTCGTCCAACACAACGGACTATTTGAATTTTCTTTTTCTGCTGCGGATTGAGAGGGCGAGGTTTGCTCCGCCCCTTGTTCGACTTGCTGTACCTCCGGCACCGGAACTAGATCTTCGCAATGAGCCAAGGCCGTTTCCGGTTGGGCATATAAGCGAATGGGTTCACCAGCAGGATGATCCAGGGATCTAGTTGCCAGGAAACGATAAACATATTTAAATGGTAGGCCTAAAAATGCGTAGCTGGGCTTTGGACTTGGTTCTCCAATTTGGTGGTCAATTTTTTCATAGCTGATGCTTAGAAGATGGCCGGGATCCAAGGTGGGACGTGCCAGACCCAAAACGCGGCAAAGTCTTCGCAAATGCAACCGCGACATACGACGCAATATTGGCGATGATGGTGTGGCCACCAGGAGCCAGTGCAGCAAATGTATAGCATCCACGTCATCTGGGGTCAAGTCGGCGTACTGCTCATCGGCACTGGGACTATCTAACATTAATCGGCAGGATGGCCAATTGTCAGCAACTGAGCGACGTAGTCGTTCCACTTGACAGCCGGATCCTGAACTTGACCTAAATTGAGGGGGCACCGGAATGAGGGTTCTCTCGTGTTCCTCACTGCTGGCCGCCGCCGTAAAGATCAGCAGACGACAGTCACTGGCTTGGGGTTGTGCTTGGATAGCCTGACGTACTTCACCCATTGCCCGCTGAAGAGGAATCAACCATGTGGATGCCGGCGGAGGCACCTTTTCTTTGCTTGTTTTTTAGCAGAGGGCAGAGGATTCCAAGGAAAGATTATTGATAATCTATTCACGATATCAAAAACTTACCTAATAACCAAAACGGTATTCAGCGGTTCATTCTCTATTGCTTTGGCCTTGGATGAATTGGGTTTAGCTACGGGTATCGGGAGGGGTCGGGAATGGAGAATGGGGTTGAGATTGGTGGGCACCATCGACATCGGAATAGGCCTGTCCATCTCCGGCTGTGATATTTTTTCTATTGCACCACAAATGCCAAATGAATCCTGAAGCTCGCTTAAACTCTTTACAATTTTGACGAAACAATAATACTCGTTGTTTCGGAAATAAGAAAACTCAGCTGAGAGCTACTTTGATCAAATGTTTAGTGTTTAAACTCGTATTGGAACAATCACATATAAAATTTAAAAAAAATATCTCAATACTTCAGTTTTTGCGTTTGTGAAAGATTATTACTTTCCATTTGGTAATGCGCTAGAGTTTCTGTGACGTAACTATTTGCGCAATCAGCAAAACAAATTACTTACGCAGAGAAATGGGAATGCAATGAGTGCGTATTATTATTTTAGATCATAAGCGTATTGAAATCAGATTCTCCGAGCAAAAAGCGAAAGCCCTGATTACAATGTGATGACATTGAAGCCAAATACCAGGAAGTATTTACGAGTCATTTTACAAGCTACAAAACAGACAGGCCCCTCTGTTGTAAAACTGCAAAACAATCAATAGTAAATAGAAATTATAAAAATATTTATTTATATATATTTTATTGCGTCAGACTCGGTTTCTGATTCTGATTGTGAATGTGATTCTCGATTCTTCTTGAACTAGACCTCCCAGTGCGTTATATTCGCATTCTTAACTACACGGAAAGAATGAGAATAAAGAACTATAAAGTCCCTTGAAATTCCACGCTTTCCTATGAATAAGAAACGATTTTCTTTTTATTATAAACCACTTCAAGGATACATAAAAAATAATATCAATTCATATAATGTAGAGCAATTTTAGATTTATATATAAGCTATAGCATATTATTCTAAAACTGTTGTTCTGTGGACTTTGACTACTACTACTGGATCCTTCTTAATCCAGCATGACGCCACAATGACGATGACGAATCTGACCCAGAACGGCAAGTGGTAACCAATTAAGAGGCGGACAAACGAATCAGGGGTCGCCTGACCATGTGAAGGGGCACCAGCTACGTCAATGCGATGATGATCACAGTCCAGACATAAGCGCCTATACTACTAGACGGATGGATGCTGATACCGAGCGAAGGTGCAAAGTACGACATTCCACGGCGGATTACCGGATTACGGAGCTCATATTTGTAAAGTACACAAATGTTTTTCATTCTTTGGAAAATCCTTTTATTAACTTACTACTACAACTAAATAAGAATAGTGTTTATAGAGTATCTACGGGGTCTACAGATAGTTAAAAACTTTGTTTTCTGGCAGCCTGTATGTGATTCGTCGGCCTAAACTAGATGGATTGACTACAACTAAGTATATGTATATACATATATATATATATATATATATATATATATCATATCGACTACTGCGCAATATAATAGCACTTTAAAGTTATATACATATGTAGGTATGTATATAGCTTAATACATAGACGGGTGTCTCTGGCTATCTCTCCTCCTCTAAGTACGGATAATGATGGTGTTATTGCCATGCTCTCCTATTAAGTTTCAAACTCAATTGCAGCACTCTGAGGCAGTTTGTTCGCTTCTTATACGGGCAGGCGACTTTGGTATACTCAAATTCCTGCCGGTCATCGTGTACTAACTGCAAATATTTATACAGACAAAGAGGTTTTAGTTTATTGCGTTCGGTTTAAGTTAAAATTTTAACTATAAATCAATATCTTTAAATTTTTTATTTTTCCATATATCATAATACTAGATAAATTCATTGATAATTAAAGCATTTTGTAATTTCTCTAGAAATGTATGCCTATAAGTTTAAAACTTAATAAGCACTACATATATTAAATACTTGGATAAAGATATTTAAACCTTTGAGTTAACCAATTTATCGTCAACGTATCTGAACGAAATCATTCCTAGTTTTCGAAAAGATATGAATTTAAAAGGATGAGAGTTTAGCAATTGAAATAATCTACGTAATTTCTACGTAAGATATTTAACTTTAAGAAATGCATTTCAAATATTGGTAAAAATTTGAGTATTTTTCTAAAGATTCTACAGGATTTTGACCTACCTTAAAACCGCTTGTTGTTCCGCAGGAACGCCTTGTGGCGAACCTCCTCCTTGAGGCAGGGATCTGATTCCTTTCCAGAACCGCCACGCTGTACGCACACAGTCTCCACCTTCAGGCCGAAGCACTGTGTCTGCACGACATTGAAAAATAGCTTTCCAATGGCGTTCGCATCCTCGTCACCGGCCATTTTCAGGCAGGTACGGAATCGTAGATCACAGCTGCAGTGGGACAAAGTGTACGGTCGGTAGTTGAAGAGATCATAGCGATTGGACATTCCATCGATCCACATTTTGCAATGGTCATGCTTCCGGCAGCACTTGTCTGCTTTGGAGGCGCCACCCAAGTCGTTGTAGGTTCCATTGGCCAGGTTACCACGACCGCACCACCGCGTGTTAGGGGCAATTAACCAATCAGAGAGTTGTCTACGCTCACGACGACGCACTGCAGCAACGACATCACTATTATGTGTATGGACTTGGGATAGGGGTACCGTTTCGGGGTCGTGTGATCTGGCGGCCAAGTGCTTGGCATCCGTCCCGGGAACAACGCACAGCTGCCAGGTCGCCAAAATCACCAGAGGCATCAGTACGTAGATAGTGCTTTGGGTTGGGATCAACATCGTGTATGTTTTTTTTAGCGCTCGGTGTCTCTAACTGATTGCTCGCCAATCCGAAAAACACTGCCGTTTTATATGCTCGCCCACCGCCGCCAAATCGAAATTGATGCGTTTGCACCGGTCTGCATATCGCGATCTCATAAGAAATGTCGTTAGGTTCTTCTTTATACAGGATTTAATGAATTTAAATTCTATATAATTATTTTATTTTCGCTGGGAGCATTATTTATTTAAATTAATTTATATAGACCTTTAAAAAAAACATATTTAAATTAATTTTGAAAACGTATATTCATAATAACTTTCTGTCTATCAAAATTGACGCCCGCGCAGTGTAAACATATTTTTTACGCCCAGCCAGTGTTGTAAAATCGCCGACGGATTTACAGCTGTTGGGAAGAGTCATGAGCGAAAATTATTATTAAATTAAAATTAAATCAGTTGATTTAGAGCGTTTGCTATCCGGTTGCCAGAGGAGCTGCAACGATGCAGCGAGTCCAGGCTGAGCTAAAGCCAACCAGGATGCAGCAGCATTCTCATCCGCATTCCCATAGCTTGCAGAACTCTGAGGATAAAGAACACAACAGCAATGAGACAACGACCACATCAAGTTCGAGGATTGCGGCCAGCAGCAGTGCCACGCCCACAGGGGCGGCCGATGGAGGAGCCAGTGGTGCACCTACTCCTCCAAAAAGTTTGGCCTTGAATCAGAACCATCATTACGCTCCTGGTTCGGACACATCCGGGGAACCGGAAGAGGAGCTGCTGGACTCGCGTTATGAATGCGCCATTTGCATTGACTGGCTAAATGAACCGGTGCTTACCTCCTGTGGGCATCGCTTTTGCCGCAGTTGTCTTACTGCCTGGATGCAAAAAAACAACCAGTGCTGTCCCATGGACAACAAGCGGCTGTCCGCCGACCATGATGTCTTTCCAGACAACTACACACGTCGTGAAATCGAGCAACTAAAGCGGGACTGCCCTAACTCTTCGCTGGGCTGTTCGGTTGTGGCCTCACCCATCGAACTGCATCGCCACCTGCCCAGTTGTCCATACAGGAGACAACAGGAGCCACAGGAGGAGAAGTGCCCTTTTGCCAAGATCAAGTGCGATTTTGTGGGCCGACCAGAAACAAATCAGTTGGAAGAACACCTCAAGGCGGACATGCCGCATCACATGCAGCTAATGCTGCAAGCTTTTCAGCAAACTGCCATTGCCACCTGGCAGCCGCACAAGCCCAGCACAAGTGGCAGTGCTATGGATAATGGGCATGGACAGCAGCAGCTGCCTCCACCGCCGCAATATGCCAATGGTGTAGATGAACAGATTGTGCAAACAATGTACCAACGGATTGTGGTTCTAGAGCAGAGGACACGTGAGCAAGAAACGCGCCTGGAGAATATGCAGAAGCAGCTGCGCCTGGCACGACAACAGGCTCCCGTGGATCCGCGCTACAGCAATGGCACGATTGTTTGGCGTATTGACCAGCTTGGCGCCTTGGTGGCTCGCTTGCGAGCGAATGCCAACAATCAGGTGTACTCACACGAGTGCTACACATCGCCACATGGCTACAAGTTCTGTGCCCGTCTGAACATTCAGCCAAGGAAGCCACATGTTCTCAGCTTGCATGTACATTTGATGCAGTCGGAGAATGATTACCATTTGGACTGGCCGTTCAAGGGTCGAATCAAGTTGTGCATGGTCCATCCGGCAGATGCAACGCTGTCGCAGCACGACACCATCATGACCAAGCCGGAGATATTGGCTTTCCATAAGCCACGCGAGGCGATCAGCACGCGGGGATTCGGTTTTCTCGAGTACGCCAACATATCGAATATCATACAGCTGGGATTCTGCGCCGATGACCAACTGCTAATCAAGATCGAGATCAATATTGTGTGAAATAGAAAGAAGAAACCGGAAACTCGATGGCATTGAAGTCTTCCGAATACGTTACATCAAGGTGGGTCAAATCGTAGGGCATTAATCTATGCTTATAGAAAAGAAAGCCAAGAGTTTTCCAGAAGTAGTAACATGTCTAGCCATTCCCATCTAACAATTATTATTTTCAACATTTTCCTTTTTTACAATTAACTAAATTTGGGGAAATAACTTATTTTTTTAAAATGAATAGGGAAGATAATCCCAGAGAGTCCCCATTTAATGCTTGACCCATTATCTCCAAGGTAATATAACTTGGAACTACAGATAAGGCGACCCTGCGATTTGTGTGGAATTAATCGATCCACTTTAGTGAACACGTACAATATGCAATAACCAATAGCTGACACGTATATATATTTTATATAGACTTATATACAGTATACAAGAGACCGCTAATAGTAACCAGGCATTGAGCTATTTCTGATGATATTCCAATAACTAATCGATATTATCTATCCTAGAACTATTTTTTATTATCTTTTATGTATGTATCGTATGTAAGTAGTTATATATTCAATATTGTTTGTTTTTAGCAATCAAATGTCATTGCAGATCACGCAAAAAAAAAAACAGAAAAAACTAAGTCAGTCATTAAAAATTTTAATTGGACTTAGATTTCCCCCGTGATCGCTTATCAATGCATTAATTTAATTTTTTCAATTTGATTGAATTTACCTATTAAAAACTGAGTACGTCCATTTGGCATAATACCGACTTATTTTTTTTTTATATATACATAGCTTTTACTTAATATTGAATTTATAATTATGCTAGGTTTAAATTTTTCTGCTTATTATTTCGTTAAATTGATAATGAGTGAACCAACCAACGTTTAGATTTTAAAATTTGTACCTTTTTCAAGCAACAACGATGATAAGCCAGAAACTATATTTTAACCTTAAACGTAAATGCTTCCGTTTATAGATTCCAAGTAAGTTTGGAAGAAGATAAAGGCTGTATGTATTATTTTATCCCAATATTTAACTAAGACCATAAAATACGTACTATGTTTAGACCTAAGAATCTTGGGTAGAATGCCCAGTTTAATCTGAGTTCTGGTCGTTGACAGGTTGAACCCTTCTCCGAATAGAAAACCCCCAATAAAGGACACTTTTGTACCGCCAATTGTTTTGTATCTTGTAGTCACCACCAGTTGAATCAGCCTAGCTCTTCACATCTAATCGACGAATATTAGTTCAGGGTGCGAATCTTTCTCCCAAATAATAGCGACAAACTAGTTGATCTCCGCCTTTATTCAGCTTTACTTTGTAATTAATAACTATGCTTATTAGTTGATCAATCCTAAATATCTATTCAGTTAGCCAGACGCCAAGTTGCGGCAGCGTTTTCGGTTTGCGTAACCAACTGCTTTTCTACATTGAGGTCGATGGCCATGGTGATGGTGGTGGTGGGTGGCTTACTGCCCTTAATCACCTCGATGGTGACCGACTGCGGCAGTGGCTTCACTGCTCCTTTTACTCTCCCCGGATCATGACTGCGCATATGGGCATTGAGACCTCCGGATTGAGCAAAGGTCTTGCCGCATAGCTTGCAGGCGTACTTACGCTGCTCCGAATGAAGCAGTTTGTGGACACGGAGCGCCTTCTTTCTTTGGAACGTAGAACCGCAAACATCGCAGACAAACGGTCGCAAACTGGTGTGAGAAACAGCATGAACATTGAGGTCGTGAAAACTATAAAAGGCCTTTCCGCAGACTTCGCATTTGGCCGGCCTTTCGCCCGTATGTCGACGCATGTGCGCGGTGAGAACGCCTCGATCCCGGCAAGGTCGTCCGCACACCTCGCAAATGCAAGGCATACGACCCGTATGGCAAATACTATGAGAGGACAGCTCCTTCTGTGTGTAAAAGGTAGCGTCGCATTCTGGACATTTGTGCGGCTTGATTCCACTGTGCCGCTGACGGTGGCGCATCATGTTACCCGACTGGGTAAAGGGTTTGCCGCAGATGTCGCAGAATATGCCCGTGTGCTTCCACCGATGACCGCGCAGATCGCGTTCCGTTCGAAACGTCTGATTGCAGGCGTCTTCGTTGCACTTGTACACCTTTCTTGGGCCATTCCGCTTTTTGCTTTTACGCTCGCCAACGGTCTTATCCTTAGCTCCGCCGGAGTTTTCGATATGTTTTAAACGGCGATGGCTCTGCAGGCTGCGCTTAGTATTGTACGCCCGGTCACACTGATCGCACTGGAACAGCATGTCCTTAGTGTCGTTGCTTGCCTGGGCGGACTCGTCTTCATCCGAATCCTCCTCCTCTTCGTGGGTTTCATCGTTCTCCAGCTGCTCGCTACCAGTCCAATCGAGATCTATGTCTAGTAACTCCTCTCGAGTCTCAACCAGGGTGTTCTTCATCGCTGCCGCCCGCTGATGACGTTGGCGAGGAGCATTCTCTTGCACCATGTCCTGTTTTGGCTCCTCCACATGCTCGTCGATTAAATCATCGTTATCTAGAGCTTCGCTGACATCCTGGGCAATGGGATCGCTTTGCAGCTTGATGGTGGATTCGGGGCTACTATTTCCAGTAATGTGCATCATCCGGAAGTGTTCTGGAAAGCTGCCCAACGACAAACGCTGGTGGCATAGCGAACAGCAGATGTCATAGGAGGCGGGTGGATTGAAGAAGACCTCCCCGCATCGAAAATTGTCGTAGCCACCGGCCACATCTGGCGGTGGCTGCAGCTTAATCATCGCGTAGTGGTCACTGTGCTGGCTTGGTGGAGAAGGATTAATGGCTCCGAGGAAAAGCTATCGGCGTCGCTTTTTTTTTTTTTTTTTGTTTAAATTCGTTGGGTGGTGGGGGATGGTTTTTCTCAGCTGATGGCCCAGTGTTGGCTAACAATCGGCAATATCGAGCTTGCCTCAAATTGGCGCCGGTTTTAAAAAAGCATTGATTTCCAACGATGTCTAACATGTTATATATCATTTTTGGGCAGTTGGTTTTAGTTTGGTTTTCTTTTGACTAAAAAAACTAATTTTTCGCAGTAAAGTCGGAATTTGCAAAGTTCCGCATTTTTTGTAATAATTTACCAAAAATTTAATTGTTTAGGCTAGATTGCAGATATAGTTTAAATTTAATTACAAGCTCAATAAGATATAGTAATCAATTTTCTGAACATTATTGGCTTAGTTATGTGAAAAATACTGACATTGTATGAGTTTCATATTTGAATTTACGCTAAAATTAAATTAAATTTGTCCAGCACTTGAAGTACATATTTTTTTTCTTTAAAATTGTTTTTTTCTATAAAGATATGAAATGATTTAAACCGGAGTTCATAGATATTTTATAATTTTAACAAATTACGCTTCTTAAATTTAGTTATGTTTAAGATATTTATGAATTTGTTGTAGCTAACGGTAAATTTTGCCTCTTGATAACGGTAAAAGCTATCGATAACCGACCGCGCCTAACCAACACCGCTGTGTATTCGGATTTTTTTTTGTATTCGAGTATACACTTTTTTCGGTTATCCCATTCATTGATTTTTCGCTATCCAAACGGGGAAGTTAGGACACGGAATTCCTGAGAGAGATATCCAGAGGTCCAAAGAAACCATGTCGGAGGCCGCGGTGCCAGCGAGCAATGCAAATGCAAATGCCAGCGAAAAGATGGCTAGTTTGGTGCGGGAGGCGGAAAACCTGAAGACCAAACTGGAGGAGGAGCGCCAGAAGTTGAACGATGTCAATTTGTCCAACATTGCCGAGCGGCTGGAGCAGATTGCCTATGTAAACATCAAGCCGCGCAAAGTGCTCAAGGGCCATCAGGCGAAGGTCCTGTGCACCGACTGGAGTCCCGACAAGCGTCACATCATCTCTTCGTCGCAAGACGGGCGGCTTATCATCTGGGATGCGTTTACCACAAACAAAGAGCACGCTGTCACAATGCCAACCACCTGGATAATGGCCTGTGCCTATGCTCCGTCTGGGAATTTCGTCGCTTGTGGCGGATTGGACAATAAGGTCACAGTGTATCCAATTACGTCGGATGAAGAGATGGCCGCAAAGAAGCGTACGGTGGGCACTCACACCAGCTACATGTCGTGCTGCATCTATCCGAATTCTGATCAGCAAATCCTTACGGGCAGCGGCGATTCCACATGCGCCCTGTGGGACGTGGAGTCGGGCCAGCTGCTTCAAAGTTTCCATGGACATTCTGGCGACGTAATGGCCATTGATCTGGCTCCCAACGAAACTGGCAACACATTTGTTTCAGGCAGTTGTGATCGCATGGCCTTCATCTGGGACATGCGCTCGGGTCATGTGGTACAGTCCTTCGAGGGTCATCAATCGGATGTGAATAGTGTCAAATTTCATCCTTGTGGCGATGCTATAGCTACGGGATCGGATGATAGCAGCTGTCGGCTGTACGATATGCGTGCTGATCGTGAGGTGGCAGTGTTTGCCAAGGAGAGCATTATCTTTGGCGTGAACTCTGTGGATTTTTCGGTCAGTGGAAGATTACTATTTGCCGGCTATAACGACTACACTGTCAACTTGTGGGACACCCTAAAATCTGAAAGGGTTTGCTTGCTTTACGGACATGAGAACAAGGTGTCCTGTGTCCAGGTCTCGCCCGATGGAACCGCTTTATCCACTGGCAGTTGGGATTACACCATCCGGGTGTGGGCCTAAGACATGAACAAATTCTTATTGTTGGGGAGGGGAATCTGTCAAAGGCAGATGCTGCCTCGTTTGGTTTTTTATTAGGTTCCATCAAGTCTCTATTTTGTTTTTGTTGTGCATTTTTAGGATAGATAATTTAATATGATAATCCTTATGTACATGTATATGTGTCTCATATCGGGATTTTCAAAGTATGTCTTGGATACCGCAGTGTTATGCTTATTGCCAACTGCTGTACTATATTGAGCCCAAAAACAAAGAATATATATATATATATATATATATATATATGTGTATCTATTAACGTGTAACCATTATGCGACTAGTTATAAGTTCCTGTTCGAAATAAATGTTGAGCGATAGAATGTCATGTTGTTTTTGTATACCAAAAGAAAAATATTCGAATACCATTTGTTAAGAATTTTATTATACTTGCGTGTGTGCAAAATGGTTTTCTTAGACTTAATCTATTTGGAAGAATACTCTTATAATTAGCTTAATATTGAACAGATTTAACAGTATATACAAATGATCACTATTGATATGTAGGTACAAATACTTTATCAACAGAAATGGGAAGATTTTCTTTTAAAAAAACATAGTACATTTTTCAGGTATTCGAATTAACTATATCTTTAAATCTGAATTTCCTTTAAAGTATTGGTTTCTTTTAAACTATGAAAGATATACTAAAACTAAAATAAGACAAACTGAATAAGATTCTGTTAACAGTTTTTAGCCATCAAACGTTAATCAGTGGATGTAGAATTTGATGTATGATATTGTGGTACAATAATTTTTCGGAAACCAGAAATTGAAGAAGAAAGAAGACTTCTTCAATCCAGTCAGAACGTAAACAGCATCTCAATGGGTCCCGTTTCGACACCCTCAGATGCATTGGCCGCCGCCTGGAGTTTGTGCGCTCGCATATGAGCGGATAGTCCTGCCGCCTGGGCATAAGCATTTCCACAAATCTTGCATTTAAACTTTTTGATTCCCAAATGAAGATGCTTATGATGGTACAGTGCTTTTGGACGGGAGAAGGCCGAATCACATTTGTCGCACTTATAGGGCTTTTCAGTGGAGTGCATAGCTTGGTGTTCGTTGAGAAGTGACTTTGACGCAAAGCGACGGGAACAGGTTTGGCACTGGAAGGGTTTCTCACCGGTATGAGTACGCCGGTGGACGATCAACGCCTCCCGGTAGCGAGATCTATAGCCACACAGTTCGCACACGTAATTTCGCTCATCGCTGTGGACACGTCGATGGGAGGTGAGGTTATGCTGATTAACAAAAGATTTGCCACAATTCTCGTGCTCGCACTTGAAAGTCCGTGCGCCGGAGTGTCCTTGGATATGACGAAGTAGCGAGCGCGAGCTCTTGAACACCTTATCACACAGCTGGCAGGCGAACTCCGTGTGCTCCTTGCGACGGTGCTGGGCCAAAGCCCGATCCACGTCAAAGGTTGCTTCGCAGTCGTTGCACTTGAATGCTTGCGGATACGGGTGGCTCATCTTCAAGTGTGTGTTTAGGTATTTCTGTGTCGTATACTTGCGATCGCAATGTGGGCAGTTATAGTCCTTACGTTGCCGTTGCTTCTGCAACAAAATAACCATATGTATTATTTGTATAATAGTAGTATACAAAAAAAAACAGCAAGATTTTATCAAATTTGTCACTACCTTAAAAACGGACTGTTGTTCCTCTTGCTCTTCTTCTTGGTTATATTGAGTATTTTCTACGACCGAAAAAGCCTCCAGATCGCAACCTTCAATGTCGGAATCGGAGGAACTGGTCGGATCTGGTTGCCACATGGTATCAATGGTTTCCTCGTCCTCGGACTGTTTACGTTCGAGTACCATGATACGCAATGGATTTTCCTCGTCCTGTTCGAGTTCTTCTTCAACACTATATTCATCTAGGGCATCGTTGTTGTTAAGAAACTCCTCCTTAATGTTGGGCTGGCTGGCTGGTGCTAAGAGCACCTTTTGGAACTCTTGATCGGCTCCTGGTCTCGTTCCCAATCCTGTGACGGCTTGGGTCAGTGGCCGTCCCTGCTTGTCAAAATGCACATTCCGGATGTGGCGGGCGAAGTCTTCGAATCCAAAATGCTTCATCTCACAAAGCAGGCAAACCAGTTGGAAGCTGTTCGCCTCCTGTTCGTAGAAGATCTCGCCGCATTTCGGACGCAACTGCTGCTGGGCGTGTAGGCGGACGTAGTCCACGTTGGTGAGGCAGTGTCTCAGCATTGTGTGCCAGTTAATTCACATTAAAAACTACAATACTATTCATTAAAATCAAAATTTAATATGTAAACAAACGTTCGATTAATTTCGATAGATTTTTATCGAAGTCTGGAATCAGTTAATCTTATACCAAAGTCTCAAACCAAGACGTAAATCTACCGGCTAGCCGTTTGAAATGAAAAAATAACATTAAAACTGTTATTAATTTTAAAATAATAAAAGACATCTTCCTTCCCTCTTTTTTTACTTTTAAAAGCAAAGATATCATACATTAACTACTGTTATTAATTTTTAAGCAATAAAGCTTTTAAATATTCGTTTAACGGTTTTTAAAAATTTAAATGATCCATTAAAGGAAAATAAGAGTTATTTTTTTCCAATTTAATAAAGATAAACTCCCGCCAACGCAAGTCACTTTTGAGTATAAACGAGCTCCTCGAAAGCCTGTGGATCCTTTAGATCCTTGAAGCACTTCAATTCCGTGGCCCGCTGGTTATTTTGGCGGTGCATCCTCTTGTGTTGGGCATACCCCGACGCTTGGGCAAATGATTTGTCACACTGCGAGCACTTGTACCGTTTCCTATCTTCATGGAGAGTCCTATGATGATATAAAGCCCGGGAACTAGAGAAACCCACTTGGCAATCGGTGCAAATGTGCCTCAGACGACGTTGTGCGGCGTCCAAGTGCCGCTCCAGATGGGTTTTCAGCTGATAACTAGCTGGGAAGCTGGCCTGGCAGGTATCGCAGATAAAGGGTTTCTCGCCGGTGTGACGCCGTTGATGGACCTGCAGATTCCAAAGGATCCCCGTCCGATAGCCACAATACTCGCACATAAGTCGCCGGCCATCCGACCCAGGAGTTGGATGATCCGCCGACATAGTCGCGTCGTGTGTGCCAAAACCTAAACGCCGGCACTATTGTTAGACGCGCCGATTTACGCCTTACCACTTGGCATTTGGGCGCTTCAGCAGCAGGCGTCCGATTAATTGCTGTCAAAATAACCAATTCATTTGGCTAATTTTAAACGCTGCCCTCGTGGGCTTTTTTGTGAATCAGATTCAGGTGTTATATATATTTATCAATACAAAAAGGTTAACCGCGAAAATCGCCAGTCTCCGTGAGCGATTTCCAATTCGAATATTAGGCATATCTGCTGGCCAAGATTAAAGTGACTTAATCATATTTTTCAGTTTCTCTATCGAAATTAATTAGGTTTGTTATTGGAAGCATTTCGTTATACACTTTAAATGGACCTAAAATTATGTTTTAACTATAACAAAGTTTAGTTTCAGCTGTAATTAATGTTCTACAAAATTAAGTGAAAGTTAAAGATTTCAATATTATCTAAATATTTACAATCAAATTCTTGTTTTTTAATGTAAACTTATTTGAGGATTTGTTTTTCAAACAAATCAACAACATTCAGTTTCCTTAATTCTAGAGGAAGTATACCGGTTATTTACAATATGTATACTAGTATGTGCCAAATAAAATCAATGGAAACCCGTGGAATGAATACCGAAAACACAAGACACCTGTGGACTACTTAAAGCCGGAAGAATATAAAATAAAACACATTAATTATATACTTGTCTCCTATAGCCTATGCCTGAGTTCCATAACTTAAACGCCGAAATTGTAGATGATACAAAACGGGCAACTTAGAATACAAACGGTCTTTATACGATCTTATCCGTTGAGCTCGTCGTTCCGGTGCTTTCGCATATGTCCAGCGAGTCCGGCGGCCTGGGCATAGGCATTCCCGCAAAGTTTGCATACGAACTGCTTGGTGTCCGCGTGCAGAAACTTATGATGGTAAAGGCCCTTTTGCCGCGAGAAGGTCGCGCCGCATACGCTGCACACATGCGGTCGCTCCGTGGAATGCATGGCCATGTGTTCCCTCAGGCCCGAGTGGGAGGGAAACCTCTTGTCGCACACTTGACAGCCAAAGGGCCTCTCACCCGTATGACTCCTTATGTGGACGCGCAACGTCTCCTTGTTCCGGCAGCTATAGCCGCAACTTTCGCACACAAAGTTCTTCTGCTCAGTATGAACTTTGCCATGATTGCGCATATGGCGGACGGTGAAGAACCGCTTCCCACATCCAGGATGCGGGCAGGGCACATTTCGTTCGCTTGTGTGCTTTAGTTGGTGGCGCTTCAGCTCGTGGCGGGTCTTGTAGCGCCGGCCGCAGACCACACACGCAGCTCCGCCGTGAGCCTGCACCATGTGCTCATCAAGAAGGCGGAGGCGTGGCAACTGGGCTTCGCACTCCAGGCAGGTGAAGGTAGCAGAGACACCCTCCTCGCCATTGTCATGGTCCCGTTTTAAATGCTGTCTTAGGCTATATTTCCCATGGTAGATCTTCCCGCAAAGCTCGCACTTGTGCTCCTGGACAGAGGACTTCGAGGCGGGCACATCCTTGGGTAGCTCGTAGTCCGCATCTTCGCTGTCCGCCTCTGGTGAAGCGCTATCCTTGTGTTGACGCATTATGTGCCTCTCCAGGACCTTACGGCTTTGGTAGACCTTTGTACAGTGTGGGCACGAATGGGGGGTTTTATTGTACTGCCTACTTTCGCTTTCCAGATCCAGTTTGACGCCACATTCCTCTTGATCGGACTCCTCCTTGTAGTCCACCTTTAAGGCTCTAACTTGACGCAGGGATTCGCTGGCCAGTGCCTGATGATCTTGCCATTGAATAATGGTCTTGCCTGGCCGCTCCTCATATTCTTCGTCTTGCTCTTCCAACGCACCTTGTTCATCCTCACTATCCTCGTTGTTATCACCGCCAATCTCGTACCAGGCAAATGGATTTACCTGCGCCACAATAGGCACCGGCGAGGTGTGCTCCCGATCACGTTCCTGCTTTAGATCAGCTCCAGCATCTCCCGCCTCTGTTTTTAACAGACCGTTCTCGAAATGGACATTCTGGACGTGGAGCAAAAAGTCCCCAAACACAAAGCTCTTCATCTCACAGAACGCACAGTCGATGCGGAAGCTGTGCAGGCTCTGGAAGTAGATCTCTCCACACTTGGCGTTCGCCATTCCGGCGTACGTGTCCGGCTTGAGCGACTTGAGCATGGTTACGACACCCACCTGGCCGTTGCTCGCCAGGATTCGCGTCCTTTTTTCGAAAAATTTCGACGTTTTTTCTGAAAACGCAAACTGTTAGTGTTGCTAGGCGTCACCAGCTGTTCTTATTGGAGGTGATTCTTTGCTGATTAGCGGGAAATATATATAAGCTAAAGCGTGTTTATTGTGTTTCATTTTCTTATTATAAAGTTACATATATGTCCAATAATATAAATTCGTGGGTAAATTCATTCATGGTTTGCATAAATTATAATAATACAAGAGCTTATTTCAAGAAGCTCATTGGCATATTTAGCTTTTTATAGCTAGTTATAAGCAATTTTCGCTGCCCGACATTTGCCAACACTGGCTTCCTGTCAGCACTGTCCATTCCTGCGTTGTGGCAACACGAGATTCCGATTCCGGAATTTAATTTAACATTGAGATAAACCCATTGAACAACCAGCGATGCATCCCGATCTCACGGAGCGTATACTCCAGCACCTAGAGACCGCCGATAAGGTGGACACTTTGGACTTGGCCGCTCTATTTGCCGAGGATCATCAGAAGATTGTTGGCGCATTGAAAAGCATCCAGGCGCATGGCGACCTGGTCATTGCTGAAACGACCACGCATAAGAGTCTAGGACTCACGGACGAAGGTTGCGCATTCGTTGAACACGGCAGTCATGAGGCTCTGGTGTATGCCTTAGTACCTCCGGAGGGAATTGCCCAAGCAGCTCTTATGGAAGCCGGTGGGCCAAATGCCAAGGTGGGCTTCAGCAAAGCCATGTCGCACGGATGGATTCTTGTGGACAAGACCGTCAGCCCGCCGTTGGTACGTTGCAAGGTGGATACCATAACGGATGTGGTGAGAAGCCAACTAGAGCAGGTGGCTCAAGGGAAGGGCGAACAACTACCTACCAAGGTGGTGACCGACTTTAAGAAACGCAAACTTCTCCAGGAAACGACCACAAAGAGCTTTGTCCTTTCTCGCGGCCCAGAATTCGCCACCACTCTTACCAAGCTAGAGACAGATCTCACAGTGGAAATGCTCGCCAGCGGTTTATGGGATCAGCTTAAGTTCAAGTCATATAACTTTGATGCCTTAGGTGCGCCGCCAACGCGCGGTCATCTCCACCCATTGCTCAAAGTGCGCACTGAGTTCCGGCAAATATTCCTCGAGATGGGCTTTTCTGAAATGCCTACTAACAATTATGTGGAGTCATCTTTCTGGAACTTTGATGCGCTCTACCAGCCGCAGCAGCATCCGGCTCGTGATGCCCACGACACCTTCTTTGTGAATCATCCGGCCAAGAGCTACAAATTCCCTCAGGATTATCTGGAACGCGTAAAGAAAGTGCACTCGGTGGGTGGATATGGATCCAAGGGATACGGATACGACTGGAAGGAGGAGGAGGCGCAGAAGAATCTGCTACGCACCCATACCACGGCCGTAAGTGCCAGGATGCTTTATAAGTTGGCCAACCAGGAAGGTGGCTTTAAACCAGCTAAATACTTTAGCATCGACAAGGTATTCCGCAACGAAACACTAGACGCCACTCATCTAGCGGAGTTTCATCAGGTAGAAGGAGTGATCGCAGATGTTGGCCTAACTCTGGGCGATCTCATTGGCACGCTATACGAGTTCTTTAGGAAGCTGGGCATTACCCAGCTGGAGTTTAAGCCTGCATACAATCCTTATACCGAACCCAGCATGGAGATCTTCTGCTATCATCCCGGGCTGGGCAAGTGGATCGAGGTGGGCAACTCTGGTGTCTTTCGTCCAGAGATGCTCCTGCCCATGGGACTACCGGAGAACGTAAATGTGATCGCTTGGGGTTTGTCGCTGGAACGACCCACTATGATCAAATACAGCATCAACAATATACGGGATCTAGTCGGACCCAAGGTGGATCTGAAGATGGTAGAGGAAGGCCCAATCTGCCGGCTAGATCACGCTTAATGCATTAAAAGCCGGAGAACCTGCGATCAAATTGCATTTTTTTTCACACACAAATGTTCCAAAAATATTTATAAATAAAATTTCAACCACAAAAACGGAATTAATAAATAAATAGTACTATGCAACGTTTAAAACTGTTAAATTTGGCGGCCTGTTTTAAACACTGTCGCAGTTTTTCGATATCGATATTACCTGTTATCGATGACAGCCTTGTCACATAGACACACACACCCGCACGAAGAAAACAATAACAAACGAGAAACCTAAACAAAAATCTAAAATTCGTCATCATCCATTGTAGTTTTGGCCTTGAAAATGGCTAGCAATCCGACGCAAACTCTCCATCAGGCGATTCAGGCCAAATATGGCCTCCAGAGCAACAGCGAATCCTCCCAATTGAGCAGTACAAGTGGCACACTCCCACAAACAACACCCAGATTTGTTATTCCGCAGCTGAAAATTCCACAACTGCAACTGCAAGCAGCAACAGATGCGGCTGCCCAGAGGGAATCGCGTCAAGCGGCAGAAACCCATAATCAGTCGATTCTGAATGAAATCCAGTTACGGCAACGCCAACGATCGGAAAGCGAAACCAATCTGCAATCTGTTCGATTTCCAATTCCCCAATTAGCTTCAACGCCTGGGAATATCCCAACTTTATCCAGATTAGAGCGCGGTGTAGACCAACTACAAATACGAGATGATGGAGGCGATAGGGCCAATATAACGACCACGCAAGCACCACTCATTGACCTGTCGTCCACCGTAATAGCTGGGAATAGGGATGCACCGCCGAAGGAGTCGGCGAGCAAAGCGCGTCAGCTGGCCAGTCGAGAGGACTTTGACATACCTTTTATTTCCTGCGATCGCGGTAGAAGAAACACACCCACTGGAGGTCTCCTAGGGCGATCCCTCAACAATTACGAGGACGAGCTAGTTGACAACGCTCCAGCAGATACCGAGTTCCGGGAGCAACCAGGTCCCATTGGCCATATGCTGGATGTAGTGGTAGGCTATCCGGAACCAAGAAGACCTTGTTTGGAGTACGCCGTGACCCGGCTGGAACGGCAGCACCTTAAAATGTGCCAGAACGAGAATTACGGCAGCCAAGTCAAGAGATTCCGATTTGATACTCCTTCGCCGGATGAGCTCGTCAAGCAGGCGCTGCAAAAGTCCTGGCGGATAACACGTACTTGATTCTTTTTTAGTCGCATTTCTTAAGTTGACAATTACGAAAAGTAAAATCAAAACAATAAACAATAAGTTCTAAAGGCATTGTCAGATGCAGATATTTTAAATAATATTTATTCAATTTTGTTCAAGCGATAGTTCTTTCTTATAAATCGATAACTGATAAGCTCTTTGGGATTTCTTTTAACTGCCACATTATTGTTGGGCACCAATTTGGGCACACTGCATCTTTGCGAATAGCAAAATCGCGAAACGCAAAAAATTAATTTAGTTTCAAAGAACGCAATTGGGATCGAACAGAAACTTCTAATGTATAGCAAATAAAAACAAAAGTTAAAGAAACAAACAACGAGGAGGCGTAAAATAAAAAAGTTCTCTGTTCTTGTTGTGCCTCTGTCTACTTGTGTGTGCGTGTGTTCTAGCGTGTCGGTGTACGGTAACCGTGCATTGGTGTGCGTGTGCGTATAGCTGTCACTTTCTGGCGCGCACACAAATATATACAGACAGAAATTTGAAAAAGCGGTGGCCACCACACGCCCCCTTTCCAGACGACCACCTCTCCCCTTTTCGGCTGGATGTGTGCGCCCGGTTCCGGTGCCATTTGGTTACCGTTCCCGTGCCTGTGCCCGTGCATCTGGACCTGGAAGCAGAGTGCGTGCGAGTGAGAGGGTTCCATTTATACATAAAGAGCAGCCAAAGGAGCATGAGCAGGACAGCAGAGGAGCTCGAGTTGCCGGTACCGTTACAGGTAATATATACATATATATAAATATATATACATATGGTGGATACGGATACATAGATACATTCCGACAGCGGCTGTGTGTGTGCAATTTTCGCTTTTCCTGCACATTCTATTATTTATTTTTTAAACTTACCCCTCCTGCCTGCGACGCTCGTGGCTTTTGTTATTTTCGGTAATTTATTGCCCCGCCTTCGATAAGATGGAAAATTCCAAACTGCCCACAGATTAGATGTGTGTATATGTATTCTGGTTCTCTTCTCTTTCTTCTGTGGCTGCTGTAACTCAACTAAAACAACTAAAAAAAAAAAGCGTCTGCAAACGCAGACATTTGACCTTGTTGGGGACAACAACAAAAACAACAATATCAACCTAAGCAGACAAACGATTGCAATTGTGATTTGTTTGCAATTCAAATTGTGGAACTAAGGAAGTTGGAAATCAAAATTAAATTTTTCAAGAAAACCAAATCTGAAGTAAAAAGTTAATAGATTACCCATATACACACGCTCAAGCAATTATCACAAACATCGTCATCAGGGTCGGGCTTTTATCAGATCCAGCCGCTCGCACACACATATCATACACATGCAAGCCAATTATTAGGTTTTAATTGCTAAAGCACGCACAACTAAACCTATTCCACTATTCCAGATCAAAAATTCACAAGGGAAGCAGCAGCAAAACCAGGAGCACCGTTCCAGTTTCAATTTTCCAGGCAAGGTGATCAAAAAAATATTAAAAAAAAAAATACAAAAAGGCAACAGAAAGCAAGGGGACTATTCCACTTAAAGGAAAAGCTAGTGAACGCCACCAGTGGAGGAGGAAACCCGGAAAGCCTAGGAAAACTCCCCTTGATACCCTGAGATGTTGCCATTCACCCCGCAGGTGGTTAAGCGATTGTTAGCACTCAAAAAGGGCAACGAGGATAACAGCGTCGAGGGCAAGTGGTCGGAGAAGGCCGTCAAGAATCTGGTCAAGAAGATAAAGAAGAATTCGCAGTTGGAGGAGCTAGAGCGGGCAATCTCTACACAAAATTGCCAGACGAGGTGCGTGACGGTGCCGCGCAGCAAGCCAGCTCCTGCCGGCGAGCATCTGCGCAAGGGTCTGCCGCACGTCATCTACTGTCGCCTGTGGCGCTGGCCGGATCTTCAGTCCCAGAATGAACTAAAGCCTCTTGATCATTGCGAATACGCTTTCCATCTGCGCAAGGAAGAGATCTGCATTAATCCGTACCACTATAAAAAGATCGAACTGTCCATCCTGGTGCCCAAATCGCTGCCCACGCCGCCCGACTCCATTGTAGACTATCCGCTGGACAACCATACGCACCAGATACCAAATAACACCGACTACAATGCGGCGATAATTCGCAGCGCCTCGTTGAGTCCGCCGCAGTATATGGAATTAGGCGGTGCCGGGCCCGTTTCCGTATCATCGTCCACCAGTTCGACGCCCGCGACTGCCGCCGGCGGTGGTGGTCCCTCCTCCTCCTCGTCATCGTCCTCTTCCGCCGCCTCTGCCTATCAACAGCAACAGCAGCAGCTGTCCTTTGGCCAAAACATGGACTCGCAGTCGAGTGTGCTCAGTGTGGGCAGCAGCATTCCCAACACCGGCACCCCGCCTCCCGGTTATATGAGCGAGGATGGTGACCCCATCGATCCCAACGACAACATGAACATGTCGCGTTTAACGCCGCCCGCCGATGCAGCGCCGGTAATGTATCACGAGCCGGCATTTTGGTGTTCCATTTCGTACTATGAGCTAAATACTCGAGTCGGCGAGACCTTCCACGCCTCGCAGCCATCGATCACGGTGGATGGCTTTACCGATCCCTCCAATTCGGAGCGTTTTTGCCTCGGACTGCTCTCTAATGTGAATCGCAACGAGGTCGTGGAGCAGACGCGTCGCCACATTGGCAAAGGCGTACGGCTATATTATATTGGCGGTGAGGTATTCGCCGAATGCCTGAGTGACTCGTCCATCTTTGTGCAGAGCCCTAACTGCAACCAGCGATATGGTTGGCACCCGGCCACCGTATGCAAGATACCACCTGGCTGCAATTTGAAGATCTTCAACAACCAGGAGTTCGCCGCCCTGCTGTCGCAGTCCGTGTCACAGGGATTTGAAGCCGTCTACCAGTTGACACGCATGTGCACCATCCGCATGTCGTTCGTTAAGGGCTGGGGTGCCGAATATCGCCGCCAGACGGTCACTTCGACGCCGTGCTGGATTGAACTCCATCTGAATGGGCCGCTCCAGTGGCTGGATCGTGTCCTTACGCAGATGGGATCACCGCGGCTGCCGTGCAGCTCCATGTCGTAAGCGCATCAGCCGGTTCCGGTTTTCAATTTTCCCCTCCCCAGTTATCCGCAAAGAAAGCGCCGATTTGGAGCTGGAAAATACCGAGAAATCCCTTTATGGTGCTGACAAGTAACACTAAAGAATTGAAGATGAAAGGGTGCTATTCTGAAGAATTTTATTTATGTTTGTAAAATCTAGATGAAATTGACATGCGTGCAATCAAGCAGCTTTTCCGGTTTTCATTTAAGTTCGATAAGCACATACTCAATGAAAATTGTAATACCTTCTTCCTAAATGAAAACTGTACAAATTGAAATCGAAGAAAACCTTGGTATATCCATAAAGAAACTCATAACTCATAACCTGTGTATGAGTACCTAAAGTTTTTTTTTAAAAAACTTCCACAAACCAAAAATACTTTACATTGCTGATAATGTTAACATAAATATGCACGTTTCATCAGTGTTACTGGTCAGAACCTTTAAGGGAAAGCAAAATGAGAATCGGAATTGGTTTTAAACAGAAAACCAAGAAAAATTCTGAGAGCACATATGAAATAAGTTCAGGCAAATTATATACGAGTACATACTTGAGTAATTGACAAGAGGTAGATGCAAACCAGATACAGATATATCTATATACAAAGAGCACACACTTACATGTGGGATATATATCTTTACAAGCATATATGAGAGAGAACATGTATTTGGCGTTACAAGTTTAGGACTATATATTGTGTAGGTGGAAACGTGGAGAGTTACAGTTTTCGATAAGAAGTAACAATTTTTTTTAAACATTTTACACACAAAAAAAATAACCAAAATGAAACCGACCAGGAATACACAAAACTAAAAGTAATGAACCCAATCTGTGTGCGTAGAGTTGGTTAGCGCTAGAAGCGAGAGAGTCAAAATTCTTTGAGAAAGAAGCAAAATAATTATATTGGTGATTTGGAACAAAAAAGGATGAGCAAAACAGGAACTGGGATTTATCAAGCTTGAAGCTTACACACACAGACACACTCTACCATACATTGCAAATGTACATAAGACCAAAAGAATGCAAATATTCACGCAGGACCTTCACTTGATCGATTATGGAATTATAGTTATATCCGTTTGATGATGGTTGTTAAACGTTTCAATTTTCGCTTAGTACGTGTGTGTTAAAAATTCGTCAGCTCTTAAAACGCAGTCAGCTCTTGTTAGTTGTAATATCCGTAAAATGCGATCATATATTCTATATGTAAAGCACTTGCCCAACAAAATTAAAATGCGGCAAACCAAGTCAGGCCCAACTAAGGTCCCATTTTGTTCAGAACTGCATTTATTGTGTACCAACTGAGAGATTCTTACTTCTTTATCACCCTCGGATTTGAACCGATAGCTCAACCAATATGCAATATGGTTTGCCGACGTTGGCCCAATTTTGCTTGGCAAGTGTGCGTTTTTCTTGGGTCTAGATCTTAAGTCTATATATGTAACGAAATTTGCTAGCTTATCTTAATATTTAAAAAGCCCAAACCAGTTTTAGGTTCGTTTTCAATTTGTTTTTACTTCAAGATTTGCTAATTCTTTTAATTTGGTTTCTTTTTTACCTTCGCTTTGCTGTTACAACCAAAAATAACTGTACCGCTCGGCCAGTATTGAGCAGTGCATAGTGCGCGGCAGCAAGTGTTGGCTAGCGCTCTTGCCCTCAGGTTCCGACTTACCTTAAACTTAAGTTTTTTCTATTGTTTTTCCCCTTTGTTGCTTTTAAGTTTCTCACGTAGTTTTGTGTGAAGACACTTAATACTGATTGGTAATCAATCGAATAAACGACCGCGAACGAGATTTTGTTTTGTTAATTGGCTATAATTACGGTTCTAAACCGTCACCTGGTTTTGAATTAACCAGTTGTTTTCGTATTTCCGGCTTAATCCGCTAATAATGTAATGTAATCTTTAAGTAATGCCTAACGAAACAAAGCAAAGAAGGCAAACATGCAGCAACAGTCAACAGGCGTCGGATCCGATCAGAATCGTGGGAGAAGCAACCACAGAACCAGCAGAACCCCGTACCCGTAACTTTATAAAGTATAAATACAAATATATACATATATCTAATATGCAAGCATGCAGATAAAGACAAACAGAATCGTATATATATAAATAAATACTTATATTGAATGGAAAGCCCAGCCCATGCAAATTTTATAGAAGCTTTTGGTGGGGCGTATCTCAGATTTTGTGGATTGGATTTGCGTAGTGTTTTGGGTGGGCTTACTGTTTTTAATGACATCTTTTTCTAAAGTAATAAGACTTAAATTTTAAATTGAAATATTAGATTTTAGCTTCCTAGTATTACTTAACGTTCGTGCACCTTGAGGTGTTGTTTGTGATTCGATTTGCGCAGGAATCGTGCCGGACAGAGTGGACAGGCAAAAGGACGCAGTTGAGAGTGGGCAATCTGATGGTGCTTAAGCTCCGAGGCGCTAAAGAATCTCTTGCTGCAATGGGGCTGCGGACAGGCGAAATCACGTTGGTTATAATGCCTCTTTAGGTGGATGCTCAGGTAGCAGTGATCCGTAAGAACTCGGCTACAAACCGGACAGGTGAAACTAAGAGCAATCGTCTCCCGTTGTTCTTGTTCCTCCAGCGGATGATCGGTATCTGGATCCGTTACAGCCGAATGCCTAAGCTTCGTGTGAACGCGACGGGCGTGAATGGAGTGGAAAGAGATTTGACAGTCCTTGACCAAACACGGATACGGTTTTTCTCCGGTATGCAATCTTCGATGGACAGTAAGATAGTTGGCATACCGGAATCCCTTGTCGCAAATGTCACACTTATGCGGCCGCTCCGCCGTGTGGGTCACTGCATGGATGCGAAGTTTGTTTAGCTGCCGGAATCCCTTGCCGCAGTCTTCACACACATGAGGTTTCTCGTCTGTGTGGGTCATCTTATGGATGCGCAGATTGTATGCCTCCGAGAAGCGTCTGTTGCAGACATCGCAGATATGATCCTTTCCAGCTTTCGGGTTGCGTCTTGTTGGTGGTGCTCGCTTGGGCTTACATGTGTCTAGTGATTTCGGTTCAGTTGTGTCCTGATTCGGAAGAGCCTAAATGGCGATACAATGCTTATAATAAATTTAGATATATAATTTCAAAAAATTCGGCCCGAAAAAATGAAGCTTGACCGATTAGTCATCTCCACAAGCCATTTTAAATATATTTAACTTTAACTTTACTGACCCCATTCATCAGATCTAATAAATCGAATTCCGAGCTTGATTTGAGCAGCTCCATCTCCAATGGCACTCTTTCTCCGGAGATATCTTCCAGTTGGGCAAACAGTTGCAAGTCCTCGAGGCAAGCCCCATAGTTACTTTGATCCTGTACTGCAAAACTGGCCAGTTCTCGTTCGGTATCTGTTATGGATATGAGATCTTTAGATCGCATGATGGGCGCTTCGCTTCCGTCTGGATTGCTGCTGTTTTGCCAACTGCCTTCTTAGACTTCCGCTGGCACAGCACATCAAAAATAATGTCAACGGAGTCTCTGAGCAAGCGTCGATAAGATTACGCCGTGTTTAATTATGTAGTATATTATTACAGGCCATAGTTGTTGGCCATGGAATCAAACAAAACAAGCGGGTGTCGCTTATATTTTATTTTATCGAATTGTCGTTCATAAAGTTACCTTATAAATGAATGATTAGCACGGTCTGCACTTTAAACGCTGGCGGTGCGCACTTTGAGCCAATTTGACGATTCTCCATTGGACTCCAACAACTCGATATGTACATATATTTCTATATAACCGACAATTTTGTCTAAGGCTCAACTTTATCGGGTTGCCCTGATAAGACTCTTTGCAACAGTTATAATTTGCTTCACACTATAAAAGTAGTAGCTATGGGAGAACACTTAGATCGATGGTGTTTTCCCTTACTAGAGATCAGTTTCCATGCATTCAAAGTTCATAACGAAATTAAAAGCAAATCAAACATTTGCGATTGTTGATTTGGGGGACAGTGTATGTACATAGACGGCGTTGTAAACCGTTTTCGGAAGGGATCGCATAAGTTTATGGGCAATAGATATTATTTCTTTTTATTTATAAATTCTGTAGTCATAAAATTGTTAACACTTTGGTGATTTATGAAAAATTTAAAGGAAATACCCTTGGTATTCAGCCCATGGAAATATGCAAATAAAATAAGCTTTACAGGCTGTGCACTGTGATATTACCGGTCATCAGCAAGCTAGTCATAGTTTAGAGAGAGACAAAATACGATATGGACGTAGTCATGACTTGTGCCGGGGGTAAATACAAATGTATATTTTAACTACATATATAGCACAAATGTTTTCTTTTAATTTCATTGAAAGACTTTTATATCTTTATCTAAATTCTTTTAAGAAGGCACCCGATAGCCCACGTCTTTAGATTGATTTAATGGCAATGTCAAAGAGCAAGACTAGGTACAATTATAATTTATCAGGTTTAGATGAAATTGAACAATAATTGTTTGGGATTTTTAGTGGGGTTTGTTATGCAGCTGAGACTATAATTATGTTAAAGTTTGACCTAGACGGTAAATTTCTGTAGCAAGTGGCGCAATTCCTCGTTTTGACGCCTCAGAAAGACGACCTCCGCATCGTACTGCACGCGCATCTTAAGAACTTCTACATAATGATTTAGTCCATGTTCCAGTGTCTTCCATAGCTTGCACTTTGAGGCTGGGAAGCAGGCCGAAAACTGGCGCCAGAAGTCACGGATTTCAGCATCCGTAATTTGAATGAGATTGACAGCATTGAGTACGCTGCCTGGTTCATGCTCGTACATTTGTTTGTGCATCTTGGAGGTGAATAGATTCATGGCGTGCAAGCAGAGAGCTGGTTCCATGACCAGGTAATGATTGTGACACCTTTTCGCCGCGTCTTCACCCTTGTTCATGAACCTATCCCCAGTATCCCGACGATCCGGGTATTCCTGTTGCCCTGTTGAGGCTTGCAGACGATTCGGCTTCTGATCCTTCATAAACACCTCGGCACACTTGCGTGGGCTCAATCCCTGTGGCTGACAATTCGGGCAGTATGTGTACGGCATAAATACCTTTGTCAGCTCCTTCACATCCCGCAGATGACGAATTCGTAGCGCCGCAAAGATATTGTCAATCCGCACTAAGCATTTGTCTTCCTCGGAATACGGCTCAAGGATCTTCAACAGTCTTTCCTCGATGAGAAAACCGCCGCGATCAGAAAGCTTACGGATGAGATTGCGCATCAGACGCAACGACTCTGGCGGCAGCTCCTTGATATCCGGACGATGCTTAACGGCCGATTTGGGAACCACCCGGTTTTTAGGAACTCGCCCAATTCGCATGTCGAACTTCTCCAAAATGTTATTCCGCTTCTTTTTGGCCTTGTTAATGTTCGGAATAGGTGGCACTGGACTGGACCACGGCATTGCCAGCTGTTGCTCGTGTATAATGCGATCAATGTGGTACACCCGATCCACCAGAAGGTTCAGCTCTTTGTAATTAATCTCCCAGATGCGATCGAACTTCTCGCGATTGTTCAGCCTCGCCTGATGGGCTTTCGATTCCATGTCATTGATGTTAGCATGCAGCTTGTAAATGTCCGAGGAGAGACGTGCTATGTTCCGCTTGCCGGTGTTGTAGAGATTCTTAAGACCACGTCGAGTGCGTCCAATGGCTTCGTGCAAGCGAGCTACCCGTCGCTTCTGCTGGTTATTAATGATCACGTTCTCCTCGTTTCGCTTCTGGAGAACCTGATAGTTGTAGTCCAGTTTCTCGGAGTTCATCAGTACATTGTCGCGTGTACGACGGAGCTCAAGCTCCAGCCGTTCGCATTCCTTCTCCAGCCGAATCCGAGTGCTCTTAGTCAGCTCTTCCTGGGACTCGTTGATTTGCTGCGTCTGTCGGGCATAAAACTGCTCCCTTGCCCTTACCAAACTGGCCTTCTCATCAAAATTAGCGTTCATGGCATCGAAAAAGGTGCGCCACTTTTCCACCGCACCGACAGCGAAGATTTGGCGCTCCTCCTCGATGGTGTTGCGCAGCATTTGAAGGTGTTCCTTGTAGGCCTCCTTTAGAGTCTCCACTTGGTGATCGACGCGTTCCACCAAGCAGCACAGATCCTGGGCCTGCCGCTCACGGTCGAACTCGTACTTGGCATTCATACGGTCCACCTCTTGCTGGCAAGCGGCTATCATCTCATCTTTGCGAGCCATAATCTCGGCAATGCGTTTTTTTTGCTCTTCGATTTGATCCCAGAGAAGCATTGGCTCATTGGTCTCCTCCAGTTCCGTCCAGCGAGCCTTGATGTTTTCAAATCGGGCCATAGTCTCCACGCTTTCGCGTTGTAGCTTCACCTGCACCTGGTTCTTCTGTGTGGCCTCGAATAAACGGCGATTTAGTTCCCTTCGTTCATTAGCCACACGGACATTGGTCACCAATTCGTTGCCGAAACGGACCAGTTCATTTAGGCGATCACTGGACAATTCCAGCTGCTGGTCAATGGGAGATTTCTGGGCCTGACAGCGCTCGGCGACCCCTTTCGGCGCTTCGCGAAATTGCTGACGCACTCGGTTTAGAATGGCAAGCCGACGTTCGTCTAATTTTTTTACCGACTTGTCGCAGTGCTCGTTGAAAATCATTCCATCGATGCGGTCGTTAAAGGACTCCCAGCTAGCCACCGGGCCCATATCGGGTTCCACTTCTTCCTCCTCTTCAATACTACCATCGCTGAGCTCCTGCTCCTGGTGTTCCTCCAGATCATCCTCATTATCGTCCATGGTTCAAAATATATTTGGCTAATCAAGAACTAAATAATAAATGTTTTGTGCGTGAGTTTAGCAGGCAATTCTCCGAACTAAGGATGTTTTGTTTTGTAAAAAGTTTGATCGAAGGATCCGTGGTTCCCTTGGTTTCCATTCCATTGCCCGGTTCGCTTTCTTTTCCAGAAAAAAATAAACACAACATATTGCTTACTTCTACTATTAGTGATGTCAAAAGGTCTAAACTTAGGGTTGAGTTTAGCTATAAGTAGCTAAATCTGAATTTATAGCTTTATTTCGCAGAAATTCTATAAATTTATAATTATAAAATTAATTTTTGCAGTAACTAAAAAATTTAGAACTTATTAAATTTATTTTAAATATTTTATTGTTTTTGAAACCCCTAAAATACTTTAAAAGTTTGGCTTGAGGGAGAGAGCAGTTTCACGCCAAATTACCCTTATCGATATTGACCGATAGGTACTGGAGTTCCAGCTGCTTCTTTCTCATTTTCTTCTGCCCTAGAAATTGTGCTGACGTCACCAGGCCTTGGGAATCTCAAAATCAGTGGGAAATTCCATTCCCAAAACCGGAATAAAATTACCCTTTAACCCATTCGTCCAATGTAGAACCAGATCTTTAGCCACGGGGTTGCATTTTACACTATAAAGTTGATGCCCTGCTAAATACAGCCCTGCATATTTTGGGGACACTGGGTTGCATTCGAACGAAAATTGGGGGAAACAGAGAAATATTCAAAAACCGGCAAATATATTGTTTACATGGTATTATTTAATTGGGTCTTATTTACAAAATTTGCGCAAGGAAGCGGGCCTTAATTGTCCTCAGTCTTCAAGGTGATTTCATATATCAGCTCGTCGTTATAGTCCTCCCCATGGACTTGGTGGTGGATCTGCTGTTGCTGTTGAACAGCATTGAAATATTGCTCTTCGGTGAGCAGTTCCTCTTCCTCGACATCCTCATCCTCCTCGGCGACCACGTTCTCCACCAGCAGACGTTGGTCATCGTACTCCGACATCTGAGCATACTGCTGATCGCCCTCGTTCAAATAATGACCATTAGGTGCCGCCTGCTCATCCGCCTGACCCTCCTCAACCAGCAATCCGTCGTCCTCGTCATACTCCTCCTCCAGCAGGTGTAGGCCTTCGTCCTCGTCGTCCTGGCCATCCATCATGCCACCAGAAGAGGATCCACCTTGGTTTCCATTACCATCCCCAACACCCACAAAGCGACGTGTATTGCTACGGCACTGGATAGACCGCTTGTGTGCATCAAAGTAGTTTATGTCAGTGAACTCCTCTTGGCACAGATGACACACATAAGTGCCCTGACTTAGGTGCATCTCCTTGCGATGGCGGGCCATCTTGTGGGCATCCCGACACTGCATACCACAGAATGGACATTTCAGCATTCTTCTCTTGCCCATGTGGACATTGCGGATGTGTTCTTGCAGTGAAAAGTTCTTGTAGTAGGCTTTCTGACAATATTGGCACTGGAATCGCCTCTTCTTTTCGTGCGTTGCCTCGCGATGTCGCTTAAGTTGGGTATTCTGGGCGAATGTCTTGCCGCACATCTCACAGATGTGCTCCTTCTCGAGATGCCGACGCTGGTTGTGGACGCGCAGGTCCTGTTTGGTGGAGAAGTACAGGGTGCACAGTTCGCACACATATGGACGGATGCCCATGTGGCGCCGTGCATGTCCGGCCAGGTATTTACAGTCGCGATACGTTTCCGTGCAGTATATGCAGGCATAGCGGTTGGTCCCAGGCACCAAATGGGTCTTCTGGTGCTTGGACAGCTTCGTCTTGTGCATCACATCCGGACAAATACCACATTCCACCGGTAGCTTCTCATCTAGCATATCACTCATCATCGAGAACTCTACAATAGGTGTGCTGTCCTCGTCAAAGTCCACTATTGTGGCTATCAGGTCGTCGAAAAGCAAGTAGCGACGCGGGCCCTTAAACTCCTCCAGCATTTTTTCGCTGGGCTTCACCTCCTTGACGCTGCCATCGTCGTCGTTGTTGCTGGCAAAGCTGCGTATAGCGATTTGGAGGGCAGAAGAATTTCTTAATTTGCCAGCGGGTTGGACAGAAGGCGCCGGAGGTGGTGGTGATGATGGCAGGGAAGGCGACGAAGGTGGATCCATATCCAAATCCTCTTCTGGCTCCTCGGATACGGACGGATGGGCATAGCTGAGTTCGTTCTCGTAGTCGCCGTTATCTTGCTCTTGATCTTCCTCCACTAGCTCCTCCATTTCGCTCAGCTGCAATTCTGTGACCACAAACTGCTCTTCCTGTTCGTCCAGCACCGTTTCCCTAACCCGAGACTCCACTAAAAGGCCCTGCAGCTCCTCGTCCACCAGCAATTCGCCATCCACACCTTCTTCGTTGATAATTAGGAACTCGTTTCCCAGGCCATCCAAAACCACGAATGTGGCATCTTCGTTGGCGTCCAAACCAACGGCTCCTCTATTGTCATCTTCCGAGTAATCACTTTTGGCGGGCAGCACGAACTCTATTATTTCGGACATGTCCAGGTTCATACCAAGCCGGTTGTTGCTCATCCTGGTCGCATGAACTAAGTTTACTTATAATTTTGCATGAATCTCTTCCCCGAAAAAGCGGAACCGTATGTTAGAAACTGACCAGTCGATGGTAACTGAACCACACCAACTATCGAATATAGACTTGCCAGTCTTTTAGCGAAAAAATACTGACTGTGTAAATACGATTTAAAAAAAAAAAATATATATATATATATATATATACATGTATATTTAAATATATATTTTTTTTTTTTGCAAAAATTAAAAAAAAAAATACGTAAAACTTAAAATTTAAAAAAAATTAGAAGTTATTTCATACACAGAGGTATATACAAAAAGCGGAATTGATTTAACTTTTTAAGGGGTTTATTATTCTGATATTTTGGGTATTAAATTTATAAATATTAATTCAGAGACATAGACCAAACTTAAATAAAAGAATTATAGTAATTTTGCCATTTATAAATAAAAATACTAAGACTCCATCTACTAAGCTTCGATGTTTGTGACCTATCGATAGCACACATTTTGGATGTGATCGTTGCGCGCCAAAGAAATCATGGCGCATGGGACAACGGTTAACGTCTTGCCGCCTTAAGCCCCTTCCTCTAGTTGTTGGTGTATTGTTTTGCGGTCTGCGCTCGCGACTAACTTGGCTAACTTCTGGATTTGGAATTGGCCTGGTGTATTGCATCTGCACACTCGGTGGCGCGCGCTTGTCTTCTTGAGACTTCTTCGGCGTTTCGCGAGTTTTTTTTTTGTTTTTACTGTGATTACTGTTTTTCAGTTGAGAGCGTGTGAAGTGCGTACATGCGTAGTGGATGATAATTAACCAATTTGAAAATTACTGTTCTTCTGCTTTATTTTATAATTCCAATTAACCGCAAAATTGCGTAAGGAATTCGATTGTGCACAAAATCACGAAAAGATTGATAAATTACTGTTATAAGGCGTGAATAAAGAATACTGAAAGGATAAAAAAGTTATTTTAATAGGTAAGCTTTTAGTCAAAAATTCAAAACAAATTAAACTTAAGGATTGTAAAATATGTTCTAAGGGTAAAGTGAAAACTAAGTAAAATTATAAAAAGAACTGTGTTGATATTGCCCTTCTTTTAAAACGTTTAATAACTTGGTATAATTCATAAATGAATTAATCTTTTAAAAATTTCATATTTTTTAATGCAAAAAAGTGAGTAATAATAAAAAGTACTAAAAAAGTGTGAATAAATTATATAGTATTTACATTAAATAGCTAAAAGGAAAGGCGGCCACAGTGAAGGGCAGGTAATCTTAATGCCACTGCGACATCGAAAGGTTTATTATTTATTTTGGAGTCCAAGTTTTATTGTTAATTGGGCTGATTACAATGCCAACAAGAGTTAATAAAAGATGGGAATCACAAATACAAATAGACAGCACAACGAGCGAATAACCAACGAGCAGACAGTAACATCAAATAGGATTACGCAAAGTTGCAAACGCATTATGTTGATGTTGATTTAAGCTTTGGTGTTTGCTTTTATCGCATTTATTTATTTATTTGTTCGCCGTGCTGCAACATCTTCAGCAGCCTCATAGCTTTATATATTATAGCATTAGTCCAATCAACAAATATGGGACAAACTTGACCCGCTTTCGTCGCGGAATTGGCATCGTATCTCATGGCATCGAAAATGGACAGGGAAGGGCTCCCAAATTGGCCTCTCGTTTATTTGGCAATTATAAATTACATAAAGTGACTGACACATCCCCCTTTCCCTTTTCATTGTCCATAGAATCGATTATAACCATCGATTAGAGTGGTTTGATGATATGGAATCACTATTACTAAATGAATAACTTATTGAACTATCTTTATAAAAACAGAATATAATACCAAAAAAATTGTAAATAGAAACATATATATTTGTTAATTTTTCTTAAAACTTTGTGATATTAACATGAGGAGTCGAGAAGATATGTGACCCAAAATCAGCGGTAAGCAACTAATGCATTTCCATTTCGCAGACAAGATTCTCGAACTTGGACTCGGAGTAGGCCAATTAAGAGTTAGCCACGCGGCCACACGAACAGGTGTCGGCGGTTCCAGCAGCAACATCAACAGCAACATCTAGTGACAGCAGCAACATCTAAAGACAGCAGCAGCAACAAGTGGCATCATTTGCGGTTTTGATAGCCGGGCGGGTTTGCCGTTGCCTGGTATAAAAAAAAGAAGAAGCAACAAAACCAAAAACGGGAAATCGGAAACATGTTCTCCTCCAGCGCCGTCGCATCCTCATCCTCTTACTCATCCTCCATTTCGATTCCACGTCGTGGTGGCGGCTTCAATCTCGGCCAGCTGCTACCTTTGGCCATCGTTATCGGAGTGTTGCATCTGCCGCAGTTTGTGTGTCATGCTAGCTGGGCAACCAGAACGCCAGAGAATTCCATTAACGAGACGACCGCCTCCTCGACCGCCATGCAAATCCAGACATTGCAGGTGAATTGCAGCAGGGAACTGCTCGAAATGCATTTGGAACTGAGCCGGCCCTTTCGAGGATTACTCTATGCCAAGGACTTTCCACTGGAGTGTCGGGCGAGAGGACAGGACTCCACACGTCTTCACCTTCGCATTCCCACCTCGGGTTGTGGTGTTCGGGCAGAGCCGCTCGAGGATGGTAGTTTAGAGTATACGGTGCGCGTGATGCTTCAAAAGGAGCAAAAACTCCGCCAAAGTACCGACATTCTTAGTGCCGTAAGGTGCCAACTTCCGGCCAATGCCATGGGAATGCCACTTCCTGTCCTAAGACAGGAAAAAGGACACGAAAGGTGAGTAGCTTAAGTTACTAATAAAAATTATTAAATTTTAATATTAAAGTTAAGGACTTAAATATCAATCATATATACTAAATATTATAATACATTATACATTATTTACAGAAATGCACGAATGCGAGCTTTGGCAGCGGCTGCCGTTCCAGCTCTTTCCGTATCCTCAGCAGCACCCACAGCCAGTGCCACCCATCAATACATGGAGACTCCACGGGTTAGGATATGGTTGGAATTGGGTGGCCCGAATGGAACTGGATCCGTAGAGGTCGGTGTGGCTACCACCTTGACCGTAAGGGCCATCGTTCCGGGAAATATTGGAGTGCGGGTGGTGGATTGTGCTGCTCTCGATGGATTGGGTGAATCCACACAGCAGTTATTAGATGCCCGTGGCTGTCCCATCGATGAGCAGGTGAGTGTATTAGCCATATCTAAAGATATGTATATAGTCGTATATGTATCTAGTGGATCGGGTCATTTGCGTAACAGGTGCCGGAGGCACGACATTCTACGCTTAACCGTTAGAGCGAAGAAGAAACTAAACCTAGACGCGATGAGACAAACGGAAAGTCATTAATTAAGCACAATGTTATGCTGTCGGGTGATCAGCGATTGATCGCATTTAACTTTCATTTTTATAGACGGCACTTCGAGAGGGTATCAGAAGGTATATGAATGCTTTTTAACAGAACTTCTTTTTCTTCTTAAAACTACTTTCAAGTAAATGCTAAGTAAATAATATGTACATTATTATATACCTTTTTTTAAAGACCCAAAAATGATATATCCTAAAGCCAAGTTTAGATGAGTATCTCCAAAAAGGGCTTTCTCAATTGCAACTTCTATAAAGCTTAAAACATAACTTACTTTCGAAAATTAGTAATTAGTAAATTATTAAATGTAATTTCTGTCAACATAACTTGAAAGTTTTTATGTGATTTGTTTTTGAGAAAACTTGAAGTGCATTTTAAAGATACAAATATGTAAAACACAAGCCATTTGGGCTCCATTCTTTGCTGTTGATTTCTTGATCACAACGAAAGGGAAACTTAATAGATGGAAATTGGAAATAAAAAAATCGATTGATTGGATAACGATATTAAGCCCCTTGTCACCTACATATATTTAAAATATTTTCCGCCTAAAAACCAAAAAAAAAAAAACAGCAGTGCTTCATTAAGTGTAACAGTTATTACAGCACCGACATTAAATGTGAGGCAAACGGCAGCAAAACCGAAACTGTTAGCCATAATTACGCGATCATCGTTAGAACAGTTTTCGTTGCTCAGCCAACCAGTCCCAAAACAACTCAACCCGCGTGGTGGGGGGGTTGGGTTAGTGGTCTTAACTCAAACCATTAGGTAAAGTGGGAAAATTATAAAAAAAATAACTAAAGAAACGCCTGCGAAACGTTCTCGGTGTTCCCTGGATTCTTTGGTTTGCCCAATTCTTCAGTTCTTCGGTTCTTCTTGAGTAAATTAGGAGGTCACAACAATTAGCCAACAGTGAAATACATAGAAATATTTATCGTTTAGCATTTTGACGTGCCCCTGTTGTGGTTGCTTCAACTTCATATCCCCAGCACCACAATCTTCATCAGCACCACTGAGCCGATGAACAGTGGAACAAGCTTAATATACGGCTGACTCAAACTAGCGAGTTACTAAAAGGGTTAGCGGATCGTCTAGAGTAAACTTTCCTAAGAAATTAAAATATAATACTAGATATCCCATATTTGTTTTTAGATATTTTTGTTCCACTGTACCACAGTGGGCAGGCGGCAATGCCATTGCCAAGCATTTGCATTTTGGTCGCCGGCCGTCGCAGCTTTGTGCACATGTCATTCATTCACGAGACGGCCTTAAATGGGTCAAACAAATCTCCAACTGACGCTTCGCTACTTCTTTATGTTGTTGGTGGTCAGGGTAGCAGCGCTAGAAAAATCACACGGCTTAATTTCTGTTTTATTTTAACGGAACGGGCGAGAAGACATAGACATAGCAAACACACACAGAGAAAAGAAGAAAAAAAAAACATTTGCATTTTATGTTTGTTTTATTGTTCATCTCTTGGCGGCTGTCTTCCGTTTTAGCACATTTCATTTTCTTTTGCGTTGGTTTATTGTTTTATTTTTCTGCTCCTTACTTCTTCTGCCCCAAGTCGGTCCATTGCGATTGCAAATTTATGCGCACACCCATCACAGGTTGATTTGTTTGGTTTAGAAACACTTCTGGGTCAGAGCGTGGAGGAAAAGTGAAATAAAAACCGCGTCTTTTGTCTGCAAACAGAGCCGATGATAGTGACCCACTTTCTGGCATAGAATCTCTAGAATGTGACCCATAGTGCAAGTACCGTTATAAAAGGAGTACGCAAAGTATAGTTATCGATCCTGGGGGTTGTCTCCATCAATAGATTATCTATTCCGCCCAATTGCTCATTAAGCACTCCTTCAGCAATTTTGGAAAGGGATTATTACTTATCAGTTTGGTTTAATAAAGGAAGAAATTTAGTAGATACATTTGCATTTGAACAATCTTTCTCCGCGTGAACTCGTTTGAACTTCCGCAACAATTTACCTTTTTCTCGTTATTGTCTCAGGTTTCGCGTTCACATACACCCGCACATGGTAAAACACGTGCTTGGGCGTGTAAATTGAAACTAGACAACGCCGACTACGCTAATCAACGTGCGCCCTGCGCCCTGTTTCCTTAATATACCCTATCTGTAGATATGTATTATGATTGTCTTAAATTTATAATTCATTACAACTTATAAGAATCAGAGCAGAGAATCAGTTTCTTTGACCACGCGCTCAAACCAATTGTGTTTTAAAGAGATACTTTCCTGAAACTCGATAGCCTATGGCTTGTAAATGAAATATAAGGGTATAAAAACTACGTTTTTTCCCAAGTATGCATGCTTCCTCGCTTTGCTTTTAGTTACCACCAACAATGGTGAGATGTAAATCACAGCGTCTTGTAATTCCATACATCTGTTTCCAGCCATCGCACATGCATCATACCATATACCATATGGACCATATATACGTATGCGCTATTTGCGACTCTTGTGTTGTTGTCATTGAACTTGGCCACATGACGGTTGCTTTGCCACCTTTTCTCCGTGTTTTCTTGGTGTCGTACGAGTACTACATTACCTATACGTAACGGAAATGACCGAAATGTCGGCGTGTGAGCCAGTGTTTTGTCACCCCGAATTATTGTATAACCGGTGATAAAAGAAGGCCATGAAGGGCACACAACTGCTTGAGGGTTTCGGATTGGAGTTCAGGTTCAGGTTCAGGGACAGTGACCACAAGACAGGTTCATATTCTCCCAGTTTATCCCATAAATGTGACATAATATATTAATAGCATGGTGTTTTTTAAAGAAGTTCTTAAAGCACTTATTTTCTTACTATTATATCATTTCAAAATGTTGTTTCTGAGACAGCCCTATAATTAATTTGACTATAACTTTTGTATATATACTACTAGGTTATATTTCCGTTGATGTCCAGTTCATAGTTTTAAGTTCTCCATACAATAAGAACCTTCAAGTGCCCGCTTTTGAAATCAGACCGAGCTTAACATCCACTTGATTTGCTACTTAAAAAACAGCCTTGTTTACCATGCGTAGCTATGGATATACTAATTTCCCTCGTTTCCATGGCCAGGTAATGCCCGCTTTGCACACCCAGCACCGGCCGGCAGAGGAGGGATGGTCCAAGCAGCACGAGGAAGACTTGGTCGAGCGGACATTCGCGGCCACGTTTCCCGCCTTCAAGTTCCCGGACCGCGAACGCCTCCACGTCAGCTGTGGCGTGCAACTTTGCAAAAGGAAGTGTCCGACTGTGAGTATCACATACTTGTACTACACACCACACAAAAAAAAATCAGTAATCGTTTTGGATAGCTTTCACTTAAATACTTAGCATATCAACAAGTGTGTCTATTACCAAAATAGACTCTCATAGAAATTTCATTAATTCTTAAGATGATTTAAAATCTTCTTCAATATCTTCAAATACCATTAAATATTATCTTTGGTAAAAGGTCCAAGCGGAAATGCAAAGTATTTTTTTCTCTGTGTACAGACAAAAAGCACCTCTCGTATGCATCTCAATTAATTGCAACGAAAACGAAAGTGTTGCCACCGCCGCTTCTACTGTTTTCTGCTGCCCATCGTAGCGTGTTGTTGCGTTTGCTAATTAATGTGGTTATTGCACCGAAATGCAGCCAAGTGGAGCCACATACCCACTTAGCCGCCAATGCACCAACCGATGTACTGTCTCCTCTGTTTACAATACTACAGTGCAACGTCTTCACTACCTGTATATATATTAAATATTTATTTATCTTATCAAATAATTTTCACCACATTTCACCGATTTCCTTTCGCTTCCAGCTAAATTGTCGCCAGAAGACACCTTCGCCGGCGTTGAGTGCTGATCAGCACTTGGCCCGCATCGAGGTATTCAATTCGCTGGCCGTCACAGCTCCTCAAATCGAGGTGGATCGCCTGCGATACGACAGGCGCCACAATATGAGCGGTAAGTAAGCGGGATTGTGGGTGGTTTAGGCTGTAAAAGTGCGTGCCAGTCACGGTTCCTCAACCTGGTTAAAAGACGTATTAACCAAATTTTTCACTTTTTACAAGGTGTAACTTAGTCTATTTAAGAAAAAAGTGAAATTTTTTTATATTATTAAATCTGAGATTCATTCGCTTAGAAATAAGTATTACTTACTGTATTTCGATAATTTTTGGCAAAATATCAAGTATACGACTTTCGCATTTTTTGTTGTTGTTATTTATAAGGTGTAAAATAGTCTATTTAAGAAAGTAAACATTTTTATATCATTAAATCTGAGATTCATTCGATTCGAAATTAAATTATATAATTTTTTATTTCGACAATTGTTGGCAAAATATCAAGTATACGACTTTCGCAATTTTTGTTTATCCATAACTTTCTTCTTTTTTTGTGCAGCTAGTCATCCATTTTGATCCTTGTCATTGTCTAGTTTATTTTAAGAAATTCATTTCAACTATTATTGGCTTAGTGTGGGCAAAATACTACCCTTTTTGGGGAATATCGGGACTTACGAAATTTCGTATTTTTGATTATGGCTTAAACTCGGAAATTTTAGACTAAAATCAGGTTAAATATAAAATTTAATTTTTGGGCCATAGTAAACTGACATCTCATTTCAGGAGATGATTATTCGCCGCATGTTAGGAGTCAACCTGTGCCTGGTGAGGGAACCCTATGTCTGTCCATCTCCAAGTTGGCCATCTCTTTCTGCGTGCTAGGCCTGATTTTCCTGGTAGCCGTTGTAGTGGCCATCTTTTCGCTGATTCGATCGCGTCGCCAAGAGCGTCGTCACGGAGCGGGATTAAGTTTGGGACTTGGTCTGGGATTCGCCGGAACAAGCACCTCGAACAGCAGCAGCCGGTTGCATCAGGATCGGGCGGAGATCTGCACCTCGATGTTCTCCTCCAGCAGCGAATCAGCACAATCGCAGCCTCGTTTTGGGGCCAAGTTCCTTATGCCTTACTATCCCAATACCTTGCCCTACGGCCGTGTCTACTAAGTAACTTGTTAACTGGTTAGTTTATTAACAGATTAATGGAACGGCCTCCCAGAGACTGACGGATTCGTCTAACGAGTGGTACCAAAATATGGTCTAACTTTAGCAATATTATTGTAGTATTTTATCTTTATAACTTAAATGAAAGGATCTTGAAAGCGTTTTGCAAGTGGTTGAGGGCCAAAATGCGTTTTGATGTCCATTCGCCGAAACTATATTTAATACCTACATACGCATATATATACTTTAAAATAAAACGTAAAATAACTTCAAATAAATTAAATCAGTTCCCATTTTGATTGCGAAAAAAATTAAAATTTAAAATATCCTTTAAATATTGTCTTGTTATCGACGTGTTACTTGGTATTAAAGCTATTTAATATTTAATACTATATTATACTAAATGCCCTTAGCATAATTGAGCAAACGCCATCTGGTCTCACTGGCCAGCAGCTGTTGCTGCAAGTAAGAAGAAGCAGCACGTGCACGTTCTTGGGAAAGACGAATCAATTTTGTTTTTAATCGGTTTTTGGATTATTTACGCCTTGCTGACCCATCAATATGACCAAAACGGAGCCAAATGGCCGCACAAAAGCCAAAACGCCCATCAAACGTTACTTTGAGGTGGAAAATAACACAGAAAAGGACAATGGCGGCCTAGAACATGTAAAGCTTAAGAGCAAAAACCAACAGAATTTCACAGGCGATTTTATCAAGATGCAAAACAAAACCAAAATGCCGCGTCCCAAGAAGCCTTTGGTTAAACTGACGAAAGAAGAACTAATGTCCAGGCCTAAGAAGAATCCAATTCCCGAAGATATGCTTAATAAGTACTCACGTGGCGAGCAAGTGCAAGCGAAAGGTGTGAAAACGCGGCACTTTAAGGAGCAGCAAACGCGCAAGGAGGTGTACCTGGAATATGCCACCGAGCAGGCAGTTCGCACTGAGCTCCTGCTTCAGGAAACAGCTGGACAACTGGAGGCAGATGACGGCGAAACCACCGCCGAATTCAGGCAATCGCAAATTGCTGACAATGTAGATCTTCAGTCGTCTACTAAGCACTTTAACCTGAACATGGAATTCGGTCCCTACCAAATGAGATACACCAAAAACGGCCGACATTTGCTGCTCGGTGGTAGACGCGGCCATGTGGCCGCCTTCGATTGGGTAACTAAGCGCCTGCACTGCGAGTTCAATGCCATGGAGAGCGTCGAGGATGTCCAGTGGCTGCATGTGCCCACTATGTATGCTGTGGCCCAGAAAAGTTGGGTGTATTTTTACGACAAAAAGGGTACCGAACTACATTGCATCAAGCGACTGAACCGTGTCAATCGTCTGGACTTCCTGCCGTACCACTTCCTTTTGGCTGCCGGCAACAATGCAGGCTATGCATCCTGGCTAGACGTTTCCATTGGAGAGTTAGTGGGTAATTTCAACACGGGACTGGGCGACATACGAATAATGCGCCACAATCCCAGAAATGGAGTGCTCTGCATTGGCGGCGGACGTGGTGTGGTATCCATGTGGTCACCCAAGGTTCGTGAGCCGCTTGCAAAGCTGCTGTGCCATTCGACAGCCATGACTGCTTTGGCTGTAGACCCCAAGGGCCAGCATTTAGTCACAGCTGGTTTAGATCGTGCTGTGAAAGTGTGGGACATTCGAATGCTGGTGCACGACAAGCCGCTAACTCATTTCAAACTCCGCCTGGCTGCCAACGAGCTAGATGTCTCGCAGCGAGGTATGCTGGCGCTATCGCAGGGAACCTATCTGGAGACCTATGCGGATCTGCTTTCCGGCGGTGGCTCGGGTGACGGTACTCGGCTCCCCTACATCCGCCAACGCTGCGATGCCTTTGTCCATGGCCTCCGTTTCTGTCCATATGAAGATGTGCTCGGTGTGGCCACGGCCAAGGGCTTCCAATCACTATTAGTGCCTGGATCTGGAGAGCCCAACTTTGATGCCCTCGAAGACAACCCTTACGAGACATCCAAACAACGACGTGAACACGAGGTGCATGCTTTGCTGGAGAAGATTCCACCCGAGTTGATAACTCTGGACCCGCAAGAAATCACCGGCGTAGATGAACCCACACTACAGGAAAAGATCGATGCTAAGAGGAAATTGTTCCATGTAAAAGCACCTCGCATCAATATGAAATCCCGCCACAAAATGAAGGGTCGTGGCGGTACTGCAAAGGCGGCGCGCAACAAGCAGATCGTCAAGGATACCAAGCGCAAGGTAAGTCGGTGGTCTAGGCCTTTAGAAAACACAAATCATAAAAATTTTATGCCTGCAGGAGTTCATTGCCGAGGTGAGAGAGGCCAAGAAAAACTTGATCAAGCAGCACACAACTACAGAGAGTGCCAATGGCAAGACCAAGAAGGCACCGCGCTCCGTCTTGGACCGTTTCAAACCAAAACCAACCAAGAAACAGAAGACCTGATCGTAGTTTTTCTTAAGCAAGAGGAATATAATGTACACATTAAACTAATTTTAGAAGCTATACTCAGTGCATGTGTATTGTGGACAGCGAACGCTAGTTATACCCCATCACTGCCTTCAGGTAATCAGCAATTCGTTTGTTGTCAGCCTGCTCTGCCAGCTGCTTAGCTCCTTGCTCCAGTTTTCCATCTTTGTCCAACTCTTTGGCGTAGTAGAATAAATGAAGAACACGCTTTTGGATCTCGAACTTGTCTCCGCCTTCGGTATCCCCCGTAACCTGCAGTTTATTCAAATGATTGGTCACCTCTGAAGCATTTTGGATCAGAGCCGACATGAAGACGCCATTTAGTTGACGGCATAGTGTTGCCATGGCTCGCAAAGTGCCCTCCCCAACTGTTGGTTTCAGCAGCAACTGTGGCAGATAGCTTAGGAAAGGAGCGAATCTCTGCTCGCCACCAAAGCGGGTATATAAGTCTGAACGCTCCACTATCTCGCAGAGAAGATTCAGCACGCGAGTAGCCACGCCCTCACGAGTGGTGAATCGCTGGCCTACATAAGCCTCGATGGATGCATTCAGTAGATTAATCAATGGATCAGCTACGATGTTAAGCAGAAAAGCAGCATTTTCAAGGAGTAGCGAGTGCAGAGAAGCTACTACAGAAAGTTGCTGCTCCGGTAACAGCGAATTCAAGCGCTCCAAGCTCTGTTGCATGTAAGTAGCCAAATGGGCAAACATTTTGGCCTGTTTCTCGACGGGATTTGGAAAGAACTTACACGTCAGTTGTACAATGCCCAGATTTTGTGGCAAACAGAGTTCCCCGCCATCCTCTGGTCCTTTGTCTTTGCCTACCTTTTTGCCCGGTAAATGAATCTGTTGGTATGGAAAACGACTTCCGTCCTTGCCCAAAAAGTTAAGCATGAACTTTTGAGCGTAGTTTATCCTTAGCCAATCGCTTAGTTCGCTGATGTTATTTTCCGTTTCATGCTGTCCTATTAACGTCCAGAGAAGGATCATTAGGCTGATTACCACATGAAGACTTGCCGCTGCCTCCTGGCTAAGCAGGGGTTGTTGTTCCTGCGGCCGCACCTCCAACCAGTTGTCCTGCAGGAGAGGAAGTAATTGTTCCACGTAGGTTTGCAGTTGAGTGCCCTTTGCACTTAGTTTGGTTTCGTTGAGAACAGCGTGTATATCGCGGTTATCCTGAGGCAGGGTACGCAGTACATTGTAGTATTGCGGACGCATTATTTCGAAGTGAACCACACGGGCGATAGCAGGCTTGGAGCTCTTGGTGCTAGCTAACGTCCCGAGGATCTGCTGGAGGCGGATTAACACCTTGGTTCGCCACTTCACCGTTGTCTGTTTGCCCTGTCCCAGATTTAAAGTTAAAGTACGATTCGAGCGCTCGTTGTCGTGGCGGGCGCGGGAAATCATGTCGATGAAGTTGCCTATGATGGTGCTGGCACTCTTCTCTGCTAGAAGAGCCGGAGGTACTCGTTGCAGCAGTACGTCGAGCATGAGGAGAGAGTCTTCCTGGATGGCGGGCTGCACATGGGTCATAGCACAACGCAAGTAAGTGGTAATGACATGGAAAAAGGGCGCCACTGCATGTGGTTGCAGGGCCTCCAGCAGCACATCGAGGGTCTTGAAAGATTCCTGTCGGGCCGAACGCTCAATGTCCAATGCCCCCGCTGCAATTCCCTGGAAAAGCTCATTCAAATGTCCAATTAGATGATCCGCATTACCAGATTTTAGAGAATCGCGCACATTGCGCAGTGCATCCGTCCGGAACTTGACACTATGATGTTTTAACCGAGAAAGTGTCTCCTTTAGATTGAGCTGCCGCTGGCCACTTTCTGTGTATGAGGACTCCTTTAATTGCTCACGGATCTCGATTTTACGCACCTTGAAGTCCGTCTTGGTCACATTGAGACCCTTGGGCAGCTTGGCGCCTTTCAGCTTTACCTTTGCCTTCTCCGCCCGTAGGTTTTTCTTATGATGGCCGCCCATTTTACTATTTCTGGCGGAGATCGGGTGAGTACAATGTGCTATTCAAAATCAGCTGGCAGTTAGCGTTGCCACGTGCCTCTGTAAAATACATCTAGTAGATACCAAAAAAGAAACATTAATATTTAAACAAAATTTAAAATAAAAACAAGACATCGTATAAATGCTTTTAAGGAAAATAGTATTGTAAATCTTAGCATAAAGTCCTTATATAAATATTTGTTAATAAATTATTGTCAAATCCATTTTTGAATGGCAGATTATTATAAAGAAATCTTTTTGCTTTAAAGCTGTTTTGCAGCATTTAGAGTAAAATATCCTTGACTAAACATGTCGTTTTTAAATTTCTCAAAATATCAAACGATTTTCCATAAATCAATTTAAATAAGTTGGATATTAAGCTATACAGATTTACGAACGTACATCTCAAGATATCTGTTAAGCAATTAGGATATCGGAAATGACATTGCAAGTTGTGATGAAATTCAAATTCCAGAATGTTCCAGAATATAAAAATTAAAAAGTGGTTTAATAACTACAGAAATTTAAAAGTCGCACGAGTAGCTTTAATATAGTTTAATGTTATTCAATTTCTTTACAAGAAGTCAATATTATATTATGATTATTGAAATATTATTTTCAAATTAAACAATTTTATCATATAAAGGATTAAATAATAAATACAACAATTTAAGCAAGATAAAACCAAATAATTTCATTGTTTAATATAATAAAATAGGCAATTTAGTTAAGCAACATGTGCTACCTAGCATATTAAAATATCGATATCGGGTTGCATATCGTACTAACGCGTGGACTACCAACTTTTTTGACATTACCTCACCTGGTCACACTCAAAATTTGTATTTAAAGTGGAGCGTTTTATTGTTTTTGGCATTCGTTTGTGTTAATAAAACTGTTTACGTTGACGGAACACTTGGCGGCAAAAAGGAAACGCAATACCAAAGTCGCGTTTAACCAAACTACAAATAAATATAACACGGTAAAATCGAGTGGACTTATTGTGAAATACCCACACGCACACAAACTCACACCCGCACACTTACCACAAGTCCAATTGGAAAGAACCTTTCCGGGCGGGGGAGCACGTTTCTCGTGAATTTCGCCCCTGATTTTTTTTTAGAGATTTCTCGATCTCAATTCCGGTGGCAGCAGTATTTCTATAATTAAAACTAAAACAAAAAAAGTCAAACATTTTTTTTTTGAAAAACCTGTCCGCAATACTGTTTACATCTAAAGAGAGAGAGAGAGCAGCTGACGCCGCAGCTGTAAATTAGAGGGTGTGAAGTGAGGAAAACACGCGACCAGCTAATATAATCATTTGTTATTTTACATTTTTTGTTCTTGTAATAATAATGATAATAATTGTGAATTTAATTTCAATAGAAATACACACACAACCAAACACATACCAATAACAAAAAGGAAATTGTGAGAGCGAAAAAACAGCGGTAAATTCGGCAAATAACGTTACACAACCCCACCAAAACTGCAACAAGAGACCGTTAGACAGAGAGAAAAAGAGAGGAAGATCAAAAGCAGGTCAGTGCACATTTTTTTAATATTAGAGATAATAATATATTGTAAATATCTCGATCATTTTATTTAATATTAAGCTTTGAAGGTTTTTGTTGTGAAGTATTGATATCAAAATAATATGAAATTTCCTAAGATAAGAGCTACCTGTGGAATATTTTATATTGATTCCAAAATTTTGAGATTTTAAGAAATCTTGTTGTACTCAATTTTTTTCAGTAGAAAATTTCTAATAAGTCCAACCCTAAAGATATTATTTTATTTAAGTTAGAGTATGCTAATAGTACTCCTTATATACATAATTCCAATTGCGACTATATGCCGCCTGTATATGTATTTCTTATTAGACGACGCAACAGCTGAGAGGACACTCACCAATTGTCGCACATTCTTATTGGAACAAATACGGCAGCGTGTACCATTGCTTTTGTTTGTCTTTGCGTTTGCTTTTTGTTTGCGTGTGTGTGCTTTTGCGGCTAACTTTTTTGCCGGCAAGTTGTTGTTGCTAACGTACTTGTTGTTTTTGGTGTTTTCCCCCCGCATTTGTTGTTTTTGCTGCTATTACTGGTATTTTATTTAACACTAGTGACGCGGCAGGTTTTTTAATGATTTCGTTCAAAGGGGGTCAAAATGGCAAGGCCTTGGGCTCTGTCCGGTGGACAGCAGTTGGCAAAATATTAGGAATTATATCAAAAATTTCAGAAAAACCTTTATAAAGAACTACAATTTTTTAAGAACATAGGAAAACGTAAAACAAGTATTGTAATGATCCATAAAACATTCATTTTATAGAAAATTTCTTTAAAGCTATTATAATTTGTTAACTAGCTGATTGGTAATAATAACTTTCCATTGCAAAATATTAAATATAATAATATGCCTAACTAAAGAATATTAATAGCAATATTAATTTTCTACCTAAATCGAAAATTGATCGCTTTTAGTACTTTTGTTTGCTAATTTTATAGCCCACATTGTCAATAATTGTGTACATTTTGTAAATGCGTAATTACCAGAGCGGCCAACTACTCTGTTTTTTTTTTTTTGATTTTCTATGTTGTTTGCCGTAATTACCGGGCAATTCGATTTTAAGTATCACCCGGACTTTGTTGTTCTTGTATATATGTGGTATGTGGTTGTTGTGAACAAAGGCCTTGACATTCGTTCAATTTGATGTGCATGCGATTTACACCCATTTTTCTTGCCCTTCATTCTTTTACTTTTTTTTATTTTTGGGTGGTAAAAAAGACCTTGAGTGGAAACTTCTGGCATTCTCGTATTCTCACATTTGCCATGACCAATGTGAAAAAAACAAATTTGGACATGCAATGGGTTCCTAATCAACGATATTAGGCCCCGATATTCCGGGATTTGTCGAGTCACTGTTTGCCGGCTAAAGTGACGTCACTAGCACGCGAGCAGATTGCTCATACGCCGCGTTTGACCGAGTGTTAATGGGGTATTCCTCTCCAATTGCGTCTCAGTTAAAGATCCCCCCTCCAGTAGGAGGAATTAAAATGAACATTAGGCTATAGAAATGTTTGCCGCAATTTCACCACAATATGCAAAGCTTCCGGTGACGTAATTTCGGGATAGAGGGGATAAAAAAGGCGGAAAAGAGAGAAGCAACGTAAAAACAAAACATCATATCATTTTGCTTTCCTGATCTATCAGCATGAACATGCAGAAAATTCCCACGAATTCTACCCGTGACTCACACCGATCTACAGTGAGTATTCTATATGGTAAACCCATAAAAACTATACAACAATGAAACAATATTTGTCATTTGTCATTAGGGTAAATGGGACTATTAGAAAGTGATCCTTATGAAATTGTTTATAAATTTGTATATTATAAGAGAGCGCTGACTGTATTTCCCCTTCCCTGTCATACGCATCTCACGATCAATTACAACTGTTGTTTGATAGAGGCGTGCGAAAAGCAATCAAAGCTTTTCAATGCCTTTTCCAGTTGTTGTAAACTTTGCAATTGTTATCGAGCCATGACTTGCTCAAAGGCGTTCAACTGTAATAGGTATATGTATGTGCATATTTGATTTGTATTAGATAAATATGTTTATTACGCATAAACCGGTGTGTCCGTTCAGATAGCGCCATTTGGCCTTGCCCTAAGTTAGCCTTTATTGAGCGGCCTAATCCCAGCCATTGTCACGCACCGAAAAGCCACTTAAAAATGCCATAGGCATTGGCTACACAGAACGAAGTGTGAGGCCTTAAGTGTTTATTAATTAAAATAATATATGTCAATCACATAATATTATAATCACGAAACATAGCAGTGCAATTAACGCCTGATATCTATAGCATATCAGCATGATATTTAAAATATATATTAAAGAAATACTTTCATCATGATTTTCACAACAACAAGTAGAGATTTAAGGGCTGTTATCTATGGCTGTATAAGCGTGATATTTCGAAAATATTAATGAGGTTACTCATTTTTTATTGTTATTTTTTAAAACTTAAGTTATTTATTATTATTATTTTTCACTGTGTAGCCTTAGGCCTTGCTCTCCACCAGGTAATTGTTTGTCGATGCGCATTAGCGGCCAACTTGCTTGAGTAATCGTTTTTACAACTGTATTATTGTTATTATCTGCTTTTGCTCTTGTTTTTGTTTTTTATTTAACTGTTGTCCTCGTTTTCGTATTTAATTGCTTCTTCAGAAAAGATATATGTAGTTGTAATTAGTTAGGAATTAGGAACGGAAAATTAAGAAAATGCTTTAAAATATAATGAATTTAGACGACTTCTAAGAAGAATAGTTAAATACTAGTTGGAATACGTGTTTTATAACCTTTAAATACTTGAACATATATTGTATTTGGTAGTTTGCTTAGTTTTATGAGTTCCTAAATTATCTAAAACCACAAGCAATAAACATTGCACATAAACCCTAATGAAACCCCCTTAAGTGAAATTGTTTTTAGTAGTTTACTTCAAACCACAAGATATAATGGTTTCCTGTAAAAGCTAATTACTCTACTTTTACGTCTTTACAAGTTTTAAGATGAAACCATTAGTTATAGTGACGCAGTGAAATGAGTTAATAATAAAAACGTTGACATACTAAGTAATATTCTTCGAATAGGATAGCAGAGTTTATCGTATTCGAGTTGAGATCTCGTGACTAAGAGACTTCCAAAATACCCAATACGTTATACGATCGTAACTCAAACTTTATTACTCATCCCTCAAGTGCATTGCACCCCCCTTTCCAGTGCCTCTCGTTAATTAAGTGTCGTCGCCAGGAAATGAATTTTAGCAACCAAATGCGATAAGTTAATGTTTGTTAAACGGGTATTTTTGTTGTTCTGTTTTGTATGTTATAGCTTTGCACTGGCATTAAGTTAATTGTTTTATGATTTTAACGATTATACACAGATATACGACGACTCAAGGATTCAAATGACAAAAAGTTTCCCTTGGGAAAACACCTTCAGAACCTTTCATTTTGTGGTTACCAAATGTCGACAAACCTTACATTTTATAGAGAAACTTCGTCGAGTGTCTTGTGTTTATTTGCCCCAAATGCAAATATTAAACGGTTTTTCAATTAGCAATCTTCATTTGCTAGCAATTATACGATATGGCACAAGCCGGCAAAATTGGAAAAGAAAAACATTTGATTACGCAAAAGTATCACATGATTCACAGAAATATAAAAAAAACACTGGAGAATCGGTTGACGGATATTTCCCAGTTTCTGCTGAAGATTGTTATTATTATGTTTTAGATCCCATCCATATCTACATTGTTTTGAACCCTTTTGCCATCGAGTGCGTCACTCCTGGTTATTTGTTTGCTCTATAACTTACGCAAACTAAGCGACGGACTACTGTTGCTAATTAAACAACAACTGACAACCAATTCATATATGTTTATTTATATATATATATTTAGATATATATGTATATATATGGACACGCATTCATTTGCACAAGTGCATCAACTGGCAGCAATAACAATTAGCGAGCAACGAACAAAAAAAAAAAAATATCAAAAATGATTAAGCCATCGACGCACACGTGCTCTTGCCATTTAAAGCGTTCGAAAATTAACAAAAACGGGGCCTAAGGGGTGGCATTTTGAAATGTTTGCTAATTTGTATAATATAAACATCAGTCGTGTCTGTAGAAAGATATATTCCAGGGATATGTGCATATGTACGTATCTAAGAAAATATGCTAATAGCCAGTGCCAGCTATATAGTTCTACAGGAAAAATATAGATTAATCTTTGATTAAAGTTTATTCAGATAAGAAAGTTACTTAAGCTGAAGGGTTGTTTTAATATTAAATGCACAGTTTATAGGCATTCCACGCACTGTACACTATCGACCGGCAATCAATTAGGAAATTAATATTTATTAACTGACGTGCACGGTTCTCGTTTTTCAAATTTCTCACCAGGCGGAATTCTTTGCCCTGGTTCCCATATGCATAATACACGCCCATGCCTCCCGGGCGGGCCCCCAATACCCGGGAAACGTCCGTTACCCCTCTTCCTACGTAATGGCCCCATAATCCCTCTCGTAATCCCCATACCCTTCCCGCTGTGAGTGTCACGGCCAAAGAGAATTTATTACGTCGCAATTCAGTGCGACGACGACCGTTTTATGAGTCGTATACGTAATCTGTCCGTTATCTTATTATTTTTACTATGATGCACTTTGCGATTTCCCTCTTTTGCCTCTAAGAACTCAAAATATATTTGCTCAGCATTTAATTCATATTACGAGATTCCTAATTTAGTAAAGAATATTTCAGCTTATGAAATTCAAGAAGAAACTTAAAAAGTTTCTTCGAATTTTAGAATTTATAAAACTATAGCTTATCTGAAAACTGCTTAAGATATTGTTCTCTTTCGTTGAGATTTTCCCGTTCTCGCTGAATGGGAAATATGTGCATAGGTTTTTGTTTTCTATTTCACTTGAGGTCTGGCGACCCTGAACAACAAAAAAAAGAAAACATGGCAAAGGCATCGTGATGTGATGTGTATGTTCTGTTTTGAATTTTCTATTGCTTCTTTCCGCATTCGATTTGAAATTGTGAATGTGCACACAGAAAAAGAAATGTTTGTCAAACATTTACTTGGCATTTAAGGTATTTTGAGAAATTTCGATTTAAACGTTTTTGGTTTTACTGACAAGAAAATATATATATATATATAAAACCCTTTTTGTTTTTTAATCTCTTTAAAAAGAGGTTTTTATATTTTCTTTGTGTATTGAAACGCGGATGTTTAGATTCGCTTGGTTTCCGTTCGAGGATCATGTTCATGTGCTTTATGACTAGTGGACTGACTGCTGATTTCGCGACGCCATTGAAAACCCTTGAAAGTGTCAAAACAAAAAATCAAATTGCGTATACGCAGGGTGGTGCGCAGTCTGGGTAAACCTTCAATAGCCGAAATTTCGTGCGGAATTTCAGCTGAAATCGATAAAGCGTTGTAATCAGACTTTATTTTCCTATATTCTTCGAACATATGTCTGGTGAACTTGACTTATCAGTCAGTTATGGGATTTTCAAATTGTCTTTTAATCATTCTGTAATGTACTGCTAAATGGCTAAGAACATTAAGTGACTCATCCACTAATTGCTAGCCATTGTTTTCATAGTTGAAAATCTAACAAACACACCCGCAAACTGGTATCATATTGGCTTCGCTTACTGTTTTCATAAATGACATGGCAAAACGCAAGAAATACAAATACAAAGTGAAAAAAAAACACAAAATCATTGTGCTGTGCTGCCCTTCGACAATTTCAATTGCGTTGGTCAGGATCACAAATCAGGCATCAGAGAAACGTACACAGATTCTTGCCGAACATATAATTCAAACTATATATATTTTAACATATATGTATGAAGGCGGTGACTTTGCAATTAAGGCAAACGTGCTAAAATCAAAATTTACACATTAATTAACAGCCTCAAAAAGCTAGAAGAAAAGAAACAAATTCATAAAAGCCATATTTTATACACAAATTTGCATTTTAAATTTAGAATTTTGATGTTAATTACAAATAATTAGTTAATTTTCAGTTAAATTATTAAAAATAAATGTAAAATGTAATATGTATCAATGAAGAGAGAAAAGTTTATAATAAGTGACAGTTATGAAGTGTAAATATATTATAGACAGATTCTAAGGAAGGAATCCCAAACCCATTATATAGACGGTCTTCTTTACCTTCCAGTAATTTACCTAATCCCAAGGGAAAGATAAAAATAAAAAAGAAAATGGCATCCCGCAGCTAAATGCAATTACCAAATGAGGGGCACTTGGAGCCTCTTATCTAATCCAATACATATACCATATATAAAAAACAGGCATACACACAGAACTATGTACGAGTTGTGCAATTGAGACTTATCTAAGCGCATTTGCATCGTCGCAGTAAGTTAAACAGCGAATCAACCACCCACCCACCCTATCTTTTTTCTTATTAACTTTTCCGTACCACGAACTTAGAACTCAGAAAATCAGTAACTGAGAATCGAGGAAAATATACCCATTGATAAACCCCACAAGTGTCCACTTGAGAGCACTCCTTTACCTCCTTACCAAATCTAACGTTCCGCGTCGAAAGTTGTTGATTTGTTTTCAAGTTACCAGTCAATTGGTTGCCAGCTGTGATAGGAGAGATTCCAAGTGCAGGAATTAAGACGATAAGTATAAAGAGTTTTGGAGGCAGGAAAATAGTCATACAATCACTACATAAATAAACCACAGTCGAGTGACTGTATACTGATTGATAGAAAAGATTAATTAGCTTGTTATAATAAAATCAAATATATTGATAAGAAGCCTAGATTGGAAATACCATAAGAGCTAACACCTAAAAGCTAAGGCAATCGATATAAATATCCCTGAACTCTGAAGGCTACAATATCAAATTATCTTCAAAATAAACTGACCACCAATAAAATGTACTCAAAGATCGTGTTACCCAACTTTTTCAAAGTCTACAAGTGGTGGAAACTGGTACTTAAGAAAGTAGATATCTAATAGCTATTGGCTATATCAAATTGGCTCTAGTAGTTTTTCCTTTAAATGTTACCATTGAGATTCGACTCCAAACACCAGGTGCTCCTCCAGCCAAACATTTAACCTCCGACAAGACCAGCGTTTCTAGCGGTACTACCTGCTATTGTAGCCTCTCGTTTTCTGAGAAACTTCGGGGACATTGAATTATATACGGATTTAGAAGCTCCAAACGGACTTAAAGTCATATGATATACTATGGGCAACTGATTGAAATCTATGCGTTTCCTCTCGAACACATTGAATATTATAAAGTTGCCGAAACTTGAATGGCAGTTATTTACAATTCAGATGTCCGTTCAAGTATTTTGTGGACAAACGGCTTCCCATCGGGACGCAATCTTTATGGAACGGTGGTAAATCATCAACAAAGCCCCCAAAATCTATAAATATGTAGCCAATAACTAATATATATAATAAACCCTTCTAGACGGATTACCAGATTCGCTCAAAATGAATTCTTTTACCCGCCTGTCCGAGTATTTCTAAATATAATAAATAACTGCTCAAATAATTATAATGGCACTTGATCGTTTCGAGTACGTCCCGTGTTCCATCTATGGATCATTTATGGATTGGTATTGGGTTTGGGTTCGGGTCCGTTTTTATGACCGATCGTCGATCGTCCAGATATGAACGATTCCCACTCCTGCCCCGTGCCACCACATTTTCAGAAGTCTTCCGTTGTGTGATTTCCCCAATAAGACCCGTAAACCCATCACTGAGAACTGACGATGGATTCGGATTCGGATTCTTCGGTTCGTCGTCAACCGATCCGATCGCATCGAAGTCGCCGACATCGGCAGCGTGGCTGCTCCGTGAAAAGCTGGAGTCTGGCCGAGTATATATTTAGTCGCTGCTTGGCCGTGGAGCGACTAAAACCTTCTGGCATTTTGCAATTAAGAAAAAGAAATTGTATATTTTCATTTGCAAATCACAAGTTTAATTAACTAGTCAGCCAGATCTACATATAGTAAAAAAGGTATCCTTAACGAAAGTGAAATTAAGTGTTTTTTTTTAAAGTGATTTTATATTTAAGTTCTGGTGAAATATATTTTATTTACAGATCCTTTAAGGTAACGAAAATCTTTGAAGGATCCATAGATTTGTTAACTTATGTCTAGGAAAAAAAGAACACTACTAACAGTTAAAATTTTTTATATATCCTTTTAAAAAGGATACCCACAAGTTGTTAGATTTTCACTTTACATTTTTTATGTACTGCAAGGCATGTGTTTATATTTAAAATACAAAGCATAAAGTTTAAACATTTGAAAGATTTCGAATAGTTGAATAGTGTAAATGGTAAAACTTAGAACTTGAATTTGAAGCCACACTTGTTCTGCTTCTTCAAACTCGTTGCAAGATTGTCAGAGAATTTGTTTAATAATAGGATTCGATTTCAAAGTGGCAATCAACAGTTGCCAGCTAAAATATTGCACAATCGTCAGTCAAGAACTCGAAACTTTTGCTCCAAATAGCGATGTAATTCAGCTCGATTTTTGGCCACGTTCGGGTGATTGTTATAGGTATAATAAGTATACGCTCCGTTGGTCGTCAGTTGGCCTGACATTCTGACATTGATTACCCTGGAAGCTGGTACGGATCGGATTCCGATGAGGTGAAGTAAAGTGTTTTGGGGTGGAGTGTTTTTTTTTTTTTTTTTTTTTTTTTGGAGTGGAGTGCTTTGGTGCCGGTTGTAAATCTGCGATCTGAAATTTCCTATTCCCCCGTATGATTCAATCAGTTCGAGTGGCGCACGGCAACTTGTCGGATGCCTAAATATATACATATATATATATTATATATTTATATATATATATAAGTGTTGGGGCACACGGTTGTGGAATTATACCCAAAGGCTGCTCGCTCTACCACGTTATCAATTATTTGATTAATATTTGGTCGGTCGCACCTTATCAATTAATTGAACCAAATGTTGTAAATTGTGCGAGTGTCAAGACCAAAACAATGGCAAACAATATAAATGCACTCCAATTCCGGCACACGAATGCACTTGTGCCCTTAAGATATTACGTAGGAGAATGAAGTGATATCGGTGGAATTCGAATTCGATTTTGAAACTTAAATTCAATATCAAAACGGAGGTGGGGCATTCGGAGGGCATTGACTGGCGATCGGCGAATGCGGGGTATCAAGTACTAAGCGTGCTTGCACAGAGAAAAATAATTTTAAGTCATTCTTGACGTCTTTCAATACTTTCCATTATAAAGACCAATATATTTTGGATTTAATGATAATATTAATGATGGATACTCACAAAAGACTACATATCCAAATATCTTCGACTTGTTTTTTATCCGTGTATGGTCAAGTCATATTGTTTATGCAATCGCAATGAAAATGCAAATTACAAATTGAAAATGCATCGAGTGCAGCTTTCTATGTTTCGAATGCGATTGCACAATGTTCGAGTCGGAATGAAATCGGAGAGGAGGTTAAAGAGGGTTGCTATTCCGGGTGATAATGGCGCAGTAGTCGTAGTAGTCTGTCCCAGACGTCACACCGGATCGGTTTAGATCGAAACGGAACGGATCGGCAGGGTCTGATCGGGGCAGGGCAGGGAATAAAATCAAAATTTATAGGTATTTTTTTATTTACCTTACTAGATATTAAATCAAAAAGAAGTATGACGAACCTGAAATAATTTGTATTATAATTTTTTTTATATTTTTGCAGTAATGGGTCTATTGAGCGAGGGCAGTCCACTCTCCTGGGAGGAAACCAAGGCACTGGCGGATCATGTCCGTGAGCATGGCGTGAATCAGTTTATAAACTTGTACCACAGACTGAAGGATCGTCAGGGTGATATTCTCAAATGGGGTGACGAGGTTGAATACATTATCGTAAAATTTGATGAAGAGCAGGGTGTGGCTCGAGTGGCTCTGCGTGCCCAGGACTTGCTTGCTAAACTAAATGAAAAGGAATTGGCCGATCCCAAGGGTGTCAAGTCACTGTGGCGTCCGGAATATGGAGCCTATATGATTGAGGGCACACCTGGAAAACCATTTGGCGGCCTGATGGCCCATTTTAATCTGGTGGAGGCCAATATGCGCTATCGTCGTGAAGAAGTCACCGAGTTGTTAGCCAAGGACGAGTGCGTCATGTCCATCACGAATTTCCCACGCCTGGGCGCCCCAAATTTTACCTACCCATTGGCTCAGCCACGTCCCGAGGATCCTCTTAGTTCAGCGCGCTCCTTATACTTCCCGGATGAGGCCATCTTTCCGGGTCATCCGCGTTTCAAAACCTTGACTCGTAACATTCGCAAGCGACGTGGTGAAAAGGTCTCCATTAAACTAAAAGGTAAGTGTATTTTATTTTTCTTACAAATACTTTGAAATAACTAACTTATTGCATTTTTGCAGTTTTCAAGGATACAAAGACCAAGTTGCCAGTGGAGGGTGCACCGCCTGGAGAGCCAGATGTTGTGCTTTTGGACGCTATGGGTTTCGGCATGGGCTGCTGTTGCTTACAACTGACCTTCCAGGCCTGCAACATCACCGAAGCGAGACGCCTCTACGATCAGCTTGCTCCCCTGTGCCCGATCATGTTGGCTTTGACAGCCGCATCGCCCATTTACAGAGGCTATCTGACGGAGTCGGATTGCCGCTGGAATGTGATCAGCTCCTCGGTGGACTGTCGCACGGAAGAGGAACGTGGACTGGCACCGCTTGATAAGCAAAAGTTCCGAATCGCCAAGTCCCGTTACGATTCCATCGATTCTTATTTGTCGCCCGAGGGTGCCAAATACAACGATGTACCGCTCACCTATGATGAGGCGGTCTACAAGCGTTTGGTGGAAGGCGGTATTGATCATCTGCTGGCTCAGCATGTGGCCCATTTGTTCATCCGCGACACAGTGTCGCTGTTCAGCGAAAAGGTGCACCAGAACGACAAGGAGGATACCGATCATTTCGAGAACATTCAATCCACCAACTGGCAGACCATGCGCTTTAAGCCACCGCCACCAAATAGTTCCATTGGCTGGCGTGTCGAGTTCCGACCTTGCGAGGCTCAGATCAGTGATTTCGAGAACGCTGCCATAGTTTGCTTTGTGGTGCTGCTCACCCGTGTGATCCTGTCCTACCAGCTGAACTTCCTTACGCCGATCAGCAAGGTGGATGAGAACATGCAGACAGCACAAAAAAGAGATGCCTGTCGCAAGGAGAAGTTCTGGTTCCGCAAATCCTCGAAGACTACCGAGCAAAGAGCAGCCAAGGCTCAGGCTCAGGCACAGGCTCAAGCTCATGCTCAGACCAATGGCAAGGCCACCTTGAACGGCAATGGACTGATCAATGGTAATGGCAGTGAGAATGGGGACCAAGACGAGCAACAGCCTCTGACTAACGGTTCGGCCAAGATGAACGGACACGGCAACACAAATGGCACTAATGGTACCACCAATGGTACCACCAATGGCACCACCAATGGCATCAATGGATCTAATGGATCCTCTAATGGCGCAGATAGTGATCACACTGACACCGATGACGAAGAGAACGAGCTATTCCAACTGCTGTCAATCAATGAGATCTTCAATGGAAAGGTAAGAGTCGAAATGTTTACTTAATAAAGAAGTTTAAAAACTTATTTAATGTTTTCCGTTCATAGCCCAACGTGTTTCCCGGTCTGGTACCATTGATCCGTAGCTATTTGCAGTCCATGGAGGTGGACACAGATACGCATTGTACCATTGAACAGTATCTTCGCTTCATTCAAAAGCGTGCCGCCGGTGAATTGATCACCACGGCGACTTGGATGCGCGAGCAGGTGCTTAGTCACCCGGACTACAAGTAAGTCGGATCAAAAATAAAAATATATTTTTGAAGATAAACTAATCCGATATCTATATTTTGTATTGGCCAGGCAAGATTCTGTGGTTAGCGAGCGCATCAACTACGATCTGCTGAAGCGCATCCAGGGCATCCAGGAGGGCAAGCAGGTGGAGCCGGCTCTGCTCGGTCAGGGCTATCATTCCAAGACGAAGACGAAAGACTTCATTCCGCCGGCGCTGCAGAAGCAGCTGGCCAAGAACGGCTGCTGCGAGGAGAAATGATCGAGGAGCGCGTTGCGGACACGTCCAACGCAGCCGGCCGGTGGCCGGCGCATGTGATTTGGGTTTTGTGGGTCCGTTTGGATGTAGTGCGGCATATGTTGAGGGCAAAGACAAAGGCAACGGCAAAACGAAACGGAATGGATACGATACGGATACGGAGCAACATTTATCAATATTATTTTTATAGCATAATTTAAAACGGATTAACAATTAGCGTGCACCAAGATCCTAATTGTGGACAAATGTTTTGTGGCCGTGCGTGGCCTTTAGAAATGAAAGGCTGTCAGACAGGACGAAGAAGGAGGATGGATTATGAAAAATGGTTATGAGGCACATGAGGATTTTCCAGTAAGGGTCCCCAGCCAGCCATGTTATCCTCCTCTTTAACTGGTTCTCGGTCATCGTTTCGATGGGATTTCTGGATCGTCGAGCCCTCGATCACGACAGATTTGCAATAGTTAAATAGAGAACAAAGAAGTGAGAGCTATGAAATCTACTATATATACCAACGTGAAGAACTACAACAACATAAATCTCAACCAAGTGCCGTTCCACAAGACCTACAAAAAATATGAATACAGATAGTTCAAAACGAGGCAAGGTTAAAATGTATTTCTGTTTGTTTTCGTTTACATCATATATATTTATTATATTATTCCTATTTTTATAAATGCAAGTACAATGGAAAGTTGTTTATTTTTTTTTTAATTGATATATTTACACACACACACGCGAAACACACATATGTCTAAAAGTGGCCTGCTGTTATTAAACTAGATATGATAAGTATAACTAAAAAAACAACACCTGTGCTATTATAATTTATTGTGTATGTGATTGTTTCAACATTATTATACGATTATGATTTATTGTGACCACTAGCAAGCAAATAAACGGAAAAAATTGTTGAATCTTTAAACTAAAAAGTATTGGGTCGTCTAGGACTTAGGGACTTTTGATAAGATGCCTTCAGAAACGAAAGATAACTTTACTTATATAGAATTTATGCCTAGTTAACGTTATCGCAAAGTTAGACTAAAATAGCAAATTGTGAGTTTACAAAAGAATCATAACCAATTTAAAAAATAGATATATACATGTACGTATGTGCATAACGTTAAAAAAAAATTGCTAGCATTTAATAAAACCTTTTTTATGACAATAGCAACGGACCCCATTTATTTGCTTGCTCCTAAAATCGGTATTTTTATATAAACCACCGTGTGTAATGTCCTTTTCAGAAAATTTTAAATACTCTATAAAAATAAACGTTTTGCTAAACCTGAACGAAAATAAGCTTTTTCTTTATTTGAATGTAAGCGCCAAGTTAACGGCTTTCTCGATAGCAAGAATTGATAACGATACCATGCCGGCATGTCCCACCACTAGATAATAAAAAAAAAAACAAAGAAAAATAAGGAAATAAAAACAAGTGATTGGATAATGCTTGTTTATTGATTCCGCTGCTTTAACTTGGTAAAATTGTGAAGAGATTGTTAATGAAATTCGGAGTCATTATTTTGTGCTTGTGCGATCATTTGCAAGTTAAAAACGAAATATAAACAAACTCTAGTCACCGTTAACCCTTGTGCGCGTGTGTGAGCGTTTGTCTTGCGGCTTTTTTTTCTGGGTGTGGAATAAGTTGTTGTTTCCACAAACACTCATCTTGGCTTTACAACAACAATTTGTCGCTTAGCCTTCTTGCCTCGTTCTACGGACAGTGCTCTCTCTAAATAATAAACGTGTGATTAGTAAAGCGTTCTGTCGACTGTTACAGTTCTCCCTAGAAACTGGGATAACAATATAATGAAGATTATTCATAAGCTTTATTCTAAAATCGTTAAAAACGTCTTAAATGCTATCTTATTTATAGGAGGATCTCTTTTGTTATGTGCATTTATTAGTATATATGCTTTTAAATCATAACGAAAAAAATTGAACTTCTTGTTTATCTAAGTGTACTTTATGGAGTAATACTGTTCGCCTATTGCTCTAGTTTCACATCAGCACCCTATCCGCCGGCGACGAATAGACAGAGAAGAAAGGAAAACAAAAACAAGTGCATCGCATTTGGCGAGAGGGCCAGCATCATCGCATTCGCAACTCGCATCATCGAAATTAATCGAGTGAATTTATCATTCGCGTACCGCTGCCAAAGGCAACCATAACAAGTGATGGCGCAGCGGAACTAGCTGTCGCTTCAAAAGGACATCCAGCACAAAAAGGAACAGAGCAAGTGAGAAGAGGAGAAGGAAACACGCCCATTGGCAGGACCACAAAGGAAAAGAAAGATAGAGGATACTTAAACACATATGCAAACGTCCTTGGTTCATAGACGTCAGCAGCGGAAGTGGAGGAGCTAACAGGACGAAGGATAGGTGACGTCGCAAAACAACAAACAACAGGAAGAGTACAAAAGCAGCAGCAACAACAACAGCCGACAAACGCAATTAGAGTAAAAGGTGCGCCCAAAAAAGATGGGTAAGTGGGCGGGCATATTTCTCTTCACCTCCATTTTGTTGTTTCTATTGTCGCATTTCCATACATTATTTCCGCCTTTACTATGTATGTGTTGATATTTGTGTATGTGTGTATATGAGAGTCCAGCAGGTGCCTTTGACAAGTTCCGGAATCATTAGTCCTTTCAAACGGATCCTTACAGTTCCGGAATCCTTCAGGTATTTTAAAAAAGTAACACACGTATTTGTTATATTCATCATATTCTGGAAATATTCTTAGTATCGACCTTAACCATATAATATTTAAATCTCTTAAAAACAAAATCTAAATATGAATTAATTTCATATTATGATGTAGTGTAGTTTATTTAAATAAATCTTTATTGTGTTTTCATTAAACTCCTACAAAAATTTGTGATGATTAAGGGAGACATTACTTTAAAACAGTAAAAGTGTATTAATAATTTATTAATACCGCTATTCACTGTCTAATTTATGAACCGGTTCGCTCCTGCAAAGATATCCTGCGAGAAAAAGAGGGATATGCGCGCGCGTGGGGAGAGAGAGCTTCAGTAGGCGGGGCAGTGTAGGGGGCGTTGTGTTTTGAAATGGATTTGTTCGTGTTGAGATTTTTACACAAAGAAATAACATAAGCACGCAAAGAACATTTGATAAGATATTACCTATAAGTTATTAAACTTTAGTCTTTAAATATTGGGCATCGATGAAATTAAAGTCTTCCTATTTCTTGCAAATCAAAGAGATTTTAAAATTGGTATATATTGTTTGTATATTATGTAATTAAATAGTCACGATATTTGACATACTCTTATCCCTTAAAATCATGATACCTGAGCATTATGCAAACTAAATCGTTTTCAAAATTTGCCATTTAGCTTTAATTATTTTCGTCGGTGTAGCCAAGGCAGTGGAGAGCGCAGAAGCCACGTGGCTCTCTCGGGCGTGTTTGTGTTTGTGAGGAAAACAATGTAAGCTAAAAAGGATCAAAAGCGCAAGGCGTTGTTGCAGGGCCAAAAAGCAGCGCACAAAGCAGAAACGGGAAAGGCAGGAAGAGCGAGCTAGAGCAAGTGAAATATGAAAATTGCATTTTCCTTTTCCTGTGTGGGGGCGCTCTATTAAAAATTCCAGCAGCAGGAGTATCCTGTTGTGCGACTGTATGCGAGTCCTGCGGAATTCTGCAGTGCAGTTCAGTTTTCTTCAAATAAAAAAAAAATACAGAGTATACAAGGAGAAAAACTAAAGACCGTCGGCAGTCCGCATTTTGGCCCTCGGCAGTGAACTTAACATTTTTTTTGTTGTCGCCTGCTGCATTTTTTTCCCCGAGTGCTTGTGTGTAAGTGACGACGCCCTTAAAAATACAATGTTTTCAAATTTTTGAACTTCGAAATCATTTCAAATCATTTCAAATTGAACCCCCTTTGGATATAAATTTTAGCGACATCTGAGGCAGCACAAGGAAGTGGTGGTGGAGTAGGAATAGGAGCAAGTGAACACAGTGGAGGAGGTGGCAGTGATATTGGTTTAGGCATCGGCATCGAGATGCTCAAGGCGCTGTACGACTTCCAGGCGGTCTATCCCAAGACCATTAGCTTTGATGAGGGCGAGTACTTCATCCTATATCAGACGTCCGCCCGCCAGCGCAATTGGTGGCAAGTGGTCAGCATGAAGGGCAACATTGGCTTTGTGCCCTCCAATTACGTAATGAAGATTAAGGTGGGTGATACCCTAAAGCAGTGTTAAACACATTACTTACTTTACTTATCTTGGACAGGTGGAGCACGACTTCCTCATAAGCTTTCTGAACTCCTCAATAGAATCACTGGAGAAGTGCACGGAACATGAAATCAATGGAATTATGTCCAAGGACGAACTTCTGGACAGACTGCGTGAGAAGAAGCACACCATGGAGCGACTCTATGCAGTAAGTTTATGATAGCCACTGCATTTCAATCACTTACCTATAAATTATCCTGTGCAGGAGAGTTCCGAACGCGATGGTGACTCTTCACTCTCCTATTCGCATAGTTATAGTGACAAGGGTAGCCATCGGCACTCTCATCCCCATCCCACCCAATCCCAAACGCATCTCCATTCCCAACACAGACAGCACAGTCCACCGCCCAGCGGCAGTGTTGGCTCCCAGCGCCTGGACATGAGCAAGAAGAGTATGTCGAGTCCAGCGGTGGGCTCATCGTGTGGCCAACTTCAAAATCAGGGAATGATGGAGTCGCCCAGTATGGGTAGCATGCAGTTCCAGGGTAGTAGCTGTACCATCCAAACGCCGCAGCAGCAACAGCCACTCCCAGCACCGCCAGCACCAGCTCCATCGCCATCGCCAGCTCCAGCTACACCCACTGCAGCATCATCTAGCAAAGCAACCGTCGCAGGCGGGGATGTAGCGCAGGACAATAGTATCACTTCAGAGCCCTCGGAAACGACAACGACCACTACGACGACCAGCGAGGATGTGGTCACCACTTACAAAGAGACCAGTCAGATGAGTACCAGCCAGCAACACAAGCCGCCAAATGGCAGTACTGCCTCTGCATCCATATCCGCATCCGCCTCGGCCTCAGCATTACGCAGCACCGGCGGAAATGGCAACAGCAATGGTAGTACGGCTGCTTTGCACCATGAATTGCAGCAGGAGGAGGCAGACAGCGCGCCAGACAAGTCGGATGATGCAAGCGCCGTGCCAAGTGACGACGGTTGCCAAGCCAATGGAGACAGTGCTGACAATAGTCAGGCGCTAGACAGCATTGATAGTCCTTCGCATCGGCAACGTGGTCTTAGTCTGGGCAGGATTGAGGAGGGAGCCACAGGAGGCGGGCAGCTAAAGGTGGAGTCCTCGGATGTCTATCAGATTGTGGACGCCCTACGGCGAAACACAAACCTCAGCTTCGATCTGTCCTGCGAGGCGTTGCGCGTGGTGTTGACCAGCCTGGAGCAGCTATATAATGGGGCCATTAATCCGTACCTGGAGGCAGTTGCTGTCCATGTTACTGGGAAAGTGGCCACACCCAAGGAACTGCTGGGCATCACGCATGATGCTAAGCGACTGCAGTACCTCTTCGCCCAGCTGGCCGACTGCAAAAACGATACAGAGCAGCGCACCTGGATGCTCTATGAGGATGAGGAAGACATCATTCAGTTTCTCGAGGAGCTTGTCGAAATTCTGGTAGGAGTTATACAAAATTGCCAAAACTTATCACCTCTTTATGTTGCGGATTAAATTAAGTGTCAAAAAATATTATTATTATATTATTATATACCTTACAGATCAACGCTGATGAGAGCATTAGCTGCTACGAGATGTCCTGCGATCAGTACCAGATGTTCATAAACCTAGTGCAATACTATCAGATGGAGACGCGTTGGTCTATTAAACGGCTGCTGCTCAAGACCTTCACGGCTGCTTGCCACCTGGACTATATCATTGTTGACATATTACTGACCTCGGTGCTGCCACTGGAAATTGTAAAAAGAAACACGGACATAAGTCCCTCAAGGTCAACCTATATGTAACACATATTTCCCCACAGGTCGAGGACATGAAGACGCACTTCTCCAATTTGGAGCGTTTCAAGCAGCTAGTAAAGATGCTAACCATCATCTTTTCGCTTGGACAGCCAATGCCGGTGAATCATCAGGGTGAGATTTTGAAACTGACCATAAACATATAACTTTAATATTTCTGTATTTTGTTGCTGCAGATTATTTGGGAGTTCACTTTGCCAGCTTTTTGTTGGAAATCGTCGAGGGAAACAATCCTGAGCTGTTGGTAGACATGGTCATTGCATTGTTATTGGCCTTTAATCAACAATTCAGCGAACACACCTTTAATGTAATTATCGAGGGTATGCAGAATCTGCCATCCGCTAAGGTATTTACAGAGAAACTTCTGCTCCTGCTTAATCGAGAGGGTAAGCTTTGATTGTTTTGTGAATTTTATAACTATGTGCTAGCCTTGTTAAAAACAAGGTTATTACTGTTTTGAAAATATAGTAACGAAAGTTATTTTTAAATTACAACCAGATGACCCAACACGCTTGCTTAAGCATCCCAATGAGCATATGAACACCGTTCTACGAATGTTTATTGACATATTCAGCCATCCGGATACGGCGGGCATGTTCTACACGAACGACATAAAAGTGCTAATAGATATAGTGGTTCGCCAGCTGTCCGATTTGGATGCCGGCAGTTCGGTGAGTCTGCATGAATTCTATATATCAACTCATTTACAATATCTTTATATAACTTATCCGAAATCAGACGCGACCCTGCTACTTGGAGCTGTGCCGACGAATTCTGCGCAATACGAATTATCAGGAGCACCAGCACCGGAAGCATGACCTCATGAAGATCTTTACGCGCATCTTCTGCGAGGAGACAGAGTGCAGTGCCTCCGATCAGCAGCTAGTTCGGGAAATAGCCAATGAATTTCCGCAGCTGTTCAAGGCCTAAGCCCTTCAAAATCCATAAAACGGAAAAAACAAACAAACCAAAAAAACGGAGGGAAACCAAAATTGTAAAGCGTTGCTAGTGAGGCGAGCCGTCGAAAGCGAGCCAACCGTAAAATCTTAAATTATTTCCAATTTGATCAGTGAATTGTTTTGCATTTGTTAAACGTCTCGGTCTCGGATAGCCCTCAGAACTCAGAATCCCGAACTCAGAAAATAATGCATTTCGATCTAAGCCGGATCGAAAGGGAACACACAAGCGACTCTACATATATCTTATGAACATAGTCTGTAAGCAGGACAAATGTACTAGTTGCATGTGGAGTAGATGCAACCTCATAGAGAATGATACCCAATAGCGATATCTACGTATCCGTAAAACAGTTAAACAAAAAAAGGAATGGAAGCTATAGAATAGTCTTGACACTGAATTATCCCCAATTTAGGATGATTTCACTAATTTAGAATTTAGCCAGGGACAATTTTAGCAAGAAACTGAGTCAGAGATCAGCCTCACTTTTAAATTTTTGTAGTTATAATTTCCAATTTATTTGGAATTTAAAATTTTGAAAAGAAAAAAGAAAGGAAAAACGAAATCGTTTCATGAATAAAATATTTATAGCCTAATTATACACCTATAATGAAAATATACATTAATGACAAATGCGAATGAAACGTTAATTGCAATCTACAATTAAAAAATTGATATATATTAACGATGTATGACAAAAGCAAATTCCAAATCGATTCGAATGTAATGAGCGTATATTGTTAAATTTGTTTATATAATCTATGAGGTGGAGAACTAATCCGAACAGGAAATCATTGACAATTGTTAAAGCTCAAATACATTTTAATTGGAGGCTGAAAATTAAAAAAGAATTGAATGTAAGGACACCCATTTGCATTTCTCCCTCACTAAAATACACTCACACACACCGTGGCGTATGCATTTCATAGGGCTTTAAAAAATTCTGTATGACATTTAAAAGGTTAATTGCTCAGTAAACTCATATATTAATTTGTCGTACTAATTGTGGTGGCATAAACTGTTGCATACGTCACATTTTCTCTATATCTCTCTCACTATTTCTTAAGCTAAATATTGAAAACAAAGTTCCCAGCGGACCCTTTTGAAAAATCCGTAATTTAAATCATATTGGTTTTTGAGGGAAATATTTTTCTCTTCATCCTCTTTTTAAGCCATTAATTTGTATTTGTACGTTATTTAGTAGTTAGTTATGAAGTAGCTTAGGTTCCTCTAATTTCAGTTTTCATTAGTTATTTGTGAAAAGAAGATTCGCTGGGAATTGTTATATCTATATCTAAATAAACACATACACCCTTCTACAAACATAAATAGTTTTAGACAGATTTTATTGGCCTTCTCTTTGTTATTGTTACGTCACAGTTATCAATCTAAAAAAAAAAAGAAAAACAACGAAATTCAGATAAAAAGTAATAAGCAAAGAAAATTAACATTTTAACCCAGACTAGCAATGAAATAATGTTAATAAGGGCGGAAACCACATTGGATATTTATTTTTGATCGACTCTTTTAACATAAACAACATACATATATGGAAAATCTGCTATCATTCCAGTTTAATAAAAGCCACTTTAAAAAGAAGCAATAATCTTTTAAGTTGTCAAGCACGTCAGTTATCAAAAAGTGGTTTTGGAAACACTGCCTGTAGTATAGGAAGGAATTTGAATATCTCGCTTTATTCTGGATTAAAATAATAGTTAATGTAATTATAAAATTGCTGCTTTCATAATAACATCTAATGTGATTTCCCCCTTAAACTTTTCCAATTTCATTTTAAAATGATTATTTTGCGTTTGGGACGTACTCATTGTTTCAGTAATCAATTGTAATCAAAACGCATGAGCATGATATTAAAAGATAAATCTTTTCAAAAATTGTATTGGATCTGTTTTGAAAACTTAGAATTTGACAAGCTACTGATGCATGAACGAATTTAATTTGCTAAGTCTCATAAAGAATAGGGATATCTACGAACAGTTATAAACTAAACTAAATCAGAAACTAAAACCAATATTAACCACAAATTGTACCTTTCGATTTTGAATTTCAATAACATTCTCAAAAATTGCAAAATATACAAACCAAAAAAACAATAATGTACACGAAGCTGCAATAAAAAAAATTAATGTTTAAAAGTACTATGTTAACAAAAAATAAACACGTTTTAAGTCAAGCAAATAGATCTAATTTAAAAAATTGTTAACCTCTCATTTTTTTGACACGAAACTGAGATCCTAAAAACCGAAAACCAAACAAATTACAAGTTTTAATAAACGCATTCAAAATGTAACGAAACGAAATTGCAATTGTAAGAAACAAAAAAATTAAATAAATAAAAAATCCAAGTATATTAACTGTGATTACACTTTTTAATTCCTTGTAATAATTGTATTTTAAACAAAATTTCTTTATTTTGACGGGGAAATATCTTTCCGACGTATTTTTTGATGCTTCTAAATGTGGAAAAAAAATTTAATGAAATTTTGAAAAAATTAATTTTTGATTGTTAAAAATCCAAAATTTTCGAATATTTTTTCATGCAGTGTGCTTTTTTAGTTTTTATCATAAAAAATCGATTGTAATTTCTGACGTGCAAAACAGAATCATCAACTTTTGAAAAATAAGTTAAATACCGTACCAAATGGTCATCAAAGTTATCCACCAGTTGGTATTTTTTGGTATATTTTAAAAGTCCACGCTCTGCGTTGGGAGTTCTAGTTTTAACTGAAGATAATTTCTAAATGCAGTACAATACAAAAAATATTGTATATATATATATATATTTATTCAAACTAGCGTTAGATAGAGTTCGATTAGTACAGAAAAATAGTGCCCCTATTATCGATTAGCGATAGGGTCCGATGGGTCTAAGAACGCCCCCTCATATCGATATGTTAATATCGAAGAAGACTTGGAGTCGAGTCCCTTTCCGGAAAACAAAACAAAATTAATAAGTTAATTAGAGAAGTGTCCACGAAAATGCACAGCTCACGGTGATTAAACGGCAATGTGAAGAAGTATCGAAGTGTAAAAGTCGACGGAGGCTGCACGGCCAACAACACCATCCACCAGCAACAATAACAATACAAAACGGGAGACTACTGCAAATATATACACACACCAAGATATATCAAAATAAAAAGACGAAAAGGTACATAATATTCAAGAGGTGTATGTATGCATATCTGTTTGATAAAATGTAGAATTACTGCATTTAATTTATCACGGACATTTGTCAGTATGTGTGTGTATGTGAAAATGCGACAACAACAACAACAATGGCAGTTTGACCCCCGCACAGCTGTGAATGCTTTCCATCTCTTTTTGCTCATGAAGCCCCATCTCTTTCTGTTCATTTTCTCGCATTTGAATAATCAAAATCAAACTTCTAATTCTTATTTAGCTTATTTCCCTCTAACTGCATTTTAGGCGAGAGCCCTAAGCTACGAGTGTATGTGTGTGTTTATGTACATATCTATATATAATGATATTTAACTCCCGTTAATTGCAATCTTTTCTTTGTTATGCTATTGCCATCCCTTTTGCACGTCACCCTTCCCCCACCTACCCGAAAACTACGCACTTTGCTTTTGCAATGCTTATTGCGTTGTGTGTTTTCGTTTCTCCCTCTCCCTCTGTTTTGCGTTTTAAAAGTTCTTATCAGCGCAGTCAATTAAATGTGTGCTTAAAAGCAAAGTAATAAATGAGATGCATTTAAAACACAATTGCTACTTTTTGCTACCTCTCCCACACACACACACATGTGCAGTCAATGACCCAAAATACCTGTAGTTGAGTGTTAGGGATGTTGAAAATATACATATGTACGAAAACAAAATCCACAAAGATGTCTTCCTAATTTTTAACTTTGCTTTTGAACTCTTCGTTAAACCGTTGCATTTGACCTCGTTAATTCTCCCCCTTCAATTCCTTTTGGCATATGTACACATGTATGTATGCACATATGTATGTATGTATGTTCAATTTGTATATTTTGTTGCTAGGCTCCATACACACACAGAGTCACATGTGTGCAATTTTGAAGGGCATCGCCACTTCGGCTTTTAGTCTCTCTCTTTCCCTTCTCATTCTCTTCTGCTATTTCTCATTTAATTTTTTCCTAGTTTCATGTTGTTGTGGCTTTGCCTTTGCTGCATTTTACAGCTGTCGCTGTCCTTGATTATAGCTTTTCTTTGCTTTGCTTTGGGGCTCTCTTTTCGAATAATTTGTTGTTGCTCATCGCTTTGTTATTATAATTTTCCTTTGAAGCTGCACCGAAAAAAACGTTTGTAGAATAGAGTTAATATAACCATTTTAAACAATAAATACAAAATAATTAGGCTGAACAAATATTGAAAGCTCTTGCATGCTAAGATGTATTGTGGGCGAATATTTTTCGACATGTTCTCGTAATACATGTATTTGCAAAAAAATGTGCTTCCCTTTAAAACATTGCAACGAAATATTTCGAATCCGGGAATTCAATGGGTAAATGCGAAAATGAATATTTTTTTACGGCACACTTTTTCCATTAATTTTAAATTTTAGAAATTTTGAAAATGTTACCCGCAATTATCGTTTTTAATTTGATATGGGAAATTGTTCAGTGTACTGCACTCGCCATGCTTTTTCTCCGCCCCACAATTTTCCCCTTCCTTGCCCACACTCTCTTTTGCGCTCGCTCTCCCGATTGTCGCTCTCTGCTTTATGCTGGCGTCGCTGCCGCCTTCAGATGCTCGTGAGCTCCAACGTGCGCTGCTTTCTGCTTTCTGCTTTGGGGGCTCGAAACTCTGTTGCCAGTTAATTTTCAGTAACTAGTTGAAGTAGACAACAAAACGAGCGAAAACGAAAACACACTCAAACATATATGCAGATATATGTGCCTAAGGGAGAAGGAGGGCGAGCAACATCAATAACATCTCTATCGAAAACCACAACATTATTTGCAAGTAAATAACAAAGTTACAAAAGTATTTGCAAAGATAATCAAAAAAAAAATATATATATATATATTTGATAAGTGTGTGTGATAAGTTATTAAAACTTTTCAGTGAAATTCTTTTTAATATTAAAAATGAAGGAATTCGTATTTCAATATACCCCAATCCTCTCTTCCTCCAAGAAACAACAACAAAATCTTCAAATTGCAGCTGACTCTAATTTTTTAGTTGTTTGTTATTATTGTTTTTTAGTTGCTCAGTGATCATCCATGTTGATGCCTCACAGGTATAAACGAAAACGTGCAATCCTAAGTCTTACACAAAGGCAATGCAAATAAAAAGAGAAACAACAATAACTACGACAAGAAGCAGTATTACTTCGCTTATTGCGTACAGTAAAGCTATAACAACAACAACAGCCCCATCAATTCTCCTCCACACACAAATAACATACCGAAATCGAAAGAGAATTTCACAATTTGTTAAACTAACGAAGCCAAACCGTGGCAAAAAGACAGAAACGGAAAGACTTTTGATGTGGGGTGACCAGAAAGGAGGAGAACAAGAGAAGGGGGAGCCAACACACACACATGCAAAGTGCAAGAGAGTAACAGCAGTAACAGCAGAATTAGCTCATCCCAAAGAGTGGGAACGTGGTGAAGAGAGAGAGAGGAAGAGTCATAGAATGGGGAACAGTGGAGAAAATAGAAATATAAATTAAAAATTAATATGTCCATCGGTACGGATTTACCATGCTTAAAAATATAATTAATTAACCTTCTAAAGAAAAAAATTTAAAATTTAATTTGATTTACTTTCTTATGTTGTACTTTATTTATTTATATAATTATGATTTAGAACAGCTATTCTATTTTTAAAGGTTTTGCCTCAATTATCGAGTTAAGTATTTCAACTCCCACTGTACATTTGTTGATTTCAAGATTATGGTGGGGCTGCCTCTCTTTTTTTCTCTCTCTCTCTCTCGCTCTCCCAGTGACTTTCGAGCAACAACATTAAACAGCTGAGCTTGTTTGAAAACAACAGCCACCCAACCAACCAACTGGCCGCTAACCCCCTTCTACGGAAGGGAAATGGAATTGAAGTTGAAACGAAATCACCAAGAGCAAGTGAGTGGGGACAGTAAGAGAAAGAAAGATGGGGCAGGGGGCACAACATAACAGTACCCAGAAAGTATGCAGCATAAATCCACTGAGCAAATCCGTTTCGAAGGACAACGAATTTTGCAAATGGCAATGACGTATTAGAGAGTGGGCGAGAGAGCAGATAGGAGAAAGAGAGCGAACAAGCGGGAGTGGGTGGATTTTGGCGACGACGTCACAGATTGCTGACATAGTTTCCTCATTTAGGCCAAGTATGCATGTGCATGTTGTATATGTGTTTGCAAAAGCAAGAGATTCGCTGGTGACCTACATAACCATAAATATAAATATATATACTGCATATAGATAACTCAGAAGGTAACTCGACCTCCTCCAGATCAAATCGCCTGCTTTGGCGCCGCAGTCCCACTTGACTTAGTCCGATTTTTTGGCGGAATAATGCATTTGTAATAAAAAAAACTTTTAAAAACCAAAAACATTAAAAAAAAAACATGGTGTTTTCATTCTGAAGCAAAGCATCATACTTATTTACAAATTTTGTGCTTATCCTTTATTTATTTATTATTCTTGCAGGCAGTACACTTTTTGATCTGGACGGTGCCAGTGGTGTTGACGAATGCGGAGCAGTTCGAGGAAGGCGGAGGAGCAGCAGCAGGGCCACCGAAAGCAGGAAGCGGAAGTAACAGAATAGCAATATATTTAAAAGGATCAAAAATATAACAAAAAAAAATCACCACCTTAGCCTTAGTGAAAGACAACGAGGACACGACCACTCCAAAACCAAATCAAACCAAACCAGTCAAATCAAAAGCCAGACAACTCCAATCCCAAAACCAACAAAATGTCTTCGCCCAGTGCCGGAAAGAGACGCATGGACAACGATGTGATCAAGCTGATTGAATCGAAGCACGAGGTGACGATCCTGGGAGGCCTAAATGAGTTCCACGTCAAGTTTTTCGGTCCAACGGAGACGCCATATGAGGGTGGCGTATGGAAGGTGCGCGTCTACCTGCCCGACAACTATCCCTTCAAATCACCGAGCATCGGTTTTGTGAACAAGATCTACCATCCGAATATTGACGAATCATCTGGGACTGTGTGCCTGGATGTTATCAATCAGGCCTGGACGGCGTTGTACGATCTATCGAACATATTCGAATCGTTCTTGCCACAGCTCCTCACATATCCCAATCCGGTTGATCCGCTCAATCGGGATGCGGCCGCATTGTACCTGCACGAGCCGGAGGAGTATCATCGCAAGGTGGCCGACTATGTGCAGCGGTATGCCACCGAGGATGCGCTGCGGGCGGCGCAGCAGGAACGGGAAAGTAGCGACAGTGAGTCGAGCATGTCCGATTACAGTGAGGATGAGGCCAGGGACATGGAGTTATAATATCGGTTGGACCGCCAGCCTACGGAACTACCGCTACCACTAACACTGACAACAGCCTAATACAAACGCTTCGAAACCCCATTTCCCGCCCCCACTATTTCTTAAAACCAAGCAAACATACAAACACAATTTCACAAGGGCCCTTCAGTTGGCGACGAAAAAAAAGCAACAATAGATATATATATATAAATGTATATATATATATCTATCTATATATATAATTGATAAATGATAATTGGATTTTAAGATAGAAAGTGATTCGATGATGGCGTGTGATGATCTGCGCACACACGCACGTACATACATATATATATATATATATATATATATATATTCATATAATCATATATATATATATATAATGTAAGCAGAAAGTAAAACAAGATCTAAAAAACTCTTAGTTTAGCCATCAGTAGCTGATAACATAATGGATTGGAGTAAGGATCGTAACCGATCATAACCGATCATAACCGATCATAACCGATATATAGACCACACAAAAACGGAACGGAGGAGAACAAAATGGAAACAAAACCAGAAACAAAATACAAACAAGATAAAATACAACAGATAACAGAGATAAATGCATGGTTGCAAACGTAATTTAAATGGTTATAGTAAGTGCACCATGCAATACGATATATGACGTGAAATTGCTTTTGGCCTTGATCTGGCATTAAACAGACGTCAAATGCCCGTTCTTTAGAGTTTAGCAGTGGAGTAAAAGTTGATAGTAGACGTATCGTAAACACAAGTACCACCATTATACAGAAGTTTTTGGAAAACCCACACAAATACCACTCGATGATAACCCTATCCAGAGGAAAAGCCTAAACTACCGCTTAAATTGATCAACGACAAATTATGTGTTTTGTTCTCCCCCAGCTTTATATGTATTTTTTTATGTTTGTTTTCTTTAAATTTGTGTTTTATTAGAAGTTTTCATTGTCAGCATATATGTACACATTATATATTTAGAAATTTGTAACTGCAGAATATCACCTGACTTGGCAGCATTGTCTCTGCCCAAAAACAGAATGAAAAAAAAAACGATCTAAACTAAATAGAACTGAATAGAAAACCAAGATAAATTCTAGAGGAAGCCCTTGGATACGATTGCGTGGAACAGACAAAATAAACGTTGCAGTTCTTTTTCTTGTTAATTAATATTATTATACGGTTATTATGTAATATTTTAAAATAGGATTCGAATTGATCGTGTAATTAAATGCATAATTCTTATGTCTAACTTATGCAACCCGTGTTTAAGGCAAAATCAACTCTGATATTTTTTTTTTTTTTATATTATAATACATTTTGCTTTTACACCATATTAACTTGATTTGTTCAATCCCCTTGTCTTTCTCTTTGTCTCCTCCCTATCTCTCTCGATTTAAAATTGTTAATCAAATTGAATGACAGATTAACAGGGTGTGATTTTTAGAGGGGTCTTAAGTGAAATCAAATGAAAGTGCAGATATATAGACATTACCGATCTACTGTACTATGTACTAACACTATATAAATACTTACGCCTAAGTCTAACAGCAGAATTAATGATTAATATCTGATAGTTGTACATAAGTTACATACACACACACACACACACACACACACACACACACATACAAAAACACACACATCATATATATGCCGATATCTATCAGGAAACACAATAATTGAAAACGTAATTCAAGCAATCGAAATCAGATGGAAAGAAAACCCCCATGGACGAGGGGGGACAAAAATGATTAAAAATATTAAACGCAAAAAAAAACGAATTAAAAATATAAAAACATGTTGTTACAAACAAGTGAAATCTAACAAATAAAAAAAAGGAAACGAAAGAAAAGAAACAGTTTACGCCCATTTCTTTGGCCTTGTTTTGTCAATAGTTTGGTTTTTCACCTGGCGCCGCCCCTCCAATACACCCATTGGTCCCACATTGCTCCTTACCTAGTCCAACTGACAATGGCTGCGGATTGTCAACGCCTTGGAAACTGGTAGAAAGAGCCACGTTTGTTGATTTTTTCTTCTGCTTTTTTGTTTTCCTTTGTTTTGGCCCAAGGGCCGAGGGACACAGTTTAACGCTCCTGCGTGGAGTTAATCGGGCAATCAAAACAACAACAACAGTCAGGAGCCAGGAAAACATGGGTATCTACTTTAAAGATCTATAAAAACCTAGAAAAAGCAACAAAAACAACCAACAACGTTTTGTGTGTGTGTGTGTGTGTGTATATCTGTGTTGAGCTGTAATTACTCCTGGCGTTTCCACAATTGCCATAGCATACTTTCCAGCGTTCTGACAAAGTGCACCAAGTTGCAAAATAGTTGGAAATCAAGTTGTTCCTCGGCATTGCAGGCTAAATTTCATTTGAGGTCGAAGGGGGAGTTTTACCAAAAAGTCAAATACATTGAAGTTCCACGGATGCACTCGGCAAGGGCTATAAAATACGTTCTTTATCCAGGTGTACTTCTGCCGGTGATGTAATGGCAGTCACATTGCGTTTACTTGGAAAGCCAACAAATATCCCTTGCCTGGTTTTCCCCCTTTTGGGCGTCCTGGAATGTTTAGAAAACCATGGCGAAATATTACTAAAAATCAATAAGGTTTTTCAATTGATTGGGGAATTTAAAGTGGCTTAAAAATAGGAATTTATGGAGCTTACCTCTTGTTATTAATTAAAAAGCTATCCAAGACATGACATTTATGGACCATAAATGTAGTAAAGAAAATTTGGTTAGCCTCTTAGTTTGTAATTTAATATTAATCCAATCCGTATTAAGCTTAACTATTTTGTAATTAATATTACACAGCTTATTACTTAACCTGCTATCTTCCACGTAAAAATCCGTGTCCTAACTGGTATAGATCCCTTCGTTTGGCTTGCCAATCGCGACTGAAGAGCATCGAATAGCATTTTAAGCGATTGCCCAGAAGTCAAAACAGGCAAAGACAAAGCCCGTCATGGTCTTTTGTCATATGTAATTGGGGGTATACGATACATACGTTCACGGGAAGTTGCATTTTTTTAAGGAGGAGCACTGTGTGCATTCCGTTGATGGACTGCCAGGTCCAAACATGTTTGATTTATTTGCCCCATCAGTGGTCGAGTGTGGGTGGCAAACCAATCCCGTGTTCGTGTCGCAACCGGGCAACCGATATCAACAAATCACATGAAACCGTATGCCGTACATAGGAACGGGTCTAGACAGACGGTTTTCGAGGGCCGTGGCCCAGGCCCAGGCTCAGCCCCAGGAGCATACCCACCACGTATCCCTCAACCCAATTGGATCCAAATGGAAATGCTAATAAAATTATAGTGTCTAAGGCGGAGGCGCTCATAAACAGACAGATGGATCGACATAGACAGACAGGTCCCAATGCTCCTCTACTTATATGGGTAATCACAAGATAATAACATTTTTTCTCAAAGGCAGCACGACACAACGAAACAAAACAAAACAATAACATTGTAGAGTGCAGTATAAGCGCAGATTGAAATCAAAGTGAACACAAAAGTAAATGAATGCACTCTAAGAAACATAAAGAACTACTATAATATATTATAAATACTTTTTTGGGCATACAAAACGAAACGTCTATAATATGATTTTAGCACTGTTTTTAAAGAAGCCAACTAAGATTGATGCTGTAACAAGAATAGTTTTCCAAACGATATGAAATTTCTATATGGATGGAAATTTTGAAAACTCAATATTAGCTATTGGTTTCTCTCAGTGCATTTGAAACGAAATAGCCGGCTGAAACAATTTATGGGCAGAATGTGAACGCTATTACCCATTTCAATGGGCCACGAATGTAGACTGGGGTATGGGTTATGGGGCTCGTATGTTTGTGTGGAGCGCATTTGCATTTCAGGCCTTTTGTTTGCTCTATTCCACATACATAGTTGAAGGGCTTTTCTGGCTAAACTTGATGAGGAGTATGTATGGACGAGGGAGTCAGGGTTGAGCGTGTCGACTTTGACACATAAAGTAGCAACCCAACACAGACACAGAGACACGCACCCATGTAACTGGCAATTTTTGGTTGCAGGCAAGGCGGGCGCCGGAAAGGGTCGTTCACCAACACCGACACCCAATCGGGATGGTGGGGCGGCAACGGGGGGTGCTGGTAGTGGTGGTGCAGCGGCACCCACAACAACTGGAGGCACCACTGGCGTCGCCAGATCCACACTACATGCCAACAAAACGATACTGAAAACGGTATCCGTATTCCTTGCCAGCGGCAAGCGCAACTCGAGCAACCAACAGTCGAAGGCCGCCGCAGCTGCTTTGCAGAACAAACGGCAACAGCGGCAACGGAGGATGGATGAGCTGAGCGGCAAAGTCAATCCAAAGCTGCTGGACAGTCTACGAAAGAAAACGCGCTTTACCAAGTAAGTTTATATATATATCTATTCGTATCTAAAATAAATAGCTAACTTTAATTATCAAATGGCGATCAACCAGGGACGAATTAGATGCTTTGTGCCGGATATATCGCAAACTGGTATCCAATTGTCAGTATGCGGCAAAGACTCTGGCTTCTAGCTCCTCAAGTGCGGCAATTGCAAAGCCACATGCTGCCGTGGAGGTAATTAGTACAAGTTTCGCCCGTTCCTCAATGAAATATCACATTTTTTATGTTATATGCCCCTCTTCAGGGTATCGACCGCATTGTGTTCCGTGAGCTGTTGCATAGTACCTTTGACATCGTCACCGAGGAAATCTTAATGGAGCGCATCTTTTGCAGCTGGGACAAGGCCCATGAGGGATTGCCTCTTCGTTTGGAGGGTTGGCTAATTGGGCTTTCAACTTTTCTGCGAGGCACCCCGGCGGAAAGAGCTACCTTTTGCTTCCGGGTTTACGATCTAAATACCGATGGTTTCATCACAAAGGACGAAATGTTCACGCTGCTGAGGAATTGTCTGATCAAACAGCCGCAGGACGAAGATCCCGACGAGGGGGTCAAGGATCTTGTGGAGATTGTCCTCAAGAAGTTTGACCTGGACAAGGATGGCAAGGTGGGTGTAATTGAATTGTATAGTTTCAAGAGATTATTACTTCGATTTCAGGTATCCCTGGAGGATTTTATGGGCACCGTTACAGCTGAACCATTGTTAATCGAGGCCTTTGGACAGTGCCTTCCGACAGACAGTGCTGTGGTTTCTTTTTTCTCAACGCTGCAGGTGTGATCTGCTTTAGCATCTTGATATCTTTGAAATTGTTATAATTATCATCTATTAAATACAAGTTAAAAACACGGTTAGAGATATTTGAATGTTCTTTCATTTTATTAAGGTACTTAAAAGTTTCGTCTAAAATGATGGAGTAACTAAACTATTTCACAATATTCTACATATTCAATAGCTTTTTTGGATAGTGAACTTAGCTGTCTAGTAAAACATAACAAATACTGAGTTAATATAGAAACTATTTATTGTAACTTAAAAGCTCCCACATAAATCGCAGATGAACTGGTGTCCCCTATAAATAGGCACAGTTAAAGCGAGTTCGATTTCTCGGGACTGGTTAAAGAATAATTGCTGCTAATAGTTAACTGAGGTGACCCCGACCCACGGCTAGAGTGCAATTGGCTGTTGGAAACCTGTAATTGGCACCGTATCCACATTTGGATCATTCCAGAGATGGATGCCGCGGATGAGATGAGCCGTCAAGGCGTCATATTTATGCAAGCGTCAGACGGTTGAAACAATAAGCCAGTCAACCGGTCCGGTAATGTGAGCTAATTTATTCGATTAGCCAGCCGCATCCACAACTAAACAACCTATAGCCGCCATATGGTACACACGCTGACTTGCGAATTGTCACGAATCTTGTTTATCTATTGAATGCATTCATGCAACGCCCAAAGCTTGTTCTATTCGGAACTCACAATTTGGAATGTTTTGTTTCATTGGGCGACGTTACGATATGCTACACCTTTTGCCCCACCCGGTCGCCGATATCTCTCTGGGATCCATTGCATCTCTGGCTAGTGGAAGGCAGACCGGATCGACGGGGAACCGGAATAACGTGCAACATAATATATGGCGTCCAAGTTCGATCAGCAGGAAAGTCAGACCTTTGGCGGGATTACCAATCAGATTACCTAAAAGGTAAGCTACAGAATTTATATTTATTATTCTTAAATCTTAATTCAAAACGCATATAAAATAGATTCTGTTATGTTAAATTAACAATGTTGCCAAGAGGAAAACTTATGATTAATGAATGTGAAAAAAAAGTTAATTTTGTATGGTAAACATTATAGTAAAGATGATGTTTTTCAAGCGAAAACTATTTTGGAAAACTATATTATTAAGGCATATATTAAGCCACTAATAATCCAATAATATTTACATTCAAACAAAAAAGTTGTATATAAAGTTGAAACAAAAACCCGTTGCTTATAAGTACGTTAGACTGCAATGCAAGCTCAATAGAAAAATCAAACAGAAAACTAGAAGCCCTTGTTAATTTACAGCTGGTCGTATAATATAAATAATTATATGGAAACCCAGGCTTGTAATTCTCGATTTATGGTAACAAGTCAGTATAATCTTTCAGTTAGTTTATAATTCCAATGAAATAAGCTTTTATACAATTAGCAAATTTATTGCCAACTTGTTTGACTAATCGAAGTCTTATCGATATGGGTTGGGTTCTATTTGGTTGACTCTTTCAAGGGGGAGCAATAGGTTTGGTTTTGCGTGGAACTTAATACATTGACCCTGGTTGGAAAGTGATTGATCATGGTGAGCTGGCAACTCGTTCCTCAAATAGTAAGGACTCTAATCTAATCGTGAATTTAGATGTCTCAGGGGTCAAGTAGTGCACTTTGAAAAAAAACTATAAATTGCTACACACAAAAAATAGTTACATTATCCTAATGCCAATTTCTCGAACTTATGAATTTCGCATTTTATAGTTAAGTTAAAAATCATTTTAGTATTATATGTATTTTGGTATTGAATTTCTTAAATATTTTATAAATAGTATAACCTATAAATTATTGATTAACTTGATCAGTGTTTTTTCTGTGTGTATAACTTCTTGGGCTTGGCCTTAGATTATCTAACATTTGGGAGTTAGAACATTGACTTGTAGACTAAAAAATTTGAACTGGAGAAAGGTTAACATACGTTTCAAGATAACTTTTATTTTTATATGCCATTTTATTCAAATGTCTCTATATATAGTTTTGGTATTTCCTTTACTTTTCAAGTTGTTTGTTGGCCAAAAGCCAAAGATCATCCTGGAAGTCCTTATCTCCGATTTCGCTTTGGTCATGCTGAAGTACATAAAGAAAAACGAAAAAAAAAAAAAAAAAAACAAAAAAACTGCTCGATGAACCGATCTGAACTGCGACTGAAACTGTATAATATTGAGACGAAGCTTTTGTGTTATATCAACGACGTGCATCTACTTAGACACCCCCTCTGGCATCTGTCTATATCTTTTAGCTCTGAGTATCTCAGTATCTGAACCATCTGTGTCGTAAAATCTGGCTAGCAGTGTGTATATTTATATACATGACACATATATACATTTTTATGAGCTATGAGGTACTGGGGCTCTGGGGTGCAACCCACTATCTGGGGGTATTATTATCGGACACCGATTAACACACAGGCGGCTGCTATCTAACAAATATTTGTTTCATGTAGGGAAACGGTTGAACCGTTGCACTATATGGATGTCGTTCCATATAGATCGAAGCGGATTGTAATGGAATAAATCGAAATGGCAGCAGTGCCATTGAACATATGTAGTGGTTGTGTTTATAGAACGCTCTGCTGCTGCTGACTCGGTCGCTGCCGCTGTCTCTGCCTCTGTTATAGTCGACGTCGCTGCCGGTAGAGTGTATCTACGAGTAGTGTAGTACCATATAATATAGTATCTGAAAAACCCCTGCTAATGTGTGTGTGTGAGTAGATTTGAAATAATAACTTATAAGACCGGCATGGCGGTACGGTGCGTAGTGTTTACTTTGCTGAATATTCAGTCCGACTTCGTTAACAGCCGCTAACGGTTTGCTCCGCCAGCTCTGATCATCCGCAGATCGTTCCTTTCTTTATATATATATATACATATAAATTTATTTATATATATAGGATCCTATAAAGGATATAACTATACATCTAAAAACAACATGACGAAAGTGGCGCAAAGGTTAGTAACAATCAGCAAGAATGAAGATCTGTTGGTAACAAACGAACAGAAAGAAAAGAGAGTGTGGGAACAACAGACACTGTCAAGTATCTTATCAACGGAACTATACACATGTCGTGCAATATACAAATCGGTAATAGGTGAGCGGTGATAACTCCTTACCTTATCTCGGGGTCTACAACTACTGCCCAGGAGCAGGGTCCAATGGGTTCCGGAAAATCCAATAAAATCCAATGGATAATTAGCTCAAGAGAGAGAGGGATAGGCCCATTATATAGATCAATTGATCACCATTCATATGGATGATGATCGTGCCAACCTTTGACCATTGTGCAATCTGGATCAGCTCACTTAAGCGTTATTCACCTTCATCCGACTTAGTTCAACTATATCAAATTGCCCCTATTAAACCTTGATCAATGATCGTGATTAGTTATGAACCATAAACTATGCTAAACACCAAGGATCATTCTTTATTCTTGGGGATATATATATATACTAATTGCCGAACATATCTTATTTATATACGAAGATGTGAAAGGATTGAAATAAGCAGTAGCTATTTAACAGTTACAATTATTAGAAACAATATTTTAATTTTTTCTATATCTGGTATGAGGGTATAATATTTACATTACATATCCATTGAATGAATCTTCTCAAGTGCAAAAGTTGATAACATTTTATGAATGATCGAAAAACGAAGTAAAACAATTTTCGTTGTGCATTTGTTTGGAACTATCTAGGTGGGCTGTTGTTCAGCGTGATTTTGGTCGGATCGACTGACTATAAATAGCATTCCAGAAGTACGCCGATAAGAGTGGTCTCTATGGAAGTGAAATGCGGGAGCACGATGGGGCGATAGAAAGTGAAAGAGGGCTAGAGCGAATGCGGGAGGGAGAGGTACCGAGGCCATGGTCAGGGCTGGTCAATTCGATGGCACGATCTGGTCTACAATATAACATATATAGACATGTGCTGATCGCCATACGTAACGTAAATAACGGCAAAATACACAAAACAATACCAAAAAGCTCGAAAACAGTTTGGCATTATCAAGATCTCACGCAGCTGCAGCCAGCAATATAATTACAGAACATGAGATGGGGGGGGAAAAATAACGCTGACCCAAGATGAAACCAAACCCCATACCCATGACCACCCACCTCGACCCGGCCCTTTTTGGGGCTTAGCTTCCGTATAAATAATATTACATGACATCATTTCTTCACAAATAACATTTTTTGTATTTGGCATAGTAAATTTAAAGATAAATATTTAGAGTAGTGAAAATTATCTCCTATTAATATATCATACATAAGAACTATGTAGCAGCGAACTTAATCTTAAAAGCTATATTATTGCACCCATTTTAAAGATACATTTTTGTCTGTATAGCTAACTAAAAAAAATTGTAACACCAACAATAGAGGATGCCAAAGGTCATCCGATTGTCGGTGACTGTAAGATAGGGCCCACACGCACACTCAAATCCAAATGACTGTGGGTCATGCAAGAGTTGGGTTCCGGATTGATCCCATTTTATAATTATGATGCTCAGATCAAAAATAAAACTGACAGAAGCTCGCATTTCCCCCGCCACCCCAAAAAAAAATCCAATCCGTCAAAAGCAAAGCTTTTCCCATCCAATCTACATATGTAGTTCTAATGGGAAGTAATATTTGTTAGTCAGAATACTTTGAACCTGTTGGTGTTTATAGGTACAGATAGATCTATTCAGCTAATGATCCCCGCCGCACATGTAATATAACGACGTATAATAAACTGCATTAATTTCAATATAAAAGGGCAAGAAACCTATGTAAATTTTAAATTGGTTATACACGAGGCTATAATTATTTGAGTTAAGTATACCGGTATAGGGTCATTTCGTATTCCATTAAATATATCACCTCAGTTAAATTTAATTATTAAATTATAACTTTATAAAAACAATAAGAAATTAGTAAATCTCCTATTCCCATGAATTTATAAATGGTTTACTTGAAATATCTTCCACGTTTTTTTTTTTCCAGTGCTGGCAACAATGCCAACGGCAATGATATCTATAATATCTTCCTACTGGTGGTAGACATCGTGATGCTGCTCGTCAAGTTCTGGATCGCGATCATCGAAGCTTTCGTGGGACTCTTCCGTCCGATTCCCCTTGAGGATGTCAGCGGAAAGGTGGTCCTGATCACTGGAACTGGTCATGGTATGGGCAAAGAGATGGCCTTGCAGTATGCCAAATTGGGTGCCACTATCCTGTGCTGGGATATCAATGAGCAGACCAACAATCAGACCGTGAAGGAGATCAAGAGCAGCGGTGGCAAGGCCTTCGGTTACGTGTGCAATGTTACCAAGCGCGAGGAGATTATTGAATTGGCCGAAAAGGTGCGCAAAGAGCATGGATTTATCCATGTGGTGGTCAACAATGCCGGCATCATGCCCTGCCATCCATTATTAGAGCACACCGAGAACGAGATTAGGCTCATGTACGAAATCAATGTCATCTCCCACTTCTGGGTATGTAACTTTCGATTTTTTCCAGTATTTCATACTTAAATAAGAATTGAATTTCTCTTTCTTCATTAGATCATCCAATCCTTCTTGCCTGATATGATTGAACGCAACGAGGGCAGTATTGTGGCTTTATCTTCATGCGCCGGACTCTTTGGACTGATTAACCTGGTGCCCTATTGTGGTACCAAGTTTGCTGTTCGTGGATACATGTCTGCCCTCGCCGAGGAGCTGCGCCAGAAGAACCCACAGAACAATGTAAGTACCATTTAATTTGAGCATTTTGTGATGCATAATAATCCAGCTGGGGTCTAATTAAAAGGTTATAACATATATATATAATAGAGAATCGTAGTTTATTGTCAGTAAATTAAAGCTCGAGTAGATATTTTACACTCCCTGTTTAATGAACAGGTTTAGTGAACATTTACTTGTGCATCTTAGTTCCAGACTAGCAGCAGCAGCAAACAAAAAATAACTTTTAATATCTTTCGAAAATGACTCCAATGTGAACCTGACCTTTTTAACCAAAGATCTCCGTACCACGTAAAATAGTAATTCAAACCATATTTATATTATTATATCTTTTTGCGTTTCAGGTCAAACTGACGACCATCTATCCGTACATGATTGACACGGGTCTGTGCAAGAATCCCCGCTATCGCTTCCCTAATCTGTTCAAGCTGATCTCCCCGGAAGTGGCCGCTGGTTCGATTATCGAGGCTCAACGTCAGGGATTGGAGGAAGCCGCCATTCCACGCCGTTTTGTGGCCGTGGAAAAGGTTGGCCGTTTCATTCCACGCAAGGCGATGCGTTTGGTGAACGACTTCCTGGATACGGGAGTGGATACTGATAAGTACTAGATTTTCTAGTACTTGGGCTTTAAAACCCTAGTTCCTCCTTCCCAGTAGGTCATAGAGCTTTATTTTTTTTTTTTTCGTTTTTTTCGTCGTTTTTAACATTATCTCCCTTTAATTGCTGTGTAGAGAAGTGCAACTAATTGCTATATAAAAAGTGAATTTAGTAAGCTCAATTTAGCTGTTAGAAAGGTTGTTACTTAATTAAAGGCGAACATTGTCGGGCTAATTGTGTTGGTCGTAATAAAGGTCTCCAAAGAGTACTCCATAAAATTATGAAATGTGGTTTTGTTTCGCTACTTTGACCCGAGAGGCTGCCTGCCACAAATGTGTTTATCTGGCTATGGTTATTTGGTAAGTTTTTCTCAAGCGTTGCTAGATTTTCCAGTTCATTGTGCTCTGGTATTTGTAAATGTAGAAAGTTTTAAAACAATAATATACCAAGAAACTACTATATATATTCACTTTTATCTGTTGGCCTATTTAACCTAATTTACTTGTACAATCAAATGTTCATTGGGGTTTCATAGATCCCTGCAAAGATCTTGATTCCACAGAATTTCTTAAAATCTGCATTTGTTGATCGGGTTTTACATATCGAATAGGTTCACCCTGGATTTTTTCATCAGCTGGATTCCATTCTTCAAAGACCGTGCGCTCCATAATCACCTTCCTTTTCGATCGCTTCCTTTCCACACTGAGTATTATATCCTGAAAGTCACTAATGGCCGTTCGGAATTGATCATCGCCCTCGATCATCATCACAAACTGGTCGGGATCGTCAGGATCCAGCTCAAGGACGGGTGCCATTTCCTGTTGTTGCCGCGCTCGATCTTCCTCTGCCATTAAAAGGGTTTTCCGCTTGAGCTTAACTTCATCATAACGAGCCTCCAAAAGTTTACTCCGTACAATTTCACGCTCGAACATCTTAAGACAAATGTAGTCATTAAAAGGTAAGACAAAATATTAACTTTAACTTCGGATACCGAAATTTTCAAAGCCGTTGCTGATTTCCCATATATGTTTAAACGTATTCTAAATTATTTGAATGGGAATGTAAATTACCATCTGCAAGGGCTTAACATTACAGTTAAGATAGTTAATTAAGCTCTTATATCGATACGTACGGCTGCAATAAGTGCCTTCTCCTTGACAGTTGCCTGTCGCATAGATTCATCTAGTGTCAAGATATGACTGTCACCATTCTTTAGAGCAATGGCTAGTAGATCACCATCCGACCGGAAGACGACATCTGCAATGGGAACCTTAAAATCCACAGAGAAAATGGGTTTTCGCTGGTGAAGTAACAGATCCCAGAAGTCGACAACACCATTCATATCTCCAGTGACGAATAACGAACAGCGACCTGTACTCCAAGCTCCGCAAACAATTTGCGAGTTCTTTCGGAAATACATGGTGGACGGTCCATCCTTGGCCTCTTCGGACCAAATTCTTGCCCGCCAATCGCCCGTGACTAAGAAATTCTTGACAAAAAATGGATTACGGTTGATACTGCGCACTGGGCCGGCAAAAAGTTTATAATGGGCCAGAAGCGTTTCCGTGGGAGTCATTCCTTTCCGATTTCCCACAAAGACATGACCCATATCGCTGCAGATAATGAAGCGCACTGGGATAGTATACTCGAATTCCAGGACCGTGACTCCATGCGAATCCATCCTAGATTGACGCTCCTGTGGTTCCGGTTCAAGAAGTAACTCCTGCATGGGCATTTTGAGATCCCTGGTATCCCAGTACTTAATAGAACCATCCAGCGAACCCGAATAGAACTCTGTGTTGGATTTGGAATGGACCCAGCAAAGGGCTGATGTGGTCTCCCTATGGGACACCTCCAGAGGGCAATTCCGCACCGGCAGTCCGCCCTTAAAGGTGTTCCATAAACAGACCTGCCCCAGCTCCGTGCCACCCACCATGTTGTTCTCGTCCTTGGGACAAATCTTGGCTAATGATACCGGCTCCTTACTGTCGTAAAAAATCTTCGGCTTGAGAGGATTCTTCACATCCCATACATAAAAGCCATTGGCCTCTCCAAACGGTTCATCCGTGAGCAAACGGAGTCGCTCTGTTTTTCGGTATTGATTGGTGAACTGGGTCATAAACTGACGATCATTATTTGGCATCCACTCGATGGATTTCATTCTGCGGGCCGGCAGCCAGAGATCATGAAACACATTGGCCACCCGTGCACGAAATCTCATCCGTATGTCGTGACCCAACTCCGCAGGGAGATCCGAAAAAAAGTTCTGATAGATATTCAGGGTATTGTTCTGCTCCGCCACGGCCATTGTGTTACGAATCATCTCCAAGACCTGCTCACCCCAGCTATCCTCACGCTCCACTTTCTTGCGATGGCGCAGTGTCTGCTCCTCATCGTTGGAGTTAACCTCTTTGGGCCAACCGCCCTCGTAGTGATACATCCCATGATGATCCAGAGTCACATTCTCCGTCTCCATGATGGTCAAGGCCATCTGTCGACTCAGTTGGGTGGAATGCACAGAGGGGTTTCGCAAGATGTATTTCAGACGTTGGCGGCCACTGGGATGGACACTGACCATCAGTTCATTGCGGTCTTGGAACCGGCACTGCCGCCCAAAGCGACGCCTTTCTCGGGAATAGATGAATTGGTTTTGATTCATGGTAAGATAGGATAAAGATTTTGGTACTTTAAGCCCTTAAAGCGCGTCTTTACCCATAGGTTGAAATGGATTGAGTTTAGTTCTGTTCCTCCTCTTCCCGTGTGCACTATTTGTTTTTTTTCTTATTTTTGTGTTTACCAAGTATCTGTCTGTAGTATGTTTTTTTTTATTTATGTGTGATTGATTAAATAACAAAATCAGCCTGAGAATATCCATAGCGTCATTATTTGTATGATCTCCAATTCGAAGTTGCCAAAAACTTGGAAGGAGGAGACACAAATTTGCTCCGCAATAGTCCATAACTTGGCCAAATGAGTTTTATGATCATATAATATAATATGATCAATTTAATAAAATGTAAAATATTTTGAATTATTTAATTTAAAAAATATTTGTATTTCCATGAGATGTACAGCAAACTTTAAAAAACAGTGTGACCTAAACAAATTTTGTTAACCAAAAAATACAATGAACTAGACTGACCAGGCCAAGGGACGGGAAATAACTTTTCCATATCAATATCGTCGGTCATAGGCCTATCGAATCAGCTGTTCGCCTGCGGATGTAAGGAAGGAATGATATAAGAATGAAGGCAATACAAAATATACTAAATCGTTCATCTCTAACGAAGTAGATATCGTTAATGTATTCGAAGGCAATCGTTAATCGATTTAAAAAATAAATAAAAATATACGATACTGGAATGTCATATATAAAATACAATTAAATAAGTAATATAATTACTCTTTCGTTTTGTATAAAGCAAGGCCATCATCAATATCCGGTTAAACGCCTATCAAGAAAATCTGCGTTGGTAAGCATCGTGTTTTGGTGTTCAAAAAACTTTTGTTTCTTTTTTTTACTTAATTAAAAACAAAGTCGCCACCCCTCCCCCTCCCGCCGAATGAAAAACGTGGGAAAAATAAGGAAGCGCGTTTTTATTAGAAAATATAATATAAATCTTTCGCAGGACAACATTGCGTGACTTATGACTACAAAAAAAGTATGCACAATCCCGAACCTCTCTAGCTTGCTAGCAGAACGAATTCAAAAGAAAACGACTGGAAATCGAATCGAGTAAAAGGGAATCTAGTCAAGAAATTCTCACGATGATAGGTAAGGATTCCACAACATCAGACGCTCCCGAAATGCAGGTGGCGGGCACAGCAACAACAGAAGTGGCGACACCGCCAGAATATGGCAGAGATCAAGCGGAAGATGTGGATGATGAGGGCGAAAACGACGATACGGATGCAGTTGCGGAGGCCTCTGCTTTGGAGGCCGAGGAGCGAGAGGAACTGCAGCAGTTTATCAACGAACTCCGTGAGAAGATCGAGAGCAAGCGACAGCTGCGTCTCCAAAACTCTACATTCGAGCTGCCTGGTGAGGAGTACTTTGCTAAACTGGACTCCAACCTTAAGAAAAACACGGCGTTTGTCAAAAAACTTAAGCTGTTCACAACGACTCAACTGGATGGACTGCTGCGTGAGCTATCCGCCTTAAATTTAAGCAAGTACATTTCGGAAATATGTGCCGCACTAGCCGATGCTAAACTAAAGATGACCGATGTACCGGCGGTGGTGACTTTAGCCTCCCGCCTTCACTGCACCTACGCTGACTTCGATGTCCAGTTTCTGGAGGCCTGGCAGAAGGCCCTTAATATCAAGGCCAGCGAGAAAATAGCCAATCCCAGCAAACTCCGCGTGGATCTGCGCCTATTCGCCGAGCTTGTCAGCTCTGGTGTTATTCAAATGAAACCTGGATTGGCTCAACTGGGCGTAGTTCTGGTGCACCTGATTGCACAGGATAAAGACGACCATAGCAATTTCTCTATTATCCTATCCTTTTGCCGGCACTGCGGCGAGGAGTACGCCGGTCTGGTACCGCAAAAAATGCAACAGTTGGCCACAAAATACGGAGTGGAGGTGCCAAAATCCGACTTTCTAACCGCCGATAAGCAACTTAACCTGCGCACTATGCTCAAAGGCTACTTTAAGGCCCTATGCAAGCATGTCTTGGCCGAGCAGACCGAACTGATGAACATGACCAAGAACATCCGACGGACCATGGAGTGCAAGGGAGAGATTTCTACGGAGAAGCGAGAGAAATGTGAGCTGATGCAGGCCGGATTTGATAAGCTGTTGGCCTCCGCCCAATCGCTATCGGAACTTCTGGGAGAACCATTGCCCGAGCTGGCGAAGGAGTCCGAGTGCTGCAATCCAGGCACGGTCATCGACAACATGCTAGACAGCGCTGCATTCGGGGTGCTCGATCCCTGGGGCGATGAAGAGACTCGCTCTTTCTACACAGACCTTCCCGATTTGCGACAGTTCTTGCCAAATTTTTCGGCACCCAAAGTCGATTTGGAAACGTTAGAAGAGCCCAGTGAACTTACTGAAGAGGCTATTGAAGCCAACTTAGATGCAGAAATGGATCTGGATGATCCTCCGTCCACCACTTCGGATACGGCGCTGGATAATGCCAACGAAGAGCAGCCGACCACGCCACTTGCCCCTTCAGAGGATGTAAAGCCACAGAAAATGGGCAGCGCTTTGATGGAACTAGGCCGCCAGCAGCAGCAGCAAAGCCAGCTAACCCAGAATTCCAGCCACACCCAAACTCAGATGCGTCAGCAGTTTGATGGTTTTTTGGTCAACCTATTTAACTGTGTAAACAAAGAACTAATCGATTCGGCGGCAATCGAGTTCCTGCTGAACTTCAACACCAAACATCAGCGCAAAAAGCTAACAAGGACCATATTTTCAGTTCAACGAACTCGTCTGGATATCCTGCCCTATCTCTCGCGTTTTGTCGCTATTATTCATCTGTGCAATACGGATGTGGCCGCCGATTTAGCGGAACTGCTGCGAAAGGAGTTCAAATGGCATATCCGCAAGAAAAACCAGCTGAACATTGAATCCAAACTGAAGATCGTCCGTTTCATTGGCGAATTGGTGAAGTTTGGTTTGTTCAAGAAATTCGATGCCTTAGGATGTCTGAAAATGCTGCTAAGGGATTTTCAGCATCACCAAATCGAGATGGCCTGTGCCTTTGTGGAGGTCAGCGGTGTGTATCTATATAACTGCAGGGATGCCCGGTTGTTGATGAATGTGTTTCTGGACCAGATGCTGCGCTTGAAGACTGCCACGGCAATGGATTCGCGTCATTCAGCGCAGATTGAGAGCGTCTACTATCTGGTGAAGCCGCCAGAATCGTCCAAGCAGGAGCCCATGGTTCGTCCTCCTATGCATGAGTACATCCGTCACCTGATTTTCGAGGAACTATGCAAACAGAACGTGGAGCGCTGTATCAAAATGCTGCGCCGCATCAACTGGTTGGATCCAGAGACGAATTGTTATGCTATAAAGTGCCTCAGCAAGGCGTACCTACTGCGCTTCCCGCTCGTCCGGTGTTTGGCCGATCTCGTCTCCGGGCTGAGTTCCTATCAGCCTCGGGCGGTTACTATCGTGATCGATAATGTATTCGAGGATATACGCGCGGGACTGGAAATCCATTCGCCACGCATGGCCCAGCGGCGCATAGCAATGGCAAAGTATTTGGGCGAAATGTACAACTATAAACTGGTGGAATCCAATCACATTCTCAACACGCTCTACTCCATTATCTCGCTGGGAGTGTCTATGGACCAGAGTGTCGTCTCGCCGCTAGATCCGCCGGACAGCCTATTCCGTCTGAAACTGGCCTGCATGCTACTTGATACGTGTGGACCATACTTCACCAGCCAGGCCACACGAAAAAAGTGAGTGAGATTACAGTTTCTAACAGTTAAGATTTAAAGACACAGTCATTAAAACCCACTACGACGTAATAATTCTTCTGATTCGAATGTAATATTTAATTTTTTTTTCAGATTAGACTACTTCCTAGTTTTCTTCCAGCACTACTATTGGTTCAAGAAATCCCATCCAGTGTTTAGCAAGTCGGGTAACACCTCTGACTTGTTTCCTATCCTGGTGGATCACACCTACCGCGACTGCTTAGCCGGTGTGCGACCCAAGCTTAAGTTGTATAAGAGCCTAGAACAGGCCAAGGCGGCAATTGATCAGCTCCAGGAAAAACTATACCCACAGCTTAAGGCCAACAATTCTCAGGATCCATCCTTAGCCACAATCAGTGAAATTAGTGAGCTAGACGGTGTAAGCTATAGATTTTTTATATAAACTTTATAAAGTACTAATTTGTTTTCTTTTTACCAGGTGACTGATGAGGACTCGGGATCCTCGAATGATCAGAGAGAGCGACAAGTCGCCGGCCAGGAGCCGGAGCAAAGCAATGACTGGACAGAGAACGAGACGGAGCCACCCCGGACTCCCCCACCACCGGAAAAATCTAAGGAGGATCTAGAATTTGAACATTTGTACGATAAAATGACAACGGACTCGTACCAGGAGCGTTTAAAGGACCCGTTCAAGACTACGACCAAGGACATACCGGTGCCGATGATGGCGCGTCTGCAAAAGAAGTCTTACGAACAGATTACAGGGGCTCAGGCCTCTGGTAATTGCAACACCAATGCGACACAAACCTCAAAGGCGGCCAGTAATCAGGACGGAACGCCTGGATCCCCAAGCATAGATCCGCCAGATAACAACGGCAAATCATCAGGGGATGCTGCTGCAGCTGTGCCCTTTGTGCTAATGGTGCGCGGCAACAAGGGCGGCAAGCAACAATTTAAGTCGTTCGTCGCACCATCGGATTCACATTTAGCCATCAATCTGAAACTGCAGGAGGAAAAGATTCGCGAGGAGAAGGAGAAGGTAAAACGCCTTACACTTAATATAACTGAACGGATCGAGGAGGAAGACTACCAGGAGTCCCTGCTCCCACCGCAGCAACGCAACTTCACCCAATGCTATTACCAGAAGCCGAACAAGCACAAGTTCAAGCACCAAAAGGGAGCGCCCGATGCGGATCTCATCTTCCACTGAGACGCTCCCCCGCTCCCGGAGTCGAAAAAAAGCCGAGGCCGGTGAGTGTGGGAGCTAGTGCTATCCGTATTGTAGCACTTGTGTATGTTTCCAAGCCTTCTGGCTGGCGCATTGATAACACGGCTGCTCTGTTGCTGCCGCCAATCGACTGCGATTGTTTACCACGGAATCGAGAGAATGAGAAAAGGAGAGCACCGCTCCAAGAGCCGTCCACTCTCCCCAACCCATATTGTCGGGAAGCTACGGACGATTTCCGATCCACAAGAGCCACATCAACCTCAAGCCGTACTTAAGCCAACCAATTGAAAAACTAGCACTTTGCCTTCACACATTCAATCGCAGTCATGGCAGCTCAAGCCAACCAAAATTGGCACCGGGGTCCACGTCCTCGATATCATCTATCGTGTACATAAATTTGCTGCTCCCCCGATTCTTATTCGTATACCTTAACATAACATAGTTCGTAAAAATGCCTAGACTTGTTTCGAAAACAGACCCCAATTGAATAACGCAACACGTATACAACGATATATACAGAATGTTATAGAATGTTATATACACACTCATCCGATATTTTCATCCGATGTTCGCTGTTCCGTTGACATTTTTGAATCAAATGCAGAATACAGCCTGAAAGTGAATTTGTCTCCTCTTTGGGGTGGAAAAACAGTTGGATGAGCAAATGGAAAAAAAGAGTTAAAATACTCTAAGGGACATCATACGTATTCCCTCCAGTAAGTCTTGAACTGTATTTAGTTGATTTTCGGTGTATTCAGTGTTTTAATCATTTAACTTCCAATACTCTTTATAATGCCTATGTACTTTGCCTGAGTTTTTGTATCGGTTCTTCATTTAATCAATTTTTTTATTTAAAGATAGAATTTCCAATTAATAAAATTCCCAAATTTGTTCATTATTTATTTCATGGTTTTTAAAAATTTATTTTACTAAAATTAGCGTCAAACAATTTAATTTTCTTTTATTTGTATATTGCTAGTGTTGCCACTACATTTTGTATTGGTTTCTTCAATAAAATCACTCAAAATATTTCTTTATACAAAACTGTTTTGTTTTGGTTTTGTATTACTTTAAATGTTAATCAGTAATCAGTACAAATGGCAAAAATATATATATTTATATAGTAGTATTAATTTACTATTAATGATCGAAATTCAATAAAACAAAACACACACAAGAGACTATAATCCCGCTTTGTTCCACGCGGTTTCCCTTTTATCTTTGCTTTCTTTCTTTCATTTTCCATAAGTAAAAACATATAGAAATAAAAATGAAAAGATTTCACAGTTTCCGGTGCACTCTAGCATTTTGAAATTAACAATTACAAGCTTAAATGTTAATAGCTTAAATATTAATTTTAAAGTTAGCTTTAAAAACAATAGAAAAACATTTAGAAGACGTGGCGAAGGACGACATTTTTGGGTGGGTAGCAGATCAGTAAGGTTTCCCATTTCTAGCCGTTTGCCGGGATCGTTTCAGTTAAATACATCGCTATATTGCAGGACATCTTGTTAATAATAATATAATAGGGTTGATGAAAATATTTTTAAATACAGGGAAATACAAAACGAATTTTACAAATTAGGAGTAAAATAAAATACAAATTTATACGCTGGCTTGGATACTATGGTTACAAAAAAGAACACAAAAATCGTATATCTAACTATCGTTCGTAGTTCAATTGCTGGCTGTTTTTTTTCGTTTCTCGGCTGCATGTTTTTGCTGCTGTGCGTTGTCTGTTTTCTTGCTCGTTTATATACGTTTAGATATAGTCTAAAATATGTTGCAAGGCACAAATCGTTTGCTCGTTAAGTATACGCAATGTATAAAGGCTGTACCCACGGTAGGGTTCTGGTGTAAATGTATATATAAATATATATATATATAAGGTTGACTTAGTTTAGAACGCGTTTCAATGGCAGTTGACTTCAGTGGTTTTGCACCCAGGCAAAGCAGCTTTGTCGATGTTTTTGGACTCGGTTCTGAAGATTGTTTGTTGGTGGTTATTGGTTTGGTTAGATGTTTTTTTTTCCTTTCTGGTTTCCGATTCAAGCACAGACAGTAGTCGTGTAGTTTCAACGACACAAGTTATATTTCCCTAATAATTAGTTAGATATCGGATTTATTTGCCCGCATACATGGGGTTCTTGAAGGTGGAGGTGGCTTGCTTGTAGATGGGATTTTCGCCCTGCAAATCAATTAAAAGAGATTATATTAAAAATATAACTAAGGGGTTTATTTTTGAATTCGATGGCCAACTAAACTTACCGTATCCCATTTGGCGTTCATGCGCTCCTTCTCGAAGCGAGCAAACTCCCGACGATCGTGAATCGTAGTCAGCAGCTTCCAAAGCAACAGAATAGCCAGACCCACCAGCACAATGGCTCCAATTACGCCTAGGACAATGCCCAGCATGAACACCTTCGGCGGGCACTCCTTGTTTTCCTGGGCATGGACTTTCAGCTCACCTTGCTCGCTGTATTTGAACATAAATTTACAGTCATCCTCGTCAAAGAAGGTGCACATCTGTTCGTCCTTATGCTCATCGATCTCTACCTTTTCAACGCCCACAGGTACAAAAGCAGTACAATTGCTGGCGCAATCATCGCCATTCTTTAATACGCCCGTCTTGTACATTTGGCATTGGACGCAGTCTTTGAGCTCTTGACACCTTCCGGAGCAAGTGGGGCACTTCTCGCAATGGCGACCAGAAAAGCGTCCCTGTTCGTTAACGAAACACTTGCAGACTCCACATTCACAGGTACCATGACCGGAACAGATCTCACCGCCACCAGGTGGCATACAAGTATCATTTGACTCTTGGCAGGCGCAATTGGTGCCCGTCCAGCCCGGCTTGCAGGTGCATCGGCCACAGTCGCAGGTGCCATGATCCGGACCGGAGCACAATTGGTTCTTGTTCCGTTCACAGCTAAAGTTATCGCACTGGCAGTATTTTCCAGATATTTCTTCTTCAGGATTTGGTCGTTTATGACACTGGCAAACACCGCAATCGCAGTTACCCCGACCAGAACAATCTGTTGTGGTGGTGTTATCCGCCCTACAACCGGCATCATTGGCATTCTTTGAAGTTATATCTGTTGCGGAACATTCGCATTTGTTGCCAAAATGATTATCATCGCAACTGCAGATGCCGCACATGGATGTGCCGTGGCGACTGCAGCTCTCTGCATGCTCCTGATAATCAGGTGATCCAGGCTGTTCGCAAGGACACGAGCACAGCATCTTCAGCTGAATTTCCATGTACTCGTTTATGCCCACGGGCGAAATGTGAATCGTCTGTGTCCAATCGCGAGGATCCTCTGGGCACTTCAGCAACTGGATGTGGGCGGTGAAGGTAACCTTCTGGCCCACTCCCAACTTGTCGCACTTAGAAGTCGGCAGTTCAGGTCCATTACCCAAACAGGACGAGAAGTAAGTGATTCTTACATCTCCAGTGGCATTGTCCTTCATCTCCACAGACGAAGAAATTTTCTAAAAACATGAGAGATGTATTAAATAATGATTAAAGTAAAAATCTTATGGTAGCACTTACATTATACTCATTAATGACCAGTTCAACAACGTTGGATGAATCGTTATCAAGCTTGGCAGCCGAAGAGCCCTGAATGTGTTTTACCAACTGTTCGTACACAGACAACTGGCTGGCCGTTACAGCGAATATAACATTAATGGCATTTTCTTTGACCTTCTGATTGATTTGCGAGATACTAGGATAATCCTGCAGGGTCGAATGAGTGTAGTCGCCAACGGAATTCAGATGGCACTCGCCATCGTTAGGTGCAATTACTCCACCCAGTTTACCATCGCCAGCATAATGGAATCCAGCATCCGTTGAGAAGACGAGCAGGCGACGGGCCTGTGCGCGCCAACCGATTTGCTGTCTGCAAGCAATAGCCTGCATAATGGCATCAAAGCCACCTTCGGGAGCATCCAAATTGCCAGACACATTAGCACTTTTTACCTCGGTCTGTCGGACAGATATTATAATATATTAATGTAAAGTTTATGTGAGAGATTTGGGTTAGTTTTGGTGGATTGTTTGTATGGAAATTGCAAGCTGGCACACCCTCTTTCACTGTTTTACTGTTTAAAAATGTTCGAATTTTTGTTGCACAAAGCAACTTCTTTGTCGGCAAGAATTATTTTCAGCAAACACTTCCAAACCTTGAGACATCTATCAATATTAGTTCAAGATAAGAATACTAATACAACACAAAGTTACTACGATAAGATATTTATATATATATACATGTACATATGTATATTTATGTACAGACCAGTTATGATAAATAGCAAACTGATCGGGTAGCTAAGGGAGTTAAATTTTATACTCGGAATTCTATATAAGATTGGAGAATCAGATTGATAGTTTTTGAAAATGAGTAACTATTTATGAAATTTTAACTTTTATGACTCTTCTGTAATTTGATGTACATAGAAAATTTATATTTGTTTCCAGTTTAACTTTATTGCTACATTTTCTTGCTTTTCTTTTCCAAACTTTCAGTTTTATACATTTTTCAGAGTGTGTCAGCAGAAAGTAGCCTTCATATCCATATGCACATAACCGTAACCATCAAAAAAAGAAATCACATGCATTCAAAAGAACTAAAAACCACCACCAACAATTATGCTGTATAATAACATTGCTAAATAAAGAAAATACAACGCAGAGGTTAAGTACAAGCAACCCATCTAAATCATACAAAAATTAACTAGTAATATTTCATGCAAAAACTGATGCAGATGACATGCCAACGTGATCAAAACTGAGAGCAATGTAAGGATGATCGTCGAATTCGATGGGGTTTTTTTTTATATACCACTTACAGCAAATTTTGTTGTGTTTTGACTTAAGGGCATGACGTTGTGATACCCATATGTTGCACTGCAATTAGCGCACGGCTGCTGAATACTAATTTTGGTTAAGATATTCGCAATATTTCGATCAAATTTCGAGCCAAACAACAGGAAATTTGTTTTCAAATGCACAAATACAAGTACAATATAGGCCAGATTTATATGGAGAAAGTGATGGAGACACAATGAAATAAAGAAATAGAGAAAGAAAAATAAAAGATAATATATAAATGACGACATCGAGAAGTGCAGATAGATTACCATATAGATACGATACCAAATATATATATATAGTGTGGATAATAGTATAAAAATGTACTGATCAGAGATAAAGCCCGATCCATCATACAACACAAAAGTATTGACAACAAACACTTATAAATAATGCTTAAACTAGTAAGTGCAATGGGATTTTTACATAAAACCATAGATGGGATAGGGCCAACAAATAATAGTTATGGTGAAACACATGCACATATAAATCTAGACATGACTACAAACATATATCTATATATTGATATGAGAGCAGGCACAATTAGAAGGTGGTTATAGAGTGATGTATTGATTAATCGTCTCTTACAGAGAAGCTTTCGGTGTTATTGTTGAGTGGCATGTGATTGTGGTAACCATAGGGAGCCTTGCAGTTGTCGCAGGGATGCTCCAGCCTACGGATTCAATTCGATTCGATTCCGTCGATCGGTGACGATGTTGTTGAGTTGTTTGTTGGTGTTCAAGGATTTGGTTGTAAGTATATAAATAATTAACAGAGTTAGCGGCTGATTTGGTCTATTAAATTAGATAAAATTAGCTCAATTGTACAGATATACAGCATTAAGATGCTACAAAAATTCTGCAGCGCATTTTAGCAAACCAATTGTATTTTTGAGTTAGCGATAGGATATTTTGTTTTTCTGGGAATTTAATTTTTAGAAATAATTTGGTCATCACCGGACATTGCTCATGGGGTGCTATCAATATTTGACTCTTGGTAGTCATGCCAGCGTCAATGGTCCGGTCTTGCTGACTAATCTTATATTCATTAAAAAGTCTATGACTATTAAAATTTTCCTTAAAAATAACATAACTTATAACAAGCTCTAAATTGATAAGTTTTTTCTTTCTCAGTAAAACAAGTCATGATTAACAGAAGTTATAATAATTAACAAGATAGAATAGAATGAAATAAAGAACAAATATATAAAACGAATAAAAGATTTCATCACAAACTGCCATACATTTTTTTTAAACAAAATTATGAATCCACAATTTTCCTTACTCTTAGGAACATAACTAAAATTAGCCTTAACTATTCAATGTTTTCATATTTAATTTATACAACCTTACTCACTTTTTTTCTATGGTGGAGACATAGGGCATAAGCACCTTGTCCACAAAGGAACCGAAACCCAGACGGAAATTCTGGGTGATTCTTTTCATGGTAGTGGACAGTTGGTCGCCGAGCTTAGACAGCTTCTCCTTGTCATCTTCCATAGATTTTGACAGGTCCATCAAGTAGTAGAGATCCACGGGATATCCCTGCGCCTGGGAATAGCTAACTTTGACCATGTGTTTCTCATCTGTTGTTGGGGAGGAAAAGAAAAATTAGGTGCTTTGGGCCCTAGAGATGCAAATGATAGCTACTTACTGACTCGCAATTCGAGTTTCATAGACTGTGGCTGGACTTGGACAATTTTGCCAGAGCTGTGGCTCCAACCTGAGCCTTGCTCCAAACCGGCACCAGCACCAGCACCGGCAGCGGCAGCGGCAGCGGCAGTGGCAGTGACAGTGGCAGCGGCACCGCCACCGGTAGCCAGGGTTAGTTCTTCATTCGATATAATAAACTCTTCGGATTTCGGACTATAGGTGAATTCCTCCGGACATAGTGTGCTTGAGTTCTGGAAGCAACGTGACTGGCCCTTGAAGCCCGGCTGCATGCACCAGGCGCAACCCTCCGTTTGGATGCAAGTGTTGCACCTTATCCTGGATGAGCACGTACTTCCTGGCGCATGTTTGTCAGATTTCTGTGATTCAGTTTGTCCAACAATGGCGGCCAGCAAAACGGCCAGCAGTAGAATGGCCATTTGGCGCCTCCGGGTTCTTTCAAGAATCATGTCTCTGATAGATTCAGTTGTGCAGGAAGTAGGATTTCAGGAGGATCGACTCTTCCTTGGGAGTGCGTGCGGTGTGTGCTCTGTCTCTGTCACTTCTGTGCGCTAGCTGTAATTGGAAGCCAATTGAACTGATTAGAATCTCTAATTGGATTGTGTTGATTTTAGGAACTACAGTTGCAAAAGAACTAGCACATTTTTTCAGTTTCCCTAATCGCTTTGCCTTTTATGATTTCAAAGTTTTATTTTATATTGTATATATTGATTCGTTTTTAAAATGATTTTTAACTAGTACTTTATAACCTTAAATAATATTGTTATGTTTGTAAATTTAATTAATTCAAACTACATATGTTTTTTTAAAAATCCATATGTAAGTACGAGATTTAATTATATATTGGTGCTATTATTTCGAGCTCAGGTGTATGTAAAAGTCCAGCTGCTGGCTGCACTGCTTTCCCCCATTTGCCCTGCTTTTTTTTTAAAGCAACAGCAAACAACGTCAAATAACCCCATTTATTGTTGTTTTTGTTATTCTGCTCTACCTTAATGTTTAATTTTATTTTCTCATCAACTTGGCCAGATGACTCATCTCACAGAGGCACACACATATACACACATGTACATATGTGTGGGTGTGCGTGTTTTTTTTTTCTTGATGGCGTCCAAAAAGAAGAAAAGCAAAAAAGAGGAAGGAAGAAAGCTTTCGATAAACATCAAATGCAATGCGAATTACTCATTCAAGCACGTTTCGTTAGCACGCTCTCTCGCCCCGCCCCCTTGCGCTCCTGTCGAAATGTAAACAAAGGCCAAACAATGAGTGGTTATTGAGTCAGCTATGCTGGATTTCCTTTCCGCTTAAACTTAAATGAATCACCCACTCCAATCCACTCATCATCCATTTACACGCAAAATCAAAATTCCCTATACCATATGCAAGAAAAAAAGGGCTGCAGATTACGTATACGTATCGGTGTTGTGTTGTTGGCTATTTTTAAACTCCCACGCACACACAACAAAACATAACTTGCAGCAGATTACGTACGTAAAAATATGAAATCTATAAAAAACTGTACATTCATCAACTCTACTTGTTTTCAAATTAATAAACAATTTACTCTCATTACTTGATAAAACTCGGAAAAATATATTAACATTTTAAAAAGAAATCACAAGTTATGAGCTGTACATTAAGTCATTTTTTTCAACTTGAATTTTTTTTTGTTTTTTTCTTTTAGTTGTTATTATTTTGAACAAACGATGATGAATCTTTACTGTTTTTTTGATTGGCTTATATTAACTGCATTAGAAAATCCCATTTAAAAGTGTAATATTTTAAAAATAAAAAGCATCTGCAGATTATGTTTTTTACAATATAGACGCCCACGCCCACTAGGCAAAAAACGACCAACATCTGGAACGCCCACATGTGGGCGTACTAGTTTAGCCAGTGGCGTATGGAGGATTTATTTCCAATATTACTGCTTTGGACACGATGGCATCTTGATATTAACGTTTTGTAACTGTTTAACGAAACTCTGAACAACAATTTGGTAAAAACGTTGATACCCTTTTATAAAAATCCCTCATACGCCACTGAATTCTTTTTTTTTTTTCTCTTTTTTTTTGCTCCTGCCTACGTACTTCTTTCGAATTTGAGTTCGAGTGCATGATAAGTGGGTGGGGAAGTTGCGATAAAGAGAGGGACCTAGGCGTAATCAACAACTGGCGTCGCGACGTCGCCGATCTGCACTAAAAAAAATATATACGAATAATATATCGCTGAGGATTCATTATTTTTTTTTAGCTGAACAAACAACCCATACATAGATACAGTGGAGCTTTATGTGGTCGTGCCTGTGTGTCGTTATTTGGAATGAAATCATCAAAAAAGAGCGCTTTGAGGATTCTTCCTCTTTTTTGGCCAAATGCAGCCGGAATTCATTGATTTCTTACGTAATCCCCACTTATTTCACTCGTTATCTGACTATTGCCAGCACTTTGGCCAACTTTCACTGTGTTTTCGCTGTAAATTCGTTAAATTAATTTCCATCAGGGCGGTTCTTTTCTTATTTTGATTTGCTCTCTCGCACACTTGTGGAGTTCCAATATCACACACACACACACTTTTGAACATTATGCACACACGCCAATAATTTCAGTAACTTGCCACAGATATTCGCTAAATCAGCGAATTTATCTCTTTTTGGGGCAAAAAAAAAACTATTTGAACTGCAAAGCAGTAGGAGACCGCCAATTAGAGTCGAGAATCGGATTTAGATTAAATTAATATTTACTGCTTTGTCTGCCGTCTGTCAATTTAGTGTTACCAGATGGTCTGTCAGATAGAGGTGGAATGCATTTCGATGTCTTTTCGGTAATATATTATCGATGCTTCCATATATGTGGCAGCCCCGATTCGGTGGGTGTTCTCGCTAGATCTGCAGAGTTTACTTGCTAATTAATGTGACTAAATTAATTAATTTAAATTGCAAGAAACCGATAATATAAAATGTATTAATAAATATTATTTTGGTATGAATTAGTATCAGCCGTCTGAAAACCCGTGAAAACACTAGCTATTGATTAATACGCGGATGTTTTTCCTTTCGCAAATATGGTCACACATAAGAGCAGTGTCTTCGCTAGAGAGGATAGTGTATTTGCTACGTGAAATTCACCATGCGAGAGAGCGTCATATGTGTGTGTGATGGAGAGAGCGTACTCTCACTTCGTATTGCCATCTCTTTCCTGCGAGCCCATCCCGCTGCATGCTTTAGAGCGGGAGAACCCCATGGTGGTACGAAGCCGCCATCTTGGCATCGCACCACCCCTCTCTAGCTATCCCATTCTTGGATGCCTAGGCCATGACACGCGTTAGAGCGGATCAGCAGCAGAGACAAGGCGCGTGCGCCTCGTGTCTCGACGACTGTCCATGTGTGTGCGTATTCGCATTTTCAGTAATTTCGAAAAAAAAATTTTGTATATTTGATGGCGACAGCGACTGCTACTCACAAGAAACTCGCGCGTTTGTCGAAAAATCGTAGCGCGTACGTATATATCGGTGTGTAGAAATTACTAAAAAATTGTGGTAAAAAATGGCACAAATTATATAAATTTGTGTTCGGTGTAAAGTGCTAATTGCGAGGCATTCAATAAATATGGAAAAATTGTGAAATTTCCATGATTTTAGCGCCAAAAAATGCATTTGAAAAATGTGAGACTTCAATGGACATGACAATTTTTTTTTTCATTTTTTTCGGTGGTGGAACAAAAGCGAACGAAGAGGAGGAAGAAGCAGAAATGCTCGTCAGTGTGTTCGTTAGTGTGTGTGTCGAGTGAGGGCATAAGCGTGAACGTGTGTAGTCACCAAGTGAATAATATTAACAAATATAAAAAGAAAAAACGAAAAAGTGGAATACACACGCAGAAGCGCGCGAAAAAAGTTTCACTCGAAAGAAGGGAAACAAAAAAAACAAGTACTAGTTAATAGTTGTTTTTGACAAACAAAAACGACATACAAACATATTAAAAATCTATAATTTTTCGATTTTGTTATTGTATTATTAATTTTGCGGTCTTGCGGCGCCGTTCGTACGTAAGCATGCCTCTACGTCGCGTTACGTATCGTGGTGACGTTTAAAAGACGATTACGTTTTGGATACGTTAGATTTGTCGCTGGGGAATCGCACTCACTCTTTCTCTTTTCTCTCTTCTCGCGCGCGCAAATCCAAAAATCTTAAAAAAAAGTGCCTTAACAAAAAGTTACCAATTTTTTTCTTTTTATTTTTACAGTTGCAACTTTTTAACAGTCGTGTACAATCTGTATGTTGTATATGTTCAAACAAAACCACTAACACAGCAATAGCACCAACAACAACGCAACAAAGTTTTAAGCAACAACAAAAAACGACAAGCTAAACATAGCTAAAACAACAACGCAATTGCAACAAAACCAACAACCAGTAGCAGAACGGCCATATAAAAAATTAAAAAAAAATAATAATAATTCGGATATTATTCATATATCTCCAATTAACGGATCAACAGCCACATAACGTGGTGATTTCACAAAAAAAAAACAACCAGAAAATCCGAAGAAAATGTAAGTTTAAAAAGTGCAGTGCACGTGGCTTTTGCCCCCGCCCACCTTAAACTCCCCCCAAACACACTAAAAAAACAAAACAATTCGCTTCAAAAGATTATTAATATTTTCTCCTGGGTTTAAATTAATCACTGTTTAGGGATCAGCAACCCTGAAAAATTAGGGGATTTTTGGAAATGACAGCTGGTTTTAGGCGGGTTTTTCCAACTGCAGAACAACCCTTTTTCTCAATGTTCTGGGAAATGCATTTTTGCTTTTCTTGTTCATGTAGCATTGAGTTTTTTATAAACAATATCTAGAGACTAAAAACGTCCCGACAAATATATCGTTGATAAATAATAGAATATTTTTATACATTTTTCTGATAACATATCAACAACATGTATCCTCTTTGTGACCAGATTTTTATAATCGTTAACTTTTAACTTTGCATTAGAATATAAAAATATATGAAATAAAATCCGAAAATATTTTTAAAAATATGTTTTTCATATCAGAAACGTATTTATAGTTCTAGGAAGCAGTATAAGTTAACTATTAGCTTATTTGAAATTTATTTGTGCATCCGTCAGATCTAGTAATCCTTGGCAAATATCTTTACACTCTTCTCCTTTTAGCTCTCTTCCTTTAAAAAAGTACATATTTTTACCGGCGTTTAGGATTTTCGTTTATTCGCTGTTCTTTTCCGCCTTCGTTTAAATGCAATTATTGTTAGTGCTGAACTTCTTCTAGTTGGCGCGTAAATAGGGAAAAGCAATTTGTTTGTTTACTTGTCGGGGCGCAAAATTGAAGATATGTTTATCGTAAATAAAAATTGCGAATGCGGTGCGACTTCTGCTCTCTCCGCTCTCGCTCTCTCGAATTGAATTCATTGATGCTTTTTGGGGTTCTGCTTTGCTCTTCATTTTTTGCTGCTTCTTCTCTGATGCTTCTGCATTTGGTGCATGTTGCCATGTAAACCGGCTTTAAATTCGTGCCACTATTAGCACGATTTATTAACCCAGAGGCAGTTCCTCCCCTTTTATCCCCTTCCCTTCCCAAACCTCTTTATCAAACTCACTCTCTCTATTTTGCTCTTTGTGCAGATACACAGCGATGAAACTAAAAACAACAACCACGACTCTTCTCTCGTCCGAACGCCGCACTCGAACACACATACGCAGGCGACATGCCGCCATATTTGCATTTGGCTACGTATTACGTAGCCCCGTATTGTTGTCTCGCTCTGTCGTACACTTGAGCAGCTGCAACTTTCAGCAGAGAGTGTACATTAGTATTTTGTTGTGTGTGCTAGTGTGTTTCACTTAAGTATTTTATTTACTTAAATAAAATTGATATATTTGCCCGTAGTTCAAGTGCACGGATACTAAGCTGGACAGAGAAACCAATATTTAATGAGTGGTTTAATAAACGAGTTAGGCTATTATTTATTTCCAATCTTTTCTCCTACAAACTGTTGACCTTTGTTTATTTGTTAAAGAGGAAGTGCATTTTGTTTTTGCTCAGGTTTTCTAAATTAGACAAAGTTATATCCATTAAATTATATTAACATAAATTTACACTTCAGTCCCCTTTTTCAAAAATACCCATTTCCAATTTTTATGTTCATTTCCAATGCATGCCGTTGCTGTCCTTGCTTCTTCTTCATCCGCTACTTCTGCTTCTTCCTCTTCTGTACGTCATCGTATCGTTCTACGTGAATTTCTGTTGAAAACTCAAAGTCTACTGTACTACATAATTACAACCGCACGTTCGCCCGCTCTCGCTCTCTCTCTCTCAAGTCTTGCTCTCTTTTGTTCTGTGTGTGTGTGAGAGCCAGTAATGTTTTGTTTTATTGTGAGAGCGCGATAGAGAGCCGCCCGCTATTGTGTATTTAATATGTGTTATTCCTAATATTCCAATTTTATTTGTGGCTAGTCGAGTTTAAAATGGGCCAAATACGTCATATTCATTGGCTGGCCTTTCTGTCAACATTCGTTAGTATTCGTTATATTCTTCCGTTTAATTTTACGTCACAAACTCACGAACACTAACCAAATCGCATAAGCACACTTGGAAATTAACAAAAACACAGTGGGCCAAAACGGATAATTAAATGCAGGTTCAAAAATACAGCTGATAACTGTAAAGCTCGAAGTGAAAGCGATCAGAAAAGAAAAGAAAAGAAAGAGAAGAGCAAAAATCGCTTGCCGGCCGGCGGCACACACACAAGTGGATAAGTGTGCGGGCGAGTGTAAATAAATTCGCAACATCAACAAAAACAAAAAAAAAAGTTGGTCAATAAACAATTTGGTAAAAAAATGCAAATCAAAATTTTTTTGTCTGACATATTGAAATATTAAAATTAATGTGAATTAAAAATGTAAGATAATATAAGAACAATAGTTTTCAACCGTCTGTACAATGAATATTTATTTGTAACTTGACTGTCAGTTGTTCCACTGTCAATTTGGAATATCGGCAAAAGGAAAACTATTCAAATGTGTGTGTGTGCGCGCGTGTTCTTCCTCTTCCTCGCTGACACCCCTCTCTCTTTTCCCTTCCCATCAGTCTTTTTATCGCACTTAGTCGAGGGTGTTAAATAAAATGTGAGAAACGTTGGAATTACGTGCATTTTATTGCCTTTTTGGCATGGCGTTTGCATTAGCGCAGCAACAACAACAAACAAAGCGAATGAATCATGTAGAATGGCAAGAATTCAACTTAAAAAAAGGCGGCGTGGTGAATTTCTCTGAATGCAAACACAACACGCCATATTCTTCGTGTGTCCGTCCCCAGATTAGTTTGTATGTGATTCAGTTATTCTTTAGTTTTTCAGTTAGCATTTATAAATCTTTATTGTGATTATTAAAAGAGTTTTTTTTTAGTTTTATAATTATATTTTCCAGCGTTTGTCGTGCGCCATTTGCCTGTTTTTTCTTTTTCACAAGTGCAAGCAGGACAGCTCTATTCTTAAGTCTCTATGCATATGTGTATGTGTGTGAACCGTGCGCTCTCTCGATTTTCGAACTAGAAAATGAGAGCCTCATACATGCTCTCTTTTTTTTTTTGTTGCGCTCTGCGGCCTGTTCGCCTCTTCTCTATTTTCGCTGTTGCTGTGAGTGCCAAAACGGCGGCAAAGTAACTACTCACGACCAAAACGGTGGAAGGGAAAAAACTAAACGAAACGGCAAAAACAGCAGAAAACGGCTAAAAATAAAGTTCGAATCTATAGTCGGACGCGTAAACTAATAAATTTAAGGAATATTGCCAAGCGAGTGATTTAATTGCTGTTAAAAAGTGCCTGAAATTGATTGTTTTGCACTTGGCGTGTGTGCCAATGTAGTGTGTGTATGTGTGTGTTTTGTCGTTCTCTGTGGTCTCAGCTTCTTTCGTTTTGTTCTGTTTTGTGTTTTCCGTTTTTCCACCGCCTCTGCATTTTCTACATTCTACATAGATTCGTTGTCGTTGTAGCATTTTGTTTATGGCAACCACCGCACTTTTAGTGAGAATGTAATTGTTAGTATTGTTTCTGTTTTTTTTTTTAGTCCACCAACCTTTTTATTTTTTTTTTATTTTGTTTATGTAACTTTTGGTGGAGGTGTGTTGTAAAATGCAAATCCTACTAACAGGGTTGCAAAATATGCGAATGTGCCGGCTAAGCTTATTTTTTAATTTACTTACTTTTACATTTACAGATTATTAACCGCCTGCTCTTGGGTTTTGTGCGAGTAATAAACAAGGATTCGGATTCAAAACCACAATGCCTCCAGTCGTAGTTGTGAAATCCTTGGCCCTCGGATCAGCTAAAGCCATTCGATTCCAATGAGAGGAGCCTGGGCCCTGAGAATCTGGAGCAGGCGAGGTAAGTACCTTTAAATTTTAAATGTTCTGGGATACTCAACTGATTTAACGTATTTATTCTATAAACCACAGTGCACAGACATTGCTGAGCATGAAGCAACCACTACGGACCACTACTACACAGCATTATCCCTTGAACAAGAAGAGATCTTTGTCAAAAATCAGTACAGAAGCATCCAGGTCAGGAGCTGAGAAATCTTTATACGGCAGAGGATCAGGATCAGGAGTAGGAGTCGCAGGAACAGCAGGAGAAGGGTTAACCTATCGCAGGAGGAGGAGGTGGTCACCGGCCACATAAGACTTGTCCCCCTCCCCCCTATACCCATTGAAAACCCTTCCCTCCAAATATCTATACAAAACAAATTCAAAAAGAGGAGCCAGTCGGAGTAAAACAAGGAGCGCAGGAGGAGACGGAGACGGCCCGTGTTTGTGTGTGTGTAGGTGGAGTGTGTGTGTTGGCCGTCTCAGTCGGATAACCATCAACCCGGATCCTTAATCCCTAGACCCATATCCCAAACTGAAGCACCAGAACCACAACCACCATGTCGTCCAGTGAGCCACCGCCTCGTTATGAGCCACCCGTGGAGCCAGTTAATGGCATTGTACAGCCACCGGTGATGCCGCCAGCGGAGCGACCCGGCCGCAATACGAACCAATTGCAATATTTGATCAAGACGGTAATGAAGGTGATATGGAAGCACCACTTCTCGTGGCCCTTCCAACAGCCCGTCGATGCCAAGAAGCTCAACCTGCCCGACTACCATAAGATTATCAAACAGCCCATGGACATGGGTACGATCAAGAAGCGGCTGGAGAACAACTATTATTGGTCCGCCAAGGAGACCATACACGACTTCAATACGATGTTCAACAATTGCTATGTCTACAACAAGCCGGGCGAGGATGTTGTTGTTATGGCCCAGACGCTGGAGAAGGTCTTCCTTCAAAAGATTGAATCGATGCCCAAAGAGGAGCTGGAACTGGAGCCGGTTACGGCCAAGGGTGGCAAGAAGAAGCAACGGGCGCCGGCTACGCTCAAGTCATCGTCATCTGGTGGGGCATCCACCGGTTCTGGTACAGCCTCCTCGACGGCAGTTAGCAGCGGAGCAGGTAGTGGCTCCACCAAAGTGTCAGCCGCCGCCTCATCCGCGCAACAGTCTGGCCTGCAAGGGGCGACGGGAACAGGTGGCGGTGCAACGAGCACACCTGGAACTCAGACGGGTTCCGGTGCGGGAGGAGCGACCGCCGCCCGACCCGTATCCGCCATGGGCGGCACGGTTTCATCGACGGCCGGCGGTGCACCGTCCATACCACCGATCAGCACAATGCCACCGCACACGGTACCCGGCAGTACCAATACGACGACGACAGCGATAGTTGGCGGCCCTGGAGGAGCCGGTCCAGGTGTTGCCAATCCCAATGCCGCCGCCATCATGGCCAGCCTTCTAAATGCGGGTCAAACGGGATCCTATCCTGGCGCCCCTGGTCAGACGGCGGTCAACAGCTCCTCGCTTTTAGACGGCAGTACAGCTGCAGTAGCGGCAGCGGCGGCGGCGGGAGCGGGAGCCGCTGGAGCCGGAGGAGTGACAATACCAGCCGTAGCCGTTAATGCCGCAAACGCCGTTCAAGCCTATGTGAATGCGGGCGTCAGCGTTGGAGTCGATGCCGTGATACCGCCTCAGCAGCCCGCGAAAATAAAGAAGGGCGTTAAACGGAAGGCGGACACCACAACGCCGACGGCCAATGCCTTCGAATCACCGTATGCGCAAATGGACTCAAAATCAGCCAAGATTGCGACGCGGCGGGAGTCAAATCGTCAGGTAATTGGCAAGAAGGTAAGAGTAACAGGCATCGCCAGTCGTATGAGTATGATCCTAAAACCCAATAGCTTGTATATATTCAGGGTGCACAGTCTTCGGTGTTCATTGTAAATATTTCAGTGTGTGCCAAAATAAAATCAGTGTTATCGCTTTTTTGTATTTAAAAATTGCAATTCCTAATTGTAAATCGATGTAGATTTCGAATTTTCTCAATCATAAATATTTTATTTAATGTTTTAATTGGAACTACAAATTTTATTTGAATTTCAAACATATATCATAATTGTCACTTCGAATCTCCCTAAAAGCAAATTTAATTCAACTAAAGTCTAATCTCTGGAAGACTTACTTTTACAATTCTTTTAATATGCCAAGATTATTATTTAGATAAGTCAGCAAGATCATTTGCGATTATCCCTTTTAAAATTACAAAAATATCCAATTCTTATGCCCAACAACAATCGATTGAAATCATACACAATACGCCGTCCTGCCTTTTACTCAAAAACCATTTCATATATTTGTAAATAAGTGGGGATTTGACGGGACCTGAAACATCCAGGATCAAGTCTCATCCTCCGCATGATCTGTAATGATTTTTTAAACAATTTGATTTATTTTTATGCTAACTCCATTCCGCTTTTTGCTCGTTTATTTTTCTTTTGCGTTTTTTTTTGCATTCAACCAATCGATCGATTAAATCAAAACCACCAATTACACCAACCAACCAACAACACCAACAAACCACCAATCAACAAACTCATCTAAAATCGAAACGATGGGATCTTTTGAACCACAGGATCTTACATTCCAGGGCTCGGGATACAATATGTCGCCGCTGGGCGTCTCCGGAGTGCCCGGACTTAGCGGTATGGTGGCCGGCGGAGTTCCCGGTGTTGCAGTGGCCAAGAACAAAGAGAAGCTATCAGATGCGCTTAAGTCGTGCAACGAGATCCTCAAGGAGCTCTTCTCGAAAAAGCACTCGGGCTATGCTTGGCCGTTCTACAAGCCAGTGGATGCGGAAATGCTTGGCCTGCACGATTACCACGACATCATTAAGAAACCAATGGATCTGGGCACTGTTAAGCGGAAAATGGACAATCGCGAGTACAAGAGCGCGCCGGAATTTGCCGCCGATGTGCGATTAATATTCACCAATTGCTACAAGTACAATCCGCCAGATCACGATGTTGTGGCCATGGGTCGCAAACTGCAGGACGTCTTTGAGATGCGCTATGCCAACATCCCCGATGAACCGGTGGCCAATGCAGCCCATCATCATGGGCATGGCCATGGGCACGGTCACGGTCACGGCCACAGTCACGGGCATGGTCACGGACATGGCCATGGTCACGGATACGGCGGCTCCTCCTCACTTAAACACGATGCCAGCGATTCGTCTAGCGAAGACTCTAGCGACACGGAGAACGAATCAAACTCGGATGAGGAGCGTAGCGCTAAGCTGAAAATGCTTGAGTCCAAGCTGCTTGGTCTGCAGGAAGAGATCCGAAAGTTATCAGAGGAGGCCTCAGCCAAAAAGAAGGCGAAGAAGAAACTAAAGGAGAAGAAGAAGTCGATGGGCGGCGGATCAAACTCTGGTTCGGCTTCGCATCATGGCCACGCCTCCGGCGGGGGTGCTAGTGCTGGCGGAGCAGGCGGTGCAGGTTCGGGCGGTCATGTGAGCGGCGTTTCTGTGCCAGGTGGTGTCGGTGCCTTGGGTGCGGGTGGAGCCGGCGGCGCTAATCTCAATGCACTGCTTAGTGGGTCGTTGGTTGGCCCGGGCGGAGCAGCCGTTGCCGGCGGCGTTTCAAATGTTGGGCAATTGCACAGCCAGGTTCACGACGTGGCCATGGCCTTTAGCCAGTTGGCGGGCGGCGGTGCCGCGGCCGGTGGTGGCTTTGGTGGCGGTGTCTCAGCAGCGGGAGCATCAACGGGCGGCAAGGCGGGCACCCTGGCCGGGGCCTTGGCAGCCGGCGCAGCGGCTGGTGCCGGTGGTACAACGGCGAGTAGCGGCAGCAGTAAAGGTGCTAAAAGCAAAGGCGGACGTGGCGCCAAGGGCAGTGGAGCCGGCGGCGTAGGAGCTAGCAATAATGCCGCTGCGGGCAATGCGGCTGGCGGTGCTGCGGGAGCTGCAGCAGGCGCTGGAACTGTGGGAGGTGTTGGCGGTGCAGGAGCTGCGAGTGGCGGCAATGCTTCCAAACGAGCTAAGGGCAGCAGTTCAGCGGGTGCTGGTGGCGCTGTTGGGGGTGCGAATGCTAGCACAGGTGGCGCCGGGGCCCGCGGCAGCAGTAAAAAGAAGCCAAGTCAGGTGATGAACTTCGACTCCGAGGAGGAGGACACGGCCAAGCCAATGTCGTACGATGAGAAGCGCCAGTTGTCGCTCGACATCAATAAGTTGCCAGGTAAGATGATAACTTTAATCACTTGTTGTCTGCTAAATATTAAACTTGTAAACCGAGTTAGATTTCGTGATTAATTAAATTATGGATGCCGTTAAGTCAAAATATGCCATTTCGAATATTGAAAAGATGCTTCAGTTATTTTAAATAAATCGAAGAAAATAGTACCATATCCCCTTTCTGGCGATACTTAAATTGACAACAGACTTATCGTTATAACATCTTAAAATGATTACTAATATCCAATTATGTTCACAGGTGACAAGCTGGGCCGTGTGGTACACATCATCCAGAATCGGGAACCATCGCTGCGTGACTCCAATCCCGACGAAATCGAGATCGACTTCGAGACGCTGAAGCCGTCGACGCTGCGCGAGCTTGAAAGCTATGTGGCGTCGTGTTTGCGCAAAAAAACACGTAAGCCATATTGTAAGTTTGTAACTAAACCGAGACCACAACTAAAGCCAAAGCAAATGCAAAAACAAAAGCAAAAGCAACAGCAACAGCAAAAGCAAAAGCAGCAAGAACAGCAAAAGCTAACGAAAGATAAACAATCTAGACCCAAGTACAAGCTCAAGTTAGAAGCTAAAAAAAAAAAGCTATCAGACAACAGAACAATATTATAGCCAAATCTATCTACAATGCCAATTCAACATATAAGAACAGAAGAATTAATTTCCGTTTTGGTTTTGCTGACTGCGTTTCCAAATTTGATTTTAATTTCGAACCGAAAACCGTAGTGGTCATGTTTAGTTAGTTAAACTCGAAGAAAACAAAAATATATCAATTAAACTACAAATCCTTATGATTACGATTTTCAACATTCGAGGTCCTATAAAAAAAAAATTTTGTAGTTAGCCAAGTGCATGCAAAAAAAAAAAAAAAAAAAACAATTTTAAAAACCCTTTTCCTTTCCTCAAGTAGCTTGTTAATGCTGTAGATGTGCCGATGTGTTACAGAAATCTCTTAAACTCTTAAATTGAATCAGTTGTCCGAATTAAGATTATAATTGACTACATGTCAGGATATTACCTTTTCAATGTATTGATATTTTTAATTTCGGGAGATTTTTGTAACATCGCTAATGACATTGCCGCTTTACCTTATTCCCCGCCCTATTTTTTGAGTAAACTTGGTTTCGAGCATGATCCTACATTTGATCCACACCCCCTCCCCTATATCTCTACCTGTGAAAAATTATTTCGAATATAAAGGATCCATTATCTTCCCGTATTCGTAGATAAAAAGCCCTCCGGCAAGTCAAAGGACGAGCAGATGGCCGAGAAAAAGCAGGAGTTGGAGAAGCGCCTGCAGGACGTCACCGGTCAACTGGGGGCAAGCAAGAAAACCGCCAAGAAAGGTAAGTGCTTAACAGTTTGGAGTTATGTCCAACTATTATTTTGACCGCGACTTTGCCATTGCCCTATATATATTTACACTTCAATTTACTGATTGCAATTTCAAATTCTTTCCATTTTACTTCAGATGAGTCCGCTTCGAACAAGGTCGAAGCAGTGCAGCCGGCGAATCCCGTCTCGTCGAGTTCCAGTTCCAGCGATTCATCGTCGTCGAGTTCGAGTGATAGCAGTTCGAGTGACTCGAGTGACAGTGAAGCAGGTTAGGACGCGTTTTGTTTGTTTGTTTTATTTTATACAACTTTTTTTTATTAGTATACATAGAAATATGCAAATAAATATATATATATATGTATATATATATATATATATATAAATAGGTGCGTTGTTTAAAAAACAAACAACAGAACTCACTAAACACACATACGGAAACCGATATCCATTCATATTATTGAGACAGACTTACAGACACAGAAATCGAGACCGCTTCATTTTTAATTAATTATTGTTTAACATTAAGGCGTATATAGGGGCGGGGCGGGCGTGGCTAAAGTCAGACAACAACAAGAAGATTCAAACGAGTAATGAACAGTTTAGGATATAGGAACATCATTAAGAACCCGTTGAAATTGTAAAAATATATTACAACAAAATGATGAAAATGAAAGGATGAGATAATACTTAACTTAAGTCGCACACAGGAATCAGGAGATTTAAACAAAGCGATTAGCTTGATTAATTCAATTGGATATAGGTTTATCTAGTTGTAATGTAGTAGCTACCCTATTAGCAAACGCAAAAAGAATATATGCCATTATGGATATAGATGTAGAGTTTATCGATTGTGTTTTCTTCTGCAAAACTCTTGTATTTTTTACCTTTTCTCATGAATGTTAGTTTCAAAGTCACACACAGACACGCACACTCACACTGAATTATGAAATAGAAAGAGACAACAACAGATTGTAAATGGTGGGATAGAGCGAGGGGGAAATGATAAGGCTATTATTGCTATTATAGACCGACTGACTGACCAAGAAGATATCCCGCTCATATATACAAAACTCCAATTCCCTGTCTCGCTCCAATAAGGGCATTTTTAATTAATTGAATTTAGCGCATTTTGTTTATGTTTTTGTGTGCTAAACAACAAGAGAATTATCCATACGACTCAAGATCAGACTCCCTATTTTTCTAACTTCTGATTTTAGGAGTTCCCCTGAAAAGAATTCAACTCTGATTTAAAATAATATATATCTATTTTTTTTTTTTGGTTATTGTTTACTTTTATACGGAAATGTGTTTTTTTTAGGACTGCCCAAGAACCAAGTTCATGACAAAGTGCAATATGTATTTACTCTAAGAAAGCAGATGCACACGAATAATATGGAATTTAGCAAACGTAAATTAGAAAACAAATAAAATGCTTGTTAGAATCAATATTCAAATTGTATGTTATTTAGATATTTTGATAACGAACATAGCCAAGCCCATATTGAAATCAACATTAAGCAAGATTATTAGTAACAAGGCAGAGTTGTTAAACAAATTTGCTGACAAACATGTGAACCGAGTTTTTGTTTCAATTCGCACTTGATCAACATCAGAGTTGGGTGTTCGGGGGAATTTCAATATCAGACGGTCGGGATGACAGAAATCATAAAAACCATTAGGAGACCCATGGACATTTCCCCATTTTTATCCACTAGATACATAAAACTTAGATGAACAACACGAACACAACGGCAAAACTTTATATAATCGGTATATATGTATATATATATATATATATATATATACATATATTATATATTATATATTATATATATATTATATGTATATATGTATTTATAAATATAATATATATATATATATATATATATATATATATATATATATATATATATATATAAATCTAGGTCTAGTATATACTTAACTATATATACACACACCCACAAACATAAATATCATATTTAAGCATTTGTAGGTATTAAACGAATTGTATTTGTAAATGAAAAATGAGAAAACAAATCTTACACAACACACATACACAACTATCTAAAATGAGAATAATAAGAGAATCCACACACTCTTTATTACTTTAAGTCTTTTTTGAAAAAAAAAAAAAACAATTCTAAAAAAGAACAAGAAACCTTATTATTACCAATATTATAATTATTATTATTATGATTATTATGAGAATATGCTGAAAAAATCGTGAAGCAATTGTGTATTGGGGGCAGCCAATCTGAAAAAGAAACTAATTAATTCCAACCAACCAACCAACCAACCAACCAACCAAACAATCAATCGATCAATCAATCAATCAATCAATCAATCAACCAATTAAACCGAAACCAACCAATCGAACTAATCAACCAAATCAAAACTCTCCATTAAATCTACAAAACAGCAGAGCAACAATGCATGATTTAGATAAGATCAACGAAGAAATCTAAATAAAAGACGTATCATCCACACTCCAAGCACATTACAACCCCTCAGTACTACTACTCATCATCAGTATATCAGTAATAGGCAGCTCAGGAGCAGAACACCCCTTCGTCGACCATTATTTCATATTTACTCCCACTATGAAATTCTAAACTATATTACATAGATTTCATGAACCTAAAAAATCTTTCAATTTAATCTGTTCGTTTTTTCGAATACTATTTCTTGCTAGAAAAATGTATGTAAAATTGAATAAATTATACAATTTTTGGACTTCGGTGCTTTTGCCAGACCGAACAAAAATTTGTATTTTGTCAGGTTTTAAAAAACACAAGCTTTTAATATTTTTTAAATACTAAAAGTAGTTTATATTAAAAAAAAAAACGTAATCTTTTGGTTAATCACTAAATGTTGCAATTTAAAAAATGTGCAATATCTGTTATCAAAACTCATACATTTTTTAACTGATCCAGGGTTTTGCACTTCATAACTTTACCACCATTAAGACCATGTGAGATAATATATAAATATATATGTGTTGCTTACAAGGTGGAATAAAAAAAATGTTCTCTGCCGATACCCTAGGATGCAACTTCTAAAATCCCCGATACGAATATTTCTGTGCCAATTCCATATTTTGTCTAGTCTTATTTCTTGATAGATCTAAACCCAATTAGCTTAATCCAAACACATATACGTTGATCCTAGTTCATCCAGTCTGTAATCAAAGTCCGAGTGTTATGCATTCTTTAAAGTAAACTGGACATTACACTCACACGCACACACACAAAAACCCACTAAACTTCAAAGAACTATGTGTAAAATATAATAATATTAAAAATGAACAATAACCATAATAATATGAACATCTTAATAAATCTACAAAAAAAAAAGTATGTAAAACACGTATAAAATTATCGATACACTTGCAGACAATGTGTAAAAACAAAGAAAGTATGAAAAGCTTTGAAAATGAATTGAAAGAAAACACCGAACCACAAAAACTATCGTAATTCAAATAAAAAACAAACGTATGGAGCGAATACGTAAGAAAATTGTGACAAAGAAAGAAAAACACAGAGAGAAAGAGAGAAAAGAGGGGGATTTCCAAAAATTAAAGCTTAGAGGGGTCAGGAGAAAGATAGAGAGGAATTTGCCTACTTACATCTAATTAAGTCCGCTGATATATGTGAATGTTGAAATTAATGTTATTAATTATTTAAAGTTTTTTAACTTAAAAATAAAATGAAGAAGTGTTTCCATAAGGAACGAATGGAGCTGATTCACCACAATTAGCACAATTACCGATCAATAGTTCGCATTATCACTTAGAACCGAGAATTGCGGAAAATCTCTCTGTATATCATTAATTCGTGATTAATTATTTGTTATTGTCATAAACTTAATGTGTATCAATGTAAGAGAACCGTCATCCGAAAACAAGAAATGCTTCCAGCTAACTTCCAAAAGGACACCATGAGTGAATTAACCAAAAGGCAGCTTAACAATAATTAAAAACAAACTATAATAAAAACTGACAAAAATTTAAAATATCTAAATTCAACTATCGGGAGGAAAACCATCAATAACTAAAAGTGGGTTTAAGAATAGTATCAGTATCGGATCCACTTTTCATCTGTCTTTCTCTCTCTCTCTCTATCTCTCTCTGTCTCTCTTTCTCCCTCTCTCTCTGTGTGTCCTTGCCACTATGTCTGTCTCTGTTTGTAGTAGTAACGGTTTAACGGTATGAGAAAAGCGGAACAAAGCGGAATGGAACCAAAGCGATACGTATATAGAGTTTTTTGCTCTATGGCCACTAAACTCCAAATAGTTCTATATACATAGCTATATTTACATAGATGTATGCTATACATATGATCAAACGAGGTATAAAACAAAAACAAATACAAAAAAAGAAAACAAATAATTAAATGTATTTTGAAAACATTTTATTATTTATTTTTCGGCTGTCGGCTTTCCCCTTTACACATTGTTTGCACGTTTTTTTCAAAAAAAAAAAAATAAATAAATATAATAAAATATATATATTATATTATGAAAATATAAAAAAAAAAAAAAAAAAATAGAAGAGAGGAGAAGGATTGATGATATGATGAGATGATAATGCAATGGAAATAAAGAAAAATTAACAAAAAACAAATTGCATAAAATCAATTTAAATATAAATTTGTACTATTAAATGAAATCAAATAAAAATCGCCAGGAGGAAAACGAAACGGAATAAACAATAATTATGATAATATAACAACAAACAAATCCAACACCACACAAAATGTAATAATATTGAATTTCAAATCGAAAACAAACTCAACGGTCAAAAAGTAATCAGTTTTTAAAGAGAGACAAGTAGTGTAGAAACGAGAGTCAGAAAGAATTGCATTATTTATCGACAAGATAATTTGTAGATTTAATTCTTTTGTTGTTAAATCTAATTGCCTGTTTTTTAAGGGTCCAAACTTTATTCGTTTGTACGTAATATAGTAGCTCTTGTACTTTCTTTAACGAGGTGGTCAGCGTACCCCCGTAAACGCCTTTTCCATCCATTCAACAACATATTATTGAAATTAATTTGTTGTAAGAACAACTTATTTGTCTTTTTGTATAGCCTGTAGTTCAAGTTGAGAAAGCAAAGCAGAGGAAAGCAATAACACCAACTTTTCACATATGTGAACATATTTACAAAAGTGTTGTAAGGAAGATTTAAAGCAGAACAGAAACAAAGTAAAATCAAAACAAGCAACATTTTAAACAAAACAGTGCATTTTTGGTTTCAATTAGGCGTGTCACAACAAAAGTAAGAAGAAAAAAACAAACCATAAATAAAATAAAGTATAAAATAAAATAAATGAAGGGATAAATAGTGAAAATCTTAGGGAAAGAAAGGAGGTAGAGGAAATAAGAGCACAGGAAAAAAGGAGCGGACGACGCGAACTACGTAATGTAACCCGACACACAAACACAAAAGCAAAAACAAATACAAACAAACCAACACACACACACACATTTAGCATTATGAAACACACACGCATACATTTAAATATTTATAGTAAAAAACAATAATAATATTTATTATTACAAAATGGCAGCGCAAATGCAGCAGCGAAACAAACAACAACTAAACTAAACTAAAAGTAAAAAAAAAAACGCAATGCATACAACAAACAAAAACGAAAACTGAGAAAAGAAAATGTTTATTAAAAAAGAAAAAAAAAATTTTGTGTGTTTCCTCATTATCCCCAAAAATCCATTTCTATTCACAGAGGAGAGATAATTTAACGATAAAAAGCAAAAATAACGATTCTTTAACAAATCCGATAACAACAAATATCGATTGGAGCCTGGAAGGTTGGTTTGGTTGCGTCTATCCATGTGTCCATAGTCCCCTACTATCCATTTGGCTGGTGGAAAAAAATAAAGGGGCAGGAGATGGGGTTGGGTGGACAAGGGAGGGGTCTCTGGCCGTTCTTTTTCAGTTCATTTACAGTTTAGATATTGAAAAGACAGAGACAAAAAGAGAGGGAGAGAGAGTGGGTGGAGAAAGTCAGATAGACAGAGAAGTGAAGAACGAGCACGCCGAAACTCGGCTGCTCATCCACCAAACTCCAAAAACCACCACCACGAAAACCCACCACGACACAATTGTTTCATCGATCGGCATTGTAAGAGGTATTTTTAATACACTTATACTATAATTTATCTATATATTTATGTAAACCGTAATCCGTAAACCGTAAACCAAAGGTCATGTATTGTGTGTACCATATACAAATACGATCTAAGTCCTTTACAATTACTATTGCTTTTGCCTGTTAGGGTGGTTCGTCAATAAGAATGCTCAAAATTGGTTAAGAACTAAAAATATAGAATGGTTTCAAAACTAAAATGGTTAACAAATTTTGAAAGAATGTATAAAAATAACAATATATATGTAAATGTAAAGATATTGATTTTAAAACCCTTTTAGGAAATATTTAATGGATTTTACCAGTTTGACATAAATTGAGGACCACCCTAGTGTTTTTCCTATTCCCTATAGCTTGTTCCTATTTATATTGATACCCCCAGCCCCGCACATAGCTTTGTTCACTTCTGCAATATTCTTTATCAATCCCTGCTAACCTCTCTCATCCGAATTCTGAAATTACCCCTTTAACAGGTGATGGTGACGAGCGACCGCCGCGCAAGAAAAAATCCCGTGACTCGAATGGAAGCAATGTAAGTACTGAAATTTAGTAACTACATATAAATATAGAAATATGCACGACTATTGAATGGATATACAGAGCTTGGCAATGGGATTAGTACTCTATAGTATATCTTCTATCTCGACCATCTATCATCTAGTGATTTACTTGTTTATTGAGAATGTGATAAATATAAATTTAAAAAACACCTTCTTTAAAGAAATGAACTTGATTTTGTCTTTACGATCAAAAAGTATAGTTAAACTTTTTAATATTATGTAATATAATCCATTGCCAAATGCATCGTACGTGTCATAAATCATACAACTCACACTCTGTGATTGTTGACTGTCGTGATAACTAGAGTAATTGTGTAACACATTTTCATTTTTCCTTTCCTTCTCTCTACCCCGTGTTAAAACAAAAAGGTAAATAATCCAAGTATAAATGTTGTTCTGGGCGGCAACCCGCCAGGTGGCGCCCTTACGCCAGTGACAATGTTAATGGGCCTGGACCATGTGGTGAACTCCAATACACCATCACAAATGTGTAAGTACAACCAGTACCAACTTATATATGGTCACAGAAATCTTTTGCATTTTGATTACCTGCAGCTACTTATATAAGCTAATTTATATAAAGATTTCTGTGAACCCCATATCCGTCTAACAAATGTGAAGTGCGTGACTAATTTTTGTTTCTTTTGTGTATTACCATCTTGGACTCCCTATCCTTTTCGAACAATTTGTAGCAAATATGCTGGGTAATGCAAATCCGCTGACCGCAGCTGCCATGTTAAACAACAACAACAAGCCGTCTCTGCCGGGAAATAATTTTGGTGGTGCACCCACTCCCGGTGCCGGCAACATGTTACACGCCAGCGGTAGTTCAGTTGCCGGTGCTGCAGTGTCCGCGGCGACAGGGCAGCAGCACAACAAGAATGGACCAATTACTACCACCGCCGCCCTGCAGTCGCACAGTTTTGCCGGTAGCACGGCAGCTGTGGCCACTAGTCAATCGAGTGGTGGTATTCGCATTGCAAGCAATCTGCATAAGCCGGCCGGTTTAACTGGCGGTGATCTGGGCGAGCACCATGCGGCACTAGCGGCTGCTCTGACGTCCGGCGTTAACAGCACCGGCACTTCTAGCGGTGGCAACACCGGCAGCAGCATTAGCAACAACAACAACGGCGGCAGCAATAATAACACAAATCCATTGGGGGGAGTGCATGGGGATGCGATGGCCAATGCTTCGCTGGCATCGGGACTTAAACAAATACCACAGTTCGATGATCCCGTGGAGCAGTCTTTGGCCTCGTTAGAGTTTAGCGCCGGTTCCACGGGCAAACCGTCACTAACGGACAACTTTTTGATGCAGCAACATTTAATGCAGCCAGCCGGACCCCAACAGCAGCAGCAGCAGCAGCAACCCTTTGGGCATCAGCAGCAACAACAACAGCAGCAGCACATGGACTACGTGACAGAGCTGCTGACCAAGGGTGCGGAGGGTGTAGGCGGTATGAATGGCAACCACTTGTTGAACTTCAATCTGGACATGGCAGCGGCGTACCAGCAAAAGCACCCCCAGCAGCAACAACAGCAACAGCAACAGGCGCACAACAATGGCTTCAATGTGGCCGATTTCGGCATGACCGGATTCGATGGTCTGAATATGACAGCGGCCTCAGCATTCCTCGATCTAGAGCACACGCTCCAGCAGCAACAAATGCCGCAAATGCAGTTGCAGCAGCAACACCAGCAGCAGCAACAACAACAGACGCACCAGCAACAACATCACCAGCAAACACAGCAGCAACTAACTCAACTAACGCAACAACTGCAACATCTCCATCAGCAGCAACATCAACAGCAACTACATCAGCAGCAACAACAGCAGGTGGCCAATAAGTTGTTGATAATACCCAAGCCCATCGAATCGATGATGCCCAGTCCGCCGGACAAACAGCAATCACAGCAGCATCAGAAGGTGTTGCCGCCGCAGCAGTCGCCCTCGGATGTAAAGATGCTTCCCAACCAGGCAGCGGCTGCATTGGCCCAGGGCAAGCTGGCGCAGACTTTTAAGGCATCCAACGAGCAGAACCTTAAGAACGCTAGCTCATGGTCCTCGTTAGCATCCGCGAACTCGCCACAGTCGCACACGTCGAGCAGCTCGAGCAGCAGCAAGGCAAAGCCGGCCATGGACTCGTTTCAGCAGTTCCGCAACAAAGCCAAAGAACGCGACCGTCTCAAGCTGCTGGAGGCGGCAGAAAAAGAAAAGAAAAACCAAAAGGAGGCCGCCGAAAAGGAGCAGCAGCGTAAGCACCATAAGTCGTCATCATCCTCGTCATCGGCATCGGCTGCGGCCGCACAAGCTGCCGCAGTTGCAGCCGCAACAGCAGCGGTGGCACTAGGTGCAGCAGCAGTGGCGGCAGTGGCGTCGAATTCATCAAACGCTTCCGGCGGCAATAGCAGTGGCGGTGGTGGTCCAACCAGCAACCAGGCAATTAGTGGCGATCGCGAACGTGACAGGGATCGTGAACGAGAACGTGAGCGTTCGGGAAGCGGTGGTGGTCAATCCGGCAATGGGAACAACAGCAGCAATTCGGCCAACAGCAATGGACCTGGCAGTGCGGGCAGTGGTGGCAGTGGTGGCGGCGGAGGCAGTGGCCCAGCCAGTTCTGGTGGACCAAACAGTGGCGGCGGCAATGTCAACAGCAACAGTGGCGGGGGTCCAGCACTACTCAATGCTGGCAGCAATAGCAACAGTGGTGTTGGTAGTGGCGGAGCAGCCAGCAGCAACAGTAATAGCAGCGTTGGTGGCATCGTTGGAAGCGGCGGACCTGGATCTAATAGTCAGGGAAGCAGTGGTGGTGGCGGAGGGCCAGCAAGCGGAGGCATGGGCAGCGGCGCTCTTGATTACGGTCAGCAGGTGGCGGTGCTAACGCAGGTTGCGGCCCACGCTCAGGCGCAGCATGTGGCTGCCGCAGTGGCCGCGCAAGCCATTCTGGCCGCCTCGCCCTTAGGCGCCATGGAGAGCGGAAGGTAAGATATTTTAGGACCTATTTTGCAAGACAATGTAGGATTATATAGAAATAGTAAAGTAAAACGAGAACATGATCTTTAAAATGAAAATTAGTTAAAACCCACTCTCGAACGACTGAAATGTTGGCGTTAACTTATAGTATTTTTTTTTTCATAATATTTTAGAAAAAGTGTGCACGATGCACAGCCGCAGATATCGCGGGTGGATGACATCAAGGCGTCGCCGGGCGGACAGGGACAGAGTTCGCCGGCGCAGCAATCGCCTCAGGATCGGGCTGCCGCTAAACGGGCCGAGCAGCGACGGGCTGAGCAGGAGCGGCGCAGGCGCGAAGCGGTAAGTTACCCACCGAAACTCTTACTTCAAAAACAAAATTTAAACCAAATTCGGTTCCTTCCACAGATGGCTGGCCAAATCGATATGAACATGCAGAGTGATCTCATGGCTGCATTCGAGGAGACGCTGTAGGCCAAGGCCCGGAGAAAGTCGACCAACCGGGGCGTAAGCGTCATCGGCATCACCTCAACTACAACCACAAACGCATCATCCTTCACCAGCGGCGACCAATCGAAGCGGCGAACAAAGCGCCAGCAACGGATCACGTTGGACAACGGCTTGCGAGAGCAAAAGCAACACGGCTAGGAAATAAAACGATGACAGTTCGTCATGGAACTGTTAGAGCAAACAAACAACCAACAAACAAATGAAAGAAACAAACAAACTGCATAGGCTAAAAACCATTAAGCAATGTTCTAAGGCGTAAATAACATACGTACATTTAGTGAGTATATATATAAAGCATATATGCGGATGGAGCGAGCAGACAAACAAAAATGTGAAAGCCACCAGCAAAACCAAGCAGCAGCAACAGCGGCAACAATTTATATATATAACAGAAAGAATGGCAAATTTCCTTCGATTAGCAATTTATTATTCACTACCTTTTTTTAAAATCACTTATCACTTTCGATTATTATTGTGTATTAAAATTACCATTATAATGGTGGATCGTGGCGACAAGGAAGTCCGCACACGGTTCCAAAGCTTATTATTTTTAATATTATTGATTGCATAGGCAAGTTTAGTTTGTAGTCATACACTTAATTAATAATGTTTTTTTTTTTCTTAATTGTATACACACATCTATGCTTAGAGTTGTTAACTAATTTAAAAAACATAAACAAAACAAACGAGAAAACTACAACAAAAAAAAGAACAAAGAAAACAAATCGAAACGAAACGAAATCAATTCAAGAGATGCATCTATCCGCAGGGGGACGTTTCAGTCGCAGTTGCCTGTCCAGAAATCCAATTAAATTAAGTTTCAGAAATTTCATTAAAAATGTATATCTCTCCTGACGATCCCCATTCCCAAACCATACCACTGACCGCTGAGAGCAAATTTAATGGAATCTTATTGTTTTACGTTTTAAAATTTCTGGCGGCCAAAGAGCAGCACTTGCACATCACCCACACACCTGTAATTTATACAGCCTCAAAAAGAATATCTTTATATATATATATATACATATAAATATACATATTTATATATATATATATCTGTATGTATATATGTATTATATATACACACACACACACACACATTGACAGACACTTGGATGAAACCTAATACGAGAAAGAGAATCACAAACCAAAAACCCCATTTAGTAGGTCACGATTCAGCTGAAAATATGGAAACAAATTTAGTTATTAAGTAGCTACATTTTTTTTTGTAAGGACTCGCCAAAACAAAAGAAAAGAAGTGAAGTGGAAAATATATTGTAATTTTTTCTAATGACCACAGGCCTTCGCAAGTAGGTGTCAGGATGCTATCCCCCCAAATTGCAGTGACAATTCAGTAAAATTAATCAATGATACATGTTTGGAGTCTCTGCCGTCTTCCATATGTATTGTTCGTCTATATATCTTCATCATCTGCATGCAGCCGAACCTCCTCGTCAATGTGTGTCCCTGTATATAGATCTATAGGTCCTTCTAAATCATCATACCATCGGGGACTCTGATCCTGTTATAGCAATAGGAATTATGATAGCAACTATCTATGTAAAAGCTAGCGAAAGAATTCATGTAACTGTATTTGTATAATGCACGTCTCTATTGTTTTGAATTCTAAATGTATATTTAATTTGAATTTGAGCTTGTGGTTCTGATTTCTGTATGTTTTTAACGTTGTGAATCTGTCTGTGGGTGTTTTTTTTGTTGTTTTAGGAATACACGAGTTTGTCTTTGTATATAGAGGCGGTCAAATAGATTCGTATCTTTTCCCGACTTACTCTCGCAGGAAATGTCACTTTGATTTGTGTAAATTACTTTTTCGACAGCGAGTAGTAGAAAGAAAATTAGATTATCACAAAATATCCCCTATTTTATTCTATTATATATATATATATGAAAGTGCATCAGATATACATATATAAAAAAGGAGAAATTTTTTTTCTATACTTAATTTTAGCATTTAACTGAGAAATAAATCGCACGAGGAGATAAACAAATGTATGAAAATAAAAATTGTGAAAAACCAAACGATTTAAACAAAAAAAGTTTTTAATTCAGCGAAAGACGGATATATATATATATATACATATATTAACACTTCTATATAGATTTACATCCCTGATATGAAAAACTTTTTTGCATATATGAATGTAACACACCTTTATATATATATATATATATATTTTAACAAACCACCCGATGGGAGAACGAGACGTATTTGATTTTTGTCCAATCTGATCAAATCGCCCAAATTCTAGAATATGCATTTGGCATATTAGCAATTAATTGTTGACCTTTTGTTGTTACTTAACGAGGGCATTAACTAGAAGAAGACGACGGGGAAGTAATAGGATAGTTCGGATATAGCTGGACAGTTGAATCGAGGAGTATGTAACATATAGCGAAAAACTCACTAAAGAATCACTTTTCTGAAATGTAAAAGCAAACGATCTTAGCCTTAAGCGCCTACCGCTAAACATGAAAAACTTTAAAGCAACGTTACGATTCGTTATGTGAAACGTAATGCAGGAACTAATAATAATAATAACTATTATGATTATAAAGTATAAATCAAGGGGAAACATTTTGGGCTGGCATTACGAGTTGATGCTATAGAAACCATTACATTTACATGACTCCATTTTGGCCCCTTTAGCATTCACTCCATTATATACAACACTTCTTAGTAAGCCTATAATTAATGATGGAGAAACATGAAAACAAAATCGAAGGAAACCAATTAACAAGTAAAACATAAAACATATTTTACCTTTAATGCGTACACTTAGTATTAATGAAATGAAAAATGGCCGACAAAAGCAAAAAACTAAAAGAAACAAATAAAAAAAGATACAAAAAACTAAAAAAACAAAGAAAATTCGCAAAAAAAATAAACAAAAGTTCATAAAAAATAAATATCAAGTGTCTTTTTATTCTAGTGGGTTAGTTTTGATTACAAATTCGATAATTTTACAAGTACTGTAGTCTAAAAATCTCTTCCAAGTGCAAAGTAATTCGATTTTAATTACATATATATTTGGTATATAAATCTACTTACACATATATTTATTTAATGGGATTGAGTTTATTATTGGCGTTTTTGGTTGTTGTTTCTTATATGACAATACTTTGTACAAAGTTAATACCACAGGTTATCGCGGTGAAAGTAATAAACACACTTGTTCTAAATTATAATTGCAAGATGCAGCTTACAAAAAGAAATGCCTATGGTAATTTTAAAAAACTTTAATGTTCTTCCTTATGTATTTTAGTTCTGAGTAAGAGGGTCCTTTCTTTTTCTGGATAACGATACACTTAATTTTTTAATAAATAAATTGAGCTTTTTTTTAATCCGTATTTATAATGAAAAATTTTAGTTTTTGTTTATTTAATTTTAAAACAACCAACTATTTTACCTTCAAAGGTGAAATCCGTTTCTTATTGGAACCAAATTGGTTCCAGTGTTCGATCATAAGAATTCTATATATGTATATGTATATAGAACCATTACATAGAGGAATTTAAAACGCACGCAGATTAGCGTGAAAATAAATTTAGTATTCATGTTTAAATCAACACTCTTATCTTTCGGCAGGGAATCCATTTTAAAATGTAAAAAAGGGGAATACCACAATCAATCACTTCTACTGTTTCTGGCAAGATGAATCTTTCTTTTTTCCACTAACTTAAAAATATGAAGGAGTTTTGATATTATACAATTTAAAACATTATGTAAACGATGTAACTTTTTAACTAACTTGTAACTATTTAAATGTCACATCAGAACGTAACTTTTTTTTTCCATATTTTTAAATATATTTACATAGTTGCCCCATTAGAATTTCACTTTATTATTCTATCACCGAAAATAAGTTATCAATATTATAATTTTAATCGCATATTTTCTAGGCACATGGGTACTTTTTTAGCGCAGTGCACATGAAAGATCTGTTTACAAGTCTGAAGTTCAAAAATGCGATAGGGATATATGCACCATCAGCAGTATTCGGACCCTATAAAAGGGCTGGCAATCGGTGAGAGAAATCAGTTGAATTTAAGAAGTGTTCGCGATGCGGCCAATATACACAGTGTTTCTTGGGTTTTCAGTACTTTTTTTACTGCCCCACGATGTAGTTGGAAATTGTAAACTTGAAACAGTACCCAATGCTCCGGTCGTTGTTACGCGTTTTGGATCAAAACAATTACTGTCAGATTCTCCTGGAATATATGAACTTGAAACTGGACAAACTATTGATTTATATAGCGCCAGTGGATTTTTTATTCATCGGTTTGTTAGACTTTATCTTATTAAAACATTCGAACTTGTTAACGCAAATTTGTTATGCAATAAAAAGTTAACATATTGCTAGATAAATGCATATATATTTAGTCAATTTTATTTACAAATTTGTAAAATAAAATTTGCACTATATGGGCCATGTTCGAAATATTTCCACTAATCTTTTATAAAAACAAAATATCATTTGTAATTATAATTAATATTTCGATTATAGGGATTACCGGAATACTTACCTTATTGTAAGACCTAATGTTACAATGAGGTGCAATGAATACGGTGCTTTTCAAAATTCAATCAATAACAACGAAGCCCAAAAGGTTCAGTGTCTTAACGGAGTGTCACAATTGTTTGAAAGTAAGAACAGCTTACAAAACTGCCTTGATGATATGACTCTCATTTTGGCCAATAATATCAATGAGAATAATTCAAGAAAAAATTTGGCCATCTGCTATGATATTGATTCCTCCCGAGTGAAATATATTGGCTACACGACATTTCCCGAAAAAAATCAAGTTTTAACAATGGTAAGATTTTCTATAATTCTAATAGCTCTGTTTAACAAAAAATTTATAAAGAATAATTACTATTAATATCTTATATGTTTTCATAGACGCAATTGGGTCAACTAAATGATATTGGACTGGACATTGATGTAAAGTATTATAAAAATCTCATTAAGACCATAAGGTAATTTGGGTCAGTTGCTCGGTTTTTTGTTATATTTTTTGTTTTTTTTATGATTTCAAATTAAATCTAAACATATAATTTTTTTAATTTTGTATTTTTCGAGTAGCCAGAAGGATATCGATGATTATATGGCAAAAGAAAAAACGCTGTTCGTACCGAACACCTTCAAGTCGGACAATCTGGTTCAGGACGAGTCGGTTGTCCGGCAGTTGACCGGCTTCGAGGACCTTACGACCACAATTTGGCTCCGGGTCCTGAGTCTTGGCAATTGGAAGAACTGGATTACGGCGATGCGGGATGCCAGTGGAGTTGACAACCATTTCGATATTCGTCTTGGCGTTTCCGGTGTCATAGAGATACCCACAGGCTTTGATGGATCCTGCAACGCAAGTCGATCATTGAAAATAAAAGTTGCGAATGGTGGCTCCTTTCCTATACCAGCCCACATTTGGGCACATATTCATGCACTGGAGAAAACTGGCAGCGTTCAGGATGAGTTTGTCATTATTGGACACAATTCCCCATTTGTATGCACTGGTATTTTATGACCCACATTGGAGCAATCTTAATAAAATATTACATTTCTTGCAGACCACCTATGATAATTCAAGCGACTTGTGTCTATCAATGTGTGATCAGATCTCTTGGCTAAGGAACACGTTGTTCGCCAGACTTCATAGGCACCCTAATTTCGGATTGGTGTACTGCTGTCGGGTGGAGGATGTGGCAAACAAGCTGGACAACTTCCCAGGTCCATTTGCGAAAGCGAATGTAGAGAGCCATCATACGGATAAATTTACGACAACTACGATCTCGCCCAATGTTTTGGAATTCTTAGGAAGTAATGAACAATCTTATGATTACTAACATAAAATTGTAAATCTTTTAAATTGGAATTTTTTTTCTATAACTAAGAAAATAATTGACTAATTGTGAAATTTTAAACCTAGTTAAGCTTATTTTCTAATTCGTAATATATCTTGTGTGTCTTGGTTTATTACAAATTATGTTGGAAATTTCTGTTAAAAATTTGTTTTTCTGTTAAAAATTTGGTCCAGAGCTCGCATCGAAACATAAGAACAATAATGATAAAAGCAAGTATAGGGTATTTAAGTTTCGGTAGTTAGCTGCCCAACACAGTCAATGTTTTAGCTATGCGGCTTGTTTTGACAAAGGTAGAGCAAAGAAACTGAAAAACTGACAAAGTTAGAGCTAAGAAACTGAAAAAAACCGTGCTCTTCTGTCAGAAGACGTATACTCGATTTTGGGCGGAAAAAAATCAGTTTTTTAGCCATAGCACAGCCAAAAACGGTCCAAATGAGGAATGTAATACCTCGTAGGTCTCGTAACTTGATTGCCATGATTCCCAATTGGTTTGCATTCAAATCTGGGAAACTTCATTTTTGGCCCATTTTTGAAAATTTTGATGATGGTACCCCTTATAAAAAATGCGAAATTTGGGCCAAAATTGATTTTCCCAAAATCGACAAACGAGTGATAGGGGTTGTTAGTATTGGTCGTTAGCAGGACAAAACAGTCGTTCTTTTGGCTGTACGTCTTGATTTGGCCGAGCTAGAGCTAAAAATCCGAAAATAGTGTTGCACATTTCTGTTAATAATAGGTTTTTTGATTTTTTAGCCTTTAAATCAGAGCTCGCACAGAAAAATCAGAGCAATAATGATAAAAGCAAGTATAGGGTGTTTAAGTTTCGGTAGTTAGCTGCCCAAAACAGTCACTGTTTTAGCTATGCGGCTCGTTTTGACAAAGTTAGAGCTAAGAAACTGAAAAAAAACCGTGCTCTTCTGTCAGAACACGTATACTCGATTTTGGGCGGAAAAAAATCAGTTTTTTAGCCATAGCACAGCCAAAAACGGTCCAAATGAGGAATATAATACCTCGTAGGGCTCGTAACTTGGTTGCCATGATTCCCAATTGGTTTGTCTTCAAATCTGGGAAACTTCATTTTTGGTCCATTTTTGAAAATTTTGAAAAAATGCGAAATTTGGGCCAAAATTGATTTTCCCAAAATCGAAAAACGAGTGATAGGGGTGGTTAGTATTGGTCGTTAGCAGCACAAAACAGTCGTTCTTTTGGCTGTACGTCTTGATTTGGCCGAACTAGAGCTAAAAATCCGAAAATAGTGTTGCAAATTTCTGTTAAAAATCAGTTTCCTGATTTTTTAGCCCTCAAAACAGAGCTCGCACTAAAAAATCAGAACAGTAATGATGAAAGCAAGTAAAGGGGTGTTAAGAGCCGGTAGTTAGCTGAACAAAACAGTCATTGTTTTAGCCGTGCGTCTTGTTTTGACCGAGCTAGAGCTAAAAATCCGAAAATAATATTGCACATTTCTGTTAATAATAGGTTTTTTGATTTTTTAGCCTTTAAATCAGAGCTCGCACAGAAAAATCAAAGCAATAATGATAAAAGCAAGTATAGGGTTTTTAAGTTTCGGTAATTAGCTGCCCATAACAGTCATTGTTTTAGCTATGCGATATCGTTTGACAAAGTTAGAGCTAAGAAACTGAAAAAAAACCGTGCTCTTCTGTCAGAAGACTTATACTCGATTTTGGGCGGGAAAAAATGAGTTTTTTAGCCATAGCACAGTCAAAAACGGTCCAAATGAGGAATATAATACCTCGTAGGGCTCGTAACTTGATTGTCATGATTCCCAATTGGTTTGCATTCAAATCTGGGAAACTTCATTTTTGGCCCATTTTTGAAAATTTTATAAAAAATGAGAAATTTGGGTCAAAATTGATTTTCCCAAAATCGGCAAACGAGTGATAGGGGTGGTTAGTATTGGTCGTTAGCAGCACAAAACAGTCGTTCTTTTGGCTGTACGTCTTGATTTGGCCGAGCTAGAGCTAAAAATCCGAAAATAGTGTTGCAAATTTCTGTTAAGAATCGGTTTCCTGATTTTTTAGCCCTTAAAACAGAGCTCGCACTGAAAATCAGAACAGTAATGATAAAAGCAAGTAAAGGGGTGTTAAGAGCCGGTAGTTAGCTGTACAAAACAGTCATTGTTTTAGCCGTGCGTCTTGTTTTGACCGAGCTAGAGCTAAAAATCCGAAAATAATATTGCACATTTCTTTTAATAATAGGTTTTTTGATTTTTTAGCCTTTAAATCAGAGCTCGCACAGAAAAATCAGAGCAATAATGATAAAAGCAAGTATAGGGTGTTTAAGTTTCGGTAGTTAGCTGCCCAAAACAGTCATTGTTTTAGCTATGCTTGTTTTGACAAAGTTAGAGCTAAGAAACTGAAAAAAAAAACAGTGCTCTTCTGTCAGAAGATGTATACTCGATTTTGGGCGGAAAAAAATCAGTTTTTTAGCCATAGCACAGCCAAAAACGGTCCAAATGAGGAATATAATACCTCGTAGGGCTCGTAACTTGATTGCCATGATTCCCAATTGGTTTGCATTCAAATCTGGGAAACTTCATTTTTGGCCCATTTTTGAAAATTTTGATGATGGTACCCCTTATAAAAAATGCGAAATTTCGGCCAAAATTGATTTTCCCAAAATCGAAAAACGAGTGATAGGGGTGGTTAGTATTGGTCGTTAGCAGCACAAAACAGTCGTTCTTTTGGCTGTACGTCTTGATTTGGCCGAGCTAGAGCTAAAAGTCCGAATATAATATTGCACATTTCTGTTGATAATAGGTTTTTTGATTTTTTAGCCTTTAAATCAGAGCTCGCACAGAAAAATTTAGAACAGTAATGATAAAAGCAAGTATAGGATGTTTAGTTTTCGGTAGTTAGCTGCCCAAAACAGTCATTGTTTTAGCTTTGCGGCTTGTTTTGACAAAGTTAGAGCTAAGAAACGGAAAAAAAAAACCGTGCTCTTCTGTCAGAAGACGTATACTCGATTTTGGGCGGAAAAAAATCAGTTTTTTAGCCATAGCACAGCCAAAAACGGTCCAAATGAGGAATATAATACCTCGTAGGGCTCGTAACTTGATTGCCATGATTCCCAATTGGTTTGCATTCAAATCTGGGAAACTTCATTTTTAGCCCATTTTTGAAAATTTTGATGATGGTACCACTTATAAAAATGCGAAATTTGGGCCAAAATTGATTTTCCCAAAATCGAAAAACGAGTGATAGGGGTTGTTAGTATTGGTCGTTAGCAGCACAAAACAGTCGTTCTTTTGGCTGTACGTCTTGATTTGGCCGAGCTAGAGCTACAAATCCGAAAATAATATTGCACATTTCTGTTAATAATAGGTTTTTGATTTTTAGCCTTTAAATCAGAGCTCGCACAGAAAAATCAGAGCAATAATGATAAAAGCAAGTACAGGGTGTTTAAGTTTCGGTAGTTAGCTGCCAAAAACAGTCATTGTTTTAGCTATGCGGCTTGTTTTGACAAAGTTAGAGCTAAGAAACTGAAAAAAACCGTGCTCTTCTGTCAGAAGATGTATACTCGATTTTGGGCGGAAAAAATCAGTTTATTAGCCATAGCACAGCCAAAAACGGTCCAAATGAGGAATGTAATACCTCGTAGGGCTCGTAACTTGATTGCAATGATTCCCAATTGGTTTTGCATTCAAATCTGGGAAACTTCATTTTTGGCCCATTTTTGAAAATTTTGATGATGGTACCACTTATAAAAAATGCGAAATTTGGGCCAAAATTGATTTTCCCAAAATCGAAAAACGAGTGATAGGGGTGGTTAGTATTGGTCGTTAGCAGCACAAAACAGTCGTTCTTTTGGCTGTACGTCTTGATTTGGCCGAGCTAGAGCTAAAAGTCCGAAAATAATATTGCACATTTCTGTTAATAATAGGTTTTTGATTTTTTAGCCTTTAAATCAGAGCTCGCAAAAAAAAATCAGAACAGTAATGATGAAAGCAAGTAAAGGGGTGTTAAGAGCCGGTAGTTAGCTGTACAAAACTGTCATTGTTTTAGCTATGCGGCTTGTTTTAAAAAAATTAGAGCTAAGAAACTGAAAAAAAACCGTGCTCTTCTGTCAGAAGATGTATACTCGATTTTGGGCGGAAAAAATCAGTTTATTAGCCATAGCACAGCCAAAAACGGTCCAAATGAGGAATGTAATACCTCGTAGGGCTCGTAACTTGATTGCCATGATTCCCAATTGGTTTGTATTCAAATCTGGGAAACTTCATTTTTGGCCCATTTTTGAAAATTTTATAAAAATGCAAAATTTCGGCCAAAATTGATTTTCCCAAAATCGAAAAACGAGTGATAGGGGTGGTTAGTATTGGTCGTTAGCAGCACAAAACAGTCGTTCTTTTGGCTGTACGTCTTGATTTGGCCGAGCTAGAGCTAAAAGTCCGAAAATAATATTGCACATTTCTGTTAATAATAGGTTTTTTGATTTTTTAGCCTTTAAATCAGAGCTCGCACAAAAAAATCAGAACAGTAATGATGAAAGCAAGTAAAGGGGTGTTAAGAGCCGGTAGTTAGCTGTACAAAACTGTCATTGTTTTAGCTATGCGGCTTGTTTTAAAAAAATTAGAGCTAAGAAACTGAAAAAAAACCGTGCTCTTCTGTCAGAAGATGTATACTCGATTTTGGGCGGAAAAAATCAGTTTATTAGCCATAGCACAGCCAAAAACGGTCCAAATGAGGAATGTAATACCTCGTAGGGCTCGTAACTTGATTGCCATGATTCCCAATTGGTTTGCATTCAAATCTGGGAAACTTCATTTTTGGCCCATTTTTGAAAATTTTGATGATGGTACCCCTTATAAAAAATGCAAAATTTCGGCCAAAATTGATTTTCCCAAAATCGAAAAACGAGTGATAGGGGTGGTTAGTATTGGTCGTTAGCAGCACAAAACAGTCGTTCTTTTGGCTGTACGTCTTGATTTGGCCGAGCTAGAGCTAAAAATCCGAAAATAGTGTTGCAAATTTCTGTTAAGAATCGGTTTCCTGATTTTTTAGCCCTTAAAACAGAGCTCGCACTGAAAATCAGAACAGTAATGATAAAAGCAAGTAAAGGGGTGTTAAGAGCCGGTAGTTAGCTGTACAAAACAGTCATTGTTTTAGCCGTGCGTC